ATTTTAAAGATTAGTTAATTAGATATCAAATTGAAACATATTTGCCTAAAGGAATTCGGATCATATCTGCTTTGTTTTTTTAAGACATTTCTTTCTTATCCTTCGATGTTAGTTGACAAAATTTCGGATAATGTAATGTTATGTTCGGAATATCAACCCGCTGCTGTTTAGTTCTAAATAACAATTTAAATAAACATTTTTATGTCAATAACAAACGATTCATTATCATCACCAGAAGGAGATTATTACATCTACCAGTCCCTACATGTATTCTCTTAGGGTAAGGGTTTCAGAAAGATACGAATTAACAGTCGTAAAAAACACAAACATCAGTATAATTTCAGATTCACTACACAAACCACATCGCTTGTACGATGTCTGCACGATGTCAGACTTACCACACAAACCACTTCGCTTTTACGATTTCTGCACGATTTCAGACTTACCATACAAACCACATCGCTTGTACGATTTCTGCACGATGTCAGACATAACACACAAACCACATCCCTGGTACGATTTCTGCACTATGTCGGACATAACACACAAACCACATCGCTTGTACGATTTCTGCACGATGTCAGACATAACACACAAACCACATCGCTTGTACGATTTCTGCGCTATGTAAGACATAACAGACAAACCACATCGCTTGTGCGATTTCTGCACGATGTCAGACTTACCACACAAACCACATCCCTGGTACGATTTCTGCACTATGTCGGACATAACACACAAACCACATCGCTTGTACGATTTCTGCACGATGTCAGACTTACCACACAAACCACATCCCTGGTACGATTTCTGCACTATGTCGGACATAACACACAAACCACATCGCTTGTACGATTTCTGCACTATGTCAGACTTACCACACAAACCACATCGCTTGTACGATTTCTGCACGATGTCAAACATAACACACAAACCACATCGCTTGTACGATTTCTGCACTATGTCAGGCACAACACACAAATCACATCGCTTGTACGATTTCTGCACGATGTCAGACTTACCACACAAACCACACCCCTGGTACAATTTCTGTACTATGTCAGGCACAACACACAAACCACATCGCTTGTACGATTTCTGCACGATGTCAAACACAACACACAAACCACATCGCTTGTACGATGTCTGCACGATGTCAGACTTACCACACAAACCACATCCCTGGTACGATTTCTGCACGATGTCAGACATAACACACAAACCACATCACTGGTACGATTTCTGCACGATGTCAAACACAACACACAAACCACATCGCTTGTACGATGTCTGCACGATGTCAGACTTACCACACAAACCACATCCCTGGTACGATTTCTGCACGATGTCAGACATAACACACAAACCACATCCCTGGTACGATTTCTGCACGATGTCAGACATAACACACAAACCACATCCCTGGTACGATTTCTGCACGATGTCAGACATAACACATAAACACATAGCCGTTTGTTTCATGATTTCGCACTCCACTCAAACAAACATACACCATTGGTGTGATATAAGCACGGTGGCAGGTTCCACACAGACAAACACCGATTGTTTTATGATGTCAGCACAATGCTGTGTATTTGTGGTACTCAGTTTAAAATGAAAGTCGTTGACAATTCCAAGATTCTGTTTTTAGGCAACATATTTCTGATCAATATTTCTTTTGTACCCATATTAAGTAGAATTTATCTTATTCATTGAAATAATTCCTACAGACCTTATTTAGCTATATTAACCAATAAAGTGGTCATGAGGTCACACCGAACTTTGGATACCTGAATTGTTAGTGATAATTACTTCCGTCTACCCATTTGTTCACAGTGAACGTTTTATAATACAAACATGTTGGGTTTTTTTAAATATTGAAATGACCTCTAAATTGAGTAACAAAATGAGGAAATTTTAGTTATTTCAACCCTAAGATTTGTACAACAAAGTATATATATAATAATAAAAGCAATATCAGTCATCATGTATGAGCATGCGCAGTCACTATTTATATCGCCTATCAAACTTGTTCACAATTCATGCCAAACTCACAGTACCGAACCAGAACAAGTAACTTTCAATACCCCCATGTTCACGCCATACTCACAATACCGAACCAGAACAGGTTAATGCCAATACCCGTCATGTTCACGCCAAACTCACAGTACCGAACCAGAACAAGTAACTCTCAATACCCCCATGTTCACGCCATACTCACAATACCGAACCAGAACAGGTTAATGTCAATACCCGTCATGTTCACGCCAAACTCACAATACCGAACCAGAACAGGTTACTGTCGATACCCGTCATGTTCACGCCATACTCACAATACCGAACCAGAACAGGTTAATGTCAATACCCGTCATGTTCACGCCAAACTCACAATACCGAACCAGAACAGGTTACTGTCGATACCCGTCATGTTCACGCCATACTCACAATACCGAACCAGAACAGGTTAATGTCAATACCCGTCATGTTCACGCCAAACTCACAATACCGAACCAGAACAGGTTACTGTCGATACCCGTCATGTTCACGCCATACTCACAATACCGAACCAGAACAGGTTAATGTCAATACCCGCCACCAACATGGCCGACGCCGATCCTGGTAAATCATGTCTATGTATTCATGTATAACTGTTAATGATTGTTGCTCATGCCGCGTGTATATTTTTGATAACAGCTTCCACAAAAAACCAATGAGTTTCCAGTAACTTTCGTTTTCAAAACATGTTTTCAGTTACGTATATTATTTTACACAGGTCATTTCTCCTTCCGTAGACAAATGACATCTAGCCATATTTCAAAACATCTTACATTACAATATAAACATGTGTGCCTAACAGCGCTGCCAGTACGGCCATACAAAGATGGAAACAGAGACATGTTTTTTGACCTTAATCGGCGTCGGCCATGTTAGCTAGCTAGTTGCCATCGGTACGGTAAAGTGGTATTTGTAACATCCATTGTCTTTTCTTAAGATACAGCTTATAACAACACACACCCGTACATTTAACCTATAAATTATTTATCGATGTTTTCATTGACACTGAACATGTTATAACAACCGGAAATAATTCTGCTGTTATTTTAAACTAAGACGTGATATCCAATCAACTTGCGGACAAATATTACATTATATTTACGATTTCCTCTAGGGATTGTCTGCCATGTTAAAACAGATGACTAATCTGACTTCTTGCCATTCCAATGCTGGATCGATTGAACCCGTTCAAGCTTTACAAGATTAAATCAATAGGTGCAGTCAACGGATTGTTAGACAGATAATTTCCCTTCCATTATATGTCCGTATCGATTTTATCGATCAGATGGTATTTAGGCGTAATGTTGGTATGTCAGATTGCCGACAAGTTACAATTTTATACAGAAATGATAGAATCAAACCGATTTATATAAGCCCACTAATTATTGGACATCCGTCTATGTGCCACACTAAGGGTGCGCCCGTTCAAATTTATTTCCGCCTGTTACATGAACATTGAAGTTTCGTGTTTAATCATATTAACTTGGCCGATGACGTCATTATTAACCAGAAGACGTCCATCTATTTTAATTTAAAATTTCACAGCCACACAGATCTAAAACGAGTTCATTCATACAACATAATGAAATTTTAGAGACGGAAAAATCAATAAGAAAGATTAAAGAGATAATAACGATTGAAAATAGATTTTTGGTCCAAAAATAAAAAGTTATTTAAGATCCTAGCTAACACTGCATGATCATCTGTCTTATTAAACATGTCATTTTCAACTCTTAATGTGTGATAATTGATCATCAAATTGAAATTATTTTAATAACATATTTAAATCTTAATTTGAAAAGAAATAATAAGGAAAAATAGTACGAAATGTAAAAAGATAATATTTGGTGCAAACATGTTAGATCTATGAAATTCAAATGATTAATATTGATTTACTTGCCGGATCAGATACCAATGGTATGTACTCCAGTGTACTGACATGACAGAATGAACCCAAAATTATGTATAACATTGTTCTCTGTGAAACAACAATATGTCAGTCATTTGAAGCAAAATGTAACGGGATTTGGCAGTTCCCTCGCCATATTTACCTCAAACAATCGTTTATATCTAAATAAATAGAACATAATTTTACATTTTTGCTTAAATAGAAAGACAAATATATGTACTTAGTACTTCTTACCGTAGTCCTCAGTTACAGTCAGCTGGGTCATAGATCTTTTATACGATTAATCGATATCGATTAATTATTTAGATCAATACCCAGGTGTACTGTCAGTGTATCACCTGTCTTTTAACAACTACTATCTGTATTAGCGTTGACAATATAGCGTCTTTACAGACCACACGAGATTGATCTTCCTTACTCATTGATAAGTCCCGTTGTCTGTTGCAGTATCTTCAGATTAGTCATTGCAATTAAAGTGATTTCTCCTGTCTCTGTGTTGATCGTTTCTGGAAGCGTTTTAAGTCTGGCATCGCCCTGTCGTTCCTTCGATCTCCGCGCTGATGATGTCACCGGTCCGATCATTTGTACCTCGTGGGTACGAGCATTGCAGTTCAACCCTCTTGTAAATTCTAGTATGTTGTGTCTCCGTGTGGCATTTTGAGCACCCTGTTATTTCATCCTGGCTTTAAAAGTCCCATCGTCAGACTTATTCAGCCATAATGTCCTGAAGCGCATCACTTCCTGTGAAGCTACAGGTTACGGTACAATTTCTGAGGGTTTGACCACAAATTTCACCCGTTATTTCCATGGTTACTAACCTTGTTCTCCCCGTGGTAAACAATATGGCTGGAATTCCAACAGCATGTATTGTTCAGGTTGTTTAATCAACGTATTGAACGTTTTGAGTTGAATTTGGTTTGTTCGTAACCAAGTCTCGATGACGTTCAGTACGAGGTAAATGATTAGGTTAGTGGTCACTACCTGTGGACAGTAAACTGTACCGCCTATCTAAAAATAGTCATTATTGGTAGATTTGTCATATACAGGGCGAATAAGCTTTGAGTTCAGTGAAAATCTCTGTGAAAAAACTTGGATCGCTGTTGATCTTGAGCATGCTTGAACTCTGTCGATTGATAATCAGTAAACAACGGTCCCAGAACCTCTCTCTGTTCTCCTCCACGAGGAACGGCTTGAGAGGGTAGCTAATCTCGTTACCCATGTATGAATAGGAGAGATACAGGCATGTTAGCACCATGGACTGTAGATCGTGTTCGCTATCAATGTCCGAGTAGACGATGTCTCTTATAAGCATGTACACGAACACCACGTTTGCGGGGTTGATGAAGGCGACGTCTTGCCAACCTTGTAATAGAAGTGATCGGTCAACAGTCCTTAGCCACATTATGACGTCACATCCTTCAAAATGTCTCAAACGCTTGCACCGTTTCCTGAGGTATTCCCCCAAACATTTCAGCAGCTCTGACGTAGACGCTTGTATCACTGTACGTTTTGGGCTCGTTCCTTTTTCTGTGTTCTTAACAATAATGGTTCGCCGTGGACACTGATTTTCTTCTGACTCTGTCTTAAGATTATAGCATGACACTGATTTAGGAATATTCCTATTCAAATTCACATTTTCTATGTTGAAATTATTATCAATTTTCCCGGGAAGCACACGAACCGAAGCATTTGAAAACCTTAGAAAATTCTTGTCTTTTTTCTTTCCAGCGTTGACTGTGAATTTTTTCCAGCTAAGTCCACTGAGAAATATGGAATGTCGTTTAAAGTTCTTTTCTTTCGTCGTCGGCGGCTGGATCTGATTCTTGGCATTGTTGAGTATTTCATAACTAAAGTTGTTTAAATTAATATCCTCGTATAGAGGCTTCCGCGGCCTTGGAGAGAACGATAGAACAGTCCCCATGATGAATTGCGACACGCAGTGCTGGAGTTTCGGATAAACACTGTTTGCTGCTGATGATGACTGTTATATATTCGCAGTCTCCTGTTGTATTTCACAACATCTCCTTACCGATAAAATCCCAGTCGGTATTCTCTCAGTTTGGTACCACAAATCATCACCTTGTGTCTATTCACTCCAAGTAACCTTACCTATTGTTTCATGTCTATTAATTTACCGGTGAGAAAAACCAAAATGGAGCTACAGTTCTTGTCATTTCTGGCTCCTTGCTTTAGAACTGAATACTTTAACATAATCAGTAGAAATGACATCATCTCCATGGTAACATCGATAATCGATACGTCTGCCTACTGTAGCAATCCTGCCTAGCTTACTCTGCAGCCCACACCGCAAGCTAAGCCAGTACTGGCACTGAAATAATGGTAAGGTAAAAATCAATTCACGCCGCTCGCTATATTCAAGATCATGAACAATGAATCAATGAGTACTATGTTACGACTTCAGTATTCAGGATGGCAATAGACGATCATAACACAGAGCTCGAACGCACCATTAATAATTGTCAAAAATCGATTAACGCTTTTCGCTCAATATATGACTGAATTATTCAGGTTGCTTCATTTGAACACACTAGTTACATTATGTACAACTGTTCTGTCTAAAGAGCACCGGGTGTTAAATACCAATAACACAAAAATACAAGAATGATTCAGGAGGAAATAACTCTGACTGTTTTGTCTGTTCTGACTACATATGGTTAATGAGGAAGTAACTCCGACTGTTTTGTCTGTTCTGACTACAGATGGTTAATAATGTAGTAACCCTAATTGTTTTGTCTGTTCTGACTACAGATGGTTAATGATGAAGTAACTCCGACTGTTTTGTCTGTTCTGACTACAGATGGTTAATGATAAAGTAACCCTAAATATTTTGTCCGTTCTGACTACAGATGGTTAATAATGTAGTAACCCGAAGTGTTTTGTCTGTTCTGACTACAGATGGTTAATGATGAAGTAACTCCGACTGTTTTGTCTGTTCTGACTACAGATGGTTAATGATGAAGTTTTGTCTGTTCTAATGGTTAATGATGAAGTAACCGACTGTTTTGTCCGTTCTGACTACAGATGGTTAATGATGAAGTAACTCCGACAGATGGTTAATGATGAAGTAAACAGGTTTGTCTGTTCTGACTACAGATGGTTAATGATGAAGTAACTCCGACTGTTTTGCCTGTTCTGACTACAGATGGTTAATGATGAAGTAACTCCGACTGTTTTGTTTTGACTACAGATGGTTAATGATGACTACAGATGGTTAATGATGAAGTAACTCCGACTGTTTTGTCTGTTCTGACTACAGATGGTTAATGATGGAGTAACCCTGAATATTTTGTCCGTACTGACTACAGATGGTTAATGATGAAGTAACACCGACTGTTTTGTCTGTTCTGACTACAGATGGTTAATGATGAAGTAACCCTGATTGTTTTGTCTGTTCTGACTACAGATGGTTAATGATGAAGTAACCCTGAATATTTTGTCTGTTCTGACTACTGTTTTGTCTGTTCTGACGACTGTTTTGTCTGTTCTGACTACAGATGGTTAATGATGAAGTAACACCGACTGTTTTGTCTGTTCTGACTACAGATGGTTAATGATGAAGTAACCCTGACAGGTTTGTCTGTTCTGACTACAGATGGTTAATGATGAAGTAACCCTGATTGTTTTGTCTGTTCTGACTACAGATGGTTAATGATGAAGTAACCCTGATTGTTTTGTCTGTTCTGACTACAGATGGTTAATGATGAAGTAACACCGACTGTTTTGTCTGTTCTGACTACAGATGGTTAATGATGAAGTAACACCGACTGTTTTGTCTGTTCTGACTACAGATGGTTAATGATGAAGTAACCCTGATTGTTTTGTCTGTTCTGACTACAGATGGTTAATGATGAAGTAACCCTGATTGTTTTGTCTGTTCTGACTACAGATGGTTAATGATGAAGTAACCCTTGTTTTGTCTGTTCTGACAGATGTTTTGTCTGTTCTGACTACAGATGGTTAATGATGAAGTAACCCTGATTGTTTTGTCTGTTCTGACTACAGATGGTTAATGATGAAGTAACCCTGAATATTTTGTCTGTTCTGACTACAGATGGTTAATGATGAATATTTTGTCTGTTCTGACTACAGATGGTTAATGATGAAGTAACACCGACTGTTTTGTCCGTTCTGACTACAGATGGTTAATGATGAAGTAACTCCGACTGTTTTATCTGTTCTGACTACAGATGGTTAATGATGGAGTAACCCTGAATATTTTGTCCGTACTGACTACAGATGGTTAATGATGAAGTAACACCGACTGTTTTGTCTGTTCTGACTACAGATGGTTAATGATGAAGTAACTGACTACAGATGGTTAATGATGAAGTAACCCTGACAGGTTTGTCTGTTCTGACTACAGATGGTTAATGATGAAGTAACTCCGACTGTTTTGTCTGTTCTGACTACAGATGGTTAATGATGAAGTAACCCTGATTGTTTTGTCTGTTCTGACTACAGATGGTTAATGATGAAGTAACTCCGACTGTTTTGTCTGTTCTGACTACAGATGGTTAATGATGAAGTAACTCCGACTGTTTTGTCTGTTCTGACTACAGATGGTTAATGATGAAGTAACTCCGACTGTTTTGTCTGTTCTGACTACAGATGGTTAATGATGAAGTAACACCGACTGTTTTGTCTGTTCTGACTACAGATGGTTAATGATGAAGTAACCCTGATTGTTTTGTCTGTTCTGACTACAGATGGTTAATGATGAAGTAACTGACTACAGATGGTTAATGATGAAGACCCTGATTGTTTTGTCTGTTCTGACTACAGATGGTTTTGTCTGTTTTTCTGACTACAGATGGTTAATGATGAAGTAACCCTGACTGTTTTGTCTGTTCTGACTACAGATGGTTAATGATGAAGTAACCCTGATTGTTTTGTCTGTTCTGACTACAGATGGTTAATGATGAAGTAACTCCGACTGTTTTGTCTGTTCTGACTACAGATGGTTAATGATGAAGTAACTCCGATTGTTTTGTTTTGTCTGTTCTGACTACAGATGGTTAATGATGAAGTAACTGTTTTGTCCTGACTACAGATGGTTTTGTCTGTTCTGACTACAGATGGTTAATGATGAAGTAACTGACCGACTGTTTTGTCTGTTCTGACTACAGATGGTTAATGATGAAGTAACCCTGAGGTTTTGTCTGTTCTGACTACAGATGGTTAATGATGAAGTAACCCTGATTGTTTTGTCTGTTCTGACTACAGATGGTTAATGATGAAGTAACTCCGACTGTTTTGTCTGTTCTGACTACAGATGGTTAATGATGAAGTAATTTTGTCCGTTCTGACTACTGACCCACTGTTTTGTCTGTTCTGACTACAGATGGTTAATGATGAAGCATCTCCGACTGTTTTGTCTGTTCTCACTACAGATGGTTAATGATGAAGTAACCCTGACTGTTTTGTCTGTTCTGACTACAGATGGTTAATGATGAAGTAAACATGTTTTGTCTGTTCTGACTACAGATGGTTAATGATGAAGTAACCCTGACTGTTTTGTCTTCTGACTACTACAGACTGGTTAATGATGAAGTAACCCTGACTGTTTTGTCTGTTCTGACTACAGATGGTTAATTATGTAGTAACCCTTATTGTTTTGTCTGTTCTGACTACAGATGGTTAATGATGAAGTAACACCGACTGTTTTGTCTGTTCTGACTACAGATGGTTAATGATGAAGTAACTCCGACTGTTTTGTCTGTTCTGACTACAGATGGTTAATGATGAAGTAACCCTGATTGTTTTGTCTGTTCTGACTACAGATGGTTAATGATGAAGTAACTCCGACTGTTTTGTCTGTTCTGACTACAGATGGTTAATGATGAAGTAACCCTGATTGTTTTGTCTGTTCTGACTACAGATGGTTAATGATGAAGTAACCCTGACAGGTTTGTCTGTTCTGACTACAGATGGTTAATGATGAAGTAACCCTGATTGTTTTGTCTGTTCTGACTACAGATGGTTAATGATGAAGTAACACCGACTGTTTTGTCTGTTCTGACTACAGATGGTTAATGATGAAGTAACCCTGACAGGTTTGTCTGTTCTGACTACAGATGGTTTGTCTGTTCTGACTACAGATGGTTAATGATGAAGTAACACCGACTGTTTTGTCTGTTCTGACTACAGATGGTTAATGATGAAGTAACTCCGACTGTTTTGTCTGTTCTGACTACAGATGGTTAATGATGAAGTAACTCTTTTGTCTCTGACTACAGATGTGATTTGTTTTGTCTGTTCTGACTACAGATGGTTAATGATGAAGTGACTGTTTTGTCTGTTCTGACTACAGATGGTTAATGATGAAGTAACCCTGACTGTTTTGTCTGTTCAGATGGTTAACTAGTAAGAGAGTTTTGTCTGTTCTGACTACAGATGGTTAATGATGAAGTAACCCGACTGTTTTGTCTGTTCTGACTACAGATGGTTAATGATGAAGTAACCCGACTGTTTTGTCTGTTCTGTACAGATGTGATGAAGTAACACTGATTGTTTTGTCTGTTCTGACTACAGATGGTTAATGATGAAGTAACCCGACTGTTTTGTCTGTTCTGACTACAGATGGTTAATGATGAAGTAAATCGAGTTTTGTCTGTTCTGACTACAGATGGTTAATGATGAAGTAACCCTGACAGTATTTGTCTGTTCTGACTACAGATGGTTAATGATGAAGTAACCCCTGACTGTTTTGAGACTACAGATGGTTAATGATGGATGGTTCTAGGGGTACAGAGAGTGATATGATGAGCGTAACCCCTGGAGTATTGAGGATGGTTCTAGGGGTACAGAGAGTGATAATGATGAAGTAACCCCTGGAGTATTGAAGGATGGTCTGTTCTCTACAGAGGTTACAGAGAGTTCTGATTGTTTTGTCTGTTCTGACTACAGAGTGAGCGTAACCCCTGGAGTATTGAGAGAGGACAGAGATTGATAGTGACTGTAACCCCGTGAGTATTGAGGATGGTTCTAGGGGTACAGAGAGTGATATTGAGCGTAACCCCTTGAGTATCGAGGATGGTTCTAGGGGTACAGAGAGTGATAGTGAGCTTAACCCCTGGAGTATTGAGGATGGTTCTAGAGGTACAGAGAGTGATAGTGAGCGTAACCACTGGAGTATTGAGGATGGTTCTAGGGGGACAGAGAGTGATAGTGAGCGTAACCCCTGGAGTATTGAGGATGGTCGTAACCCCTGAGTATTGAGGATGGTTCTAGGGGTACAGAGAGTGATAGTGAGCGTAACCCCTGGAGTATTCGAGGATGGTTCTAGAGGTACAGAGAGTGATAGTGGTCGTAACCCCTGAGTATGGAGGATGGTTCTAGGGGTACAGAGAGTGACAGTGAGCGAAACCCCTGGAGTATTGAGGATGGTTCTAGAGGTACAGAGAGTGATAGTGGTCGTAACCCCTGAGTATTGAGGATGGTTCTAGGGGTACAGAGAGTGATAGTGATCGTAACCCCTAAATATTGAGGATGGTTCTAGGGGCACAGAGAGTGACAGTGAGCGTAACCCCTGAGTATTGAGGATGGTTCTAAAGGTACGGAGAGTGATAATGATCGTAACCCCTGAGTATCGAGGATGGTTCTAGAGGTACAGAGAGTGATAATGATCGTAACCCCTGAGTATCGAGGATGGTTCTAGAGGTACAGAGAGTGATAATGATCGTAACCCCTGAGTATTGAGGATGGTTCTAGGGGTACAGAGAGTGATAATGATCGTAACCCCTGTAGTATTGAGGATGGTTCTAGAGGTACAGAGAGTGATAATGATCGTAACCCCTGAGTATCGAGGATGGTTCTAGAGGTACAGAGAGTGATAATGATCGTAACCCCTGAGTATCGAGGATGGTTCTAGGGGTACAGAGAGTTTTAGTGGTCGTAACCCCTGAGTATTGAGGATGGTTCTAGGGGTACAGAGAGTGATAGTGAGCGTAACCCCTGGAGTATGGTGGTTGGTTTTAGGGGTACAGAGAGTGATAGTGAGCGTAGTTCCTGGAATATTGAGGATAGGTGATTGGATGATATGAAGGTTGCTCCATTTCCAAAAAAGACAAAAAGGTTTTGACTTTCAACAAGACAGTCTTTTCCGTCCATTCCCGGTGTCGACAGCTGTATCGTTGCTTCCCATTGACAAGACAGGGTTACTCTTCCAATGGGAAATACCAATCTGCAAGCCTGACTGTAAAACTTCTTCTCTAGTACCTATAGGAGTAATATGTTGAAGGACACATTAATCCCTAAGTTACTGTAAGACATAGTGGAGTCTATGTCAGACTGAAATAAACATAGTTTGGAAATTCTAATGAGACAAACATGTCCCCGGTTCTGATGTTTCTTAGATTGCCTCGAAAATTGGACAATTTATTCGTTCATACTTTCGTTATTCCTTCATTGAACTTTCCAGTAATACGCATCCAACGAAAAATTGTTTGTTAGGATCCAGTACCAATATTGGACCATACCATCGATATTACTTACTAGATTCTATATATAGAAGATCCAGTACCAATATCGGACCATAACGTCGATATTACTTACTAGATTCTATATATAGAAGATCCAGTACCAATATTGGACCATAACGTCGATATTACTTACTAGATTCTATATATAGATGATCCAGTACCAATATTGGACCATACCGTCGAAATAACTTACTAAATTCTATATATAGAAGATCCAGTACCAATTTTGGACCATACCGTCGATATTACTTACTAGATTCTATATATAGAAGATCCATACCAATATGGGACCATACCGTCGATATTACTAAATTTATATAGATTCTATATACGAAATAACTTACTAAATTCTATATATAGGAGATCCGGTACCAATATTGGACCATACCGTCGATATTACTTACTAGATTCTATATATAGAAGATCCAGTACCAATATTGGACCATACCGTCGATATTACTTACTAGATTCTATATATAGAAGATCCAGTACCAATATTGGACCATACCGTCGATATTACTTACTAGATTCTATTTATAGAAGATCCGGTCCAAATGTTGGACCATACCGTCGACATTACTTACTAGATTCTATATATAGAAGATCCAGTACCAATATTGGACCATGCCGTCGAAATAACTTACTAAATTCTATATATAGAAGATCCAGTACCAATATTGGACCATACCGTCGATATTACTTACTAGGTTTTATATATAGAAGATCCAGTACCAATATTGGACCATGCCGTCGAAATAACTTACTAAATTCTATATATAGAAGATCCAGTACCAATTTTGGACCATACCGTCGATATTACTTACTTGATTCTATATATAGAAGATCCAGTACCAAAATTGGACCATACCGTCGATATTACTTACTAGATTCTATTTATAGAAGATCCGGTCCAAATATTGGACCATACCGTCGATATTACTTACTTGATTCTATATATAGAAGATTCAGTACCAATATTGGACCATACCGTCGATATTACTAGATTCTACCAAGCTCAGGTACAATCACAACAGGTAATCTGGAGCCTTCGGATCAACAGCATTGTTTTATATGATGTATTGTGTTACTCGAAGACATTGTAACACGACAAACAAAGGAAGACACGTTTTGATTCCTGTCCTACCTAGCGGAGGAAGGTTGTAATTAAGACAGATAATCAAGTCTATAGGACGGGCCAAATCCGAAATTCAGTAATATAAATTCAGACTATGGGACCTGGTGGGAGAAGCCATTTCATCTGTCAAAGTCCATATATAGTTATAGCCCTCCAGGAGAAGGGGGGGGGGGGGGTTGGAGTGGGGGGAGAGTAACTATATATCATAGAAACCATAAAATATAGTTTAAAATAACAGAACTATGGGTACAGATCTACTGGATAATAGACCATGCCGTTCCATCCCTGGACTTCAAGGCCATAAAATAATTCAACCTAACTATGAGGGCTACTGAAATGTATAGGTACTTTTACAGTACAGTGTAGGCATGGAAGAATAAAACTCTCCAGCCACAGTTAAATGCGTCTCATCTCACGCTCATTTGAGCTTAAGGGAGCTCACTGCCTATGCATCCTGGAGTCCTTCAACACTGAGGCGTCCTAAGACTGTCGTCAGTCATTGCTCAGGCCAAGTCGTTCATCCTCCGGAAGTGGTGTTTCCGATAAATACAGCAGGAACTCGAGAGGGGGCCTTCATAAAACAAGAAGTGTAGTGGAATCTTGGGGATTTATCTCCCTTGGATGGGACTCGCAACTGAACGGGGTATCATGACCCGTCAAACCGATCTCTTAACTTGTAACTTAGAAATCGTACAGACACACTTTTCGAACAGGAGTAACTTTCACTGTGCCGCTTCTTTGTAAGGAGCTAGGAGCAGCCCTAGAGGGTACTGTGCGTCATTTACACACTGTTATCCTCTACCAAGGACCGCAACTCTCCTGGCTTTCAAACTTTTGAACTTAATTGTTTAGTGTTATTGATAAAAAAACAAGCACATTTCACAAACTAAGAAAAACATAAATACACACAAAAATAAATATATTTACAAAAGAGAAATAACATAGTACGGTAATATTTAACAGAAGTTCCAATACCCTTCAAAAACGATCACGTCCAACAATGGAAGGGAGATAACTCGAACATAATTTGTCTCTTCTAGAAAATCAATGTATCGATCCAGCCACTGCACGCGAAGTGTGTGTAGACAGCAAGAGTTGTTTTTCTTGCTGCGTGGGTAACATCGAGCGCCCTCTGTCGGCCGAATTACCTATCTACGATATTATAATTTATGTGTCCGATTCCTATGTGCGTCAGTAATGCTGACGATATAGTGAGAGACAAAAAACCGCCATGTAATTTTCTGTGAACGGTCGCCATAACAGAAGCAGGAGAGGAGACATTTAGTAAAGAGTTCAAGCATTATCCTTCACCATGCCATGGGTTACAAACGGTAGTTAGCAGAGGAGCTCCGAGGCGGATATGGTGAGCTATCAATAAGGTACTGTTTACATCCTGTGTATAAAGCAGAGGGCATATATAGATTTCCTATACACATATACACACGTACTGACGAAACAGGCTCGATGCTGCTCCGTACACAAATAGTCGGGGTCGAGTTTTACGATGCCGTGCTCAACAATGAACTACAATTATTGAAACGTTTGGTGACCCAACATAAGATCGACCTCAATGCTAAATTCATTGAGGTGAGAAAGAAAAACCATGCCGATCTTTGTCCCATCCATCTGGCATCATACAGAGGCTACACATATATGTTACAGTATCTCATTGAATCAAAATGTGACGTCAACCAGACAACAACCACTCTGAGAAGAACAGCCCTTCATTTCGCTGTCTTGCGACATAAGATGGCGTGCATGTTGTTATTAATTGCTGCAGGGGCACAATTGGACGCTAAGGACACATTCAGCAATTCGCCTTGCCACTACGCGGCAGACGACGGCTACTGTCAAATGTTGGACGTTTTGATACGAAGGGGTGTGAATGTTGACACTTTAGATATTACGTCAAAGACACCGTTGATGAAAGCTGTGAGAAATAACAAAACAGACGCGGTACTACGTCTACTGAGGGCCCAATGTAATATTAATATCACCGACAGAAATAGTGACATGGCCCTCCATTACGCTGCTAGAAATGGATGTGCTGACGTCATTGACATCCTTATTTCCGCCGGAAGTCTAATAGATGTCCAGAATTATTGGGGACGAACACCGCTGATGGAAACGGTCTGTTACAACCATAAAGATGCTGTTGCTCGTCTGCTCAAAGCCAGCTGTGATTTAAATAGGCGGGAGTTTAAAACAGGGGACACCGCTTTACATATTGCTATTAAACGGAACTATACAGAAGTTGTGGGTCTTCTTCTTGCCGCCGGAAGTAGACATGATATATACAACCACCAGGGGGAGACAGCTGCGTACGATGCAGTAGTTAGCAACAAAGTGGAAATAATCCGCCTCATGGTTATCCACAATTGTGACCCAGAACAACCAGGGAAGTACTTTTCTGATGGAGTTTACAAATCCCTTTTCCAAATTGCAGCAGAAAAGGGTCATTTTGATATCTGTCGTCTTCTAGCCTCGTTTGGATATGTTGACTTTAGAGCACGTGGGTATATATATATGAATTATATTCCTCCCCGTCTCGTCACAGAGCAGGAAGATGTTGTGCAATGGTTACGACGGAAAATGCAGACTCCTACCTCCTTACAATTACTCTGCAGGAAGTGCATCCGCAAACGACTTGGACACAAAATAGTCCATACTGTTGAATGTTTACCAATACCCAGAGCTTTGAGAGAATTTGTACTGATCAAAGATATGGACGAAGAAGAAGAAAAAAATTTGCGGTGATTAGATTTTGCTAGTGTGTATAATGTTATGGTTTATAATCGTAGCTTTGATGAGTATGTCTGTCTGTGACAATAAAGATAACAGCACTTTACATTTATAAGTAGGCGAAAAACAGGTCAAATCAACTGTGCATACCATCATAACACTATTAAGTAACCAAACAAAAATGGTCCGTACCCCAGATCTCTTTTCACTGAGAAAGAAAACTTTGCTAAATCATGTATACAAATATATACGGCCCTTACACCCATATCTTTGAAGCGGTAAACTATTGGATTAACGTAGCTGCTTGTTAAATTATTTCAATCCTCAATTTTCATGGTTACACTGGTTAGTTATTGAATAAGACTCCATATTAATAGTCTGGAATTAGGCCAATTAATTCCCTGAACTATTATATAAAGGAAGATATTGGCCCTTCCTTACAGCAAGGACAAAGAGTGTTGATCAATATAGCTGATTCGTTAGTTTATTACTGTTTTCAATATATTTTTGTTTAAATAATACAAATAGATCTTAGAATGAGTCTGATATGATACACAAATATACTAGGATGAGTCCTATATGATGCACATAGACACCAGGATGAGACTGCTATGATACACAAAGACACTAGGATGAGACTGCTATGATACACAAAGACACTAGGATGAGACTGTTATGATACACATAGACACTAGGATGAGACTGTTATGATACACATAGACACTAGGATGAGACTGTTATGATACACATAGACACTAGGATGAGACTGCTATGATACACAAAGACACTAGGATGAGTCTGCTATGATACACAAAGACACTAGGATGAGACTGCTATGATACACAAAGACACTAGGATGAGACTGCTATGATACACATAGACACTAGGATGAGTGTGCTATGATACACAAAGACACTAGGATGAGTATGCTATGATGCACATAAATACTGGGATGAGTGTGCTATGATACACAAAGACACTAGGATGAGTGATATGATACACAAAGACACTGGGATGAGTATGTTATGATGCTCATAGACACTAGGATGAGTGATATGATACACAAAGACACTTGAATGAGTCTGATATGGATAGTTCTATGTCTTTTTCATATTATAAGAATCATTATGTCTAGAGATTTTCTTATCTCTTCATACCAGAACGGAGGAAATATTTTTATCAAAGTCGATCTGCAAGGCCTTCATTGTTACATTTCTATTTTTTATGATCCGTCAAAGCTGCGAAAATTTGTCATGGCATTTACACAAGTTATAAATGTCACAGATGCTATTTTTTTGTATGAATGTTATATAAAGTTATCCGTTCAAGATGTTGCATTTATATGAACCTAGTTATCAGTTCATGCTGAGCGTACCACTAACTGTGATTAGTTCATATCGAAACAAACCCTGAAGCTAACAGTTCACGTCTTTAAACGCAGTGAACTTTCCAGAAAGTTACCTGTTCATAGTTTGCTCCTCGGTGAGCAGGCAATTTGGAGATCCAGAGAGGTTCAAGGTTTTGTTACTGCTTGAACATGTTTGAGATTGGCTCATAGTTTTGTTATTGTGAACATAGCTGTCGGGGACAGGTTCCTGAATCTGTTAGTTTGTGAACTTGTCAAGGACCGGTTCCTGAATCTGTAAGTTTGTGAACTTGTCAGGGACCGGTTCCTGAATCTGTTAGTTTGTGAACGTGTCAGAGATCGGTTCACAATTCTAATAGTTTGTGAACTTGTCAGAGATCGGTTCACAATTCTAATAGTTTGTGATTTTGTCAGATCAGTTTCTGAATCTGTTAGTTTGTGAACTTGTCTGAGATGGTACCTGAATTTGTAATTGTGTGAGCTTGTCAGGGATCGGTTCACAATTCTAAACGTTGATGAAGAGAGATCGGTTCTTGTTAACGTTCGGTGATTTTCACTATTGTTCTGCTGTTAAATGCTATAGATTGTGAAGTGTGATTTGTTACTGCTGTGAACTTTATTGAACTTTCCAAGCAAAGGATGTATGCTACCTTACTTTGATGACGCAATATGTTTTAAAGTGTCTCTTACAAAAGCATCTGCCAGTGATCTTATGAACGGTTTGATAATTTATCAACACTGACATACAGACGTGCTAATTACCTACTGACTTTGATGGCCTTGAGGTGTTAGTTTTTTCAGAAAACATACATTTACATCACTAGCGACTGCCGGTGGCCAGTCTACGTTTTCGCTTTCAAATTAAAACGTACACAATCCTGCCACCGTTTCTTAACACCAGACATTCCAACTCGTCAAGCATTCATACCCACTAGAATATGGTACCATGGGGAGATCAAAGTAGTTTCAGATATCTTATACCATTCCTTGGTAAGTAAGGGTGAGTGTAATTTATGAGGGTGTCATTAAGGATTCTTTAGGGATCAAAAGAGAGGGTGTCAGTAAGGATTCTTTAGTGATCAAAAGAGAGGGTGTCAGTAAGGATTCTTCAGGGATCAAAAGAGAGGGTGTCAGTAACGATTCTTGATTGGTCAAAAGAGAGGGTGTCAGTAAGGATTCTTTAGAGATCAAAAGAGAGGGTGTCAGTACCAATTCTTTAGGGATCAAAAGAGAGGGTGTCAGTAAGGATTCTTTAGGGATCAAAAGAGAGGGTGTCAGTAAGGATTCTTTAGTGATCAAAAGAGAGGGTGTCAGTAAAGATTCTTTAGGGATCAAAAGAGAGGGTGTCAGTAAGGATTCTTTAGGGATCAAAAGAGAGGGTGTCAGTAAGGATTCTTTAGTGATCAAAAGAGAGGGTGTCAGTAAAGATTCTTTAGGGATCAAAAGAGAGGGTGTCAGTAAGGATTCTTCAGGGATCAAAAGAGAGGGTGTCAGTACCAATTCTTTAGGGATCAAAAGAGAGGGTGTCAGTAAGGATTCTTTAGGGATCAAAAGAGAGGGTGACAGTAAGGATTCTTTAGGGATCAAAAGAGAGGGTGTCAGTAAGGATTCCTTAGGGATCAAAAGAGAGGGTGACAGTAAGGATTCTCTAGGGATCAAATGAGAGGATGTCAGTAAGGATTCTTTAGGGATCAAAAGAGGGGGTGTCAGTAAGGATTCTTTAGGGATCAAAAGAGAGGGTGTCGGTAAGGATTCTTCAGTGATCAAAAGAGAGGGTGTCAGTAAGGATTCTTTAGGGATCAAAAGAGAGGGTGTCAGTAAGGATTCGTTAGTGATCAAAAGAGAGGGTGTCAGTAACGATTCTTGATTGGTCAAAAGAGAGGATGTCAGTAAGGTTTCTTTAGGGATCAAAAGAGAGGGTGTCGGTAAGGATTCTTCAGTGATCAAAAGAGAGGGTGTCAGTAAGGATTCTTTAGGGATCATAAGAGAGGGTGTCAGTAAGGATTCTTTAGGGATCAAAAGAGAGGGTGTCAGTAAGGATTCTTTAGGGATCATAAGAGAGGGTGTCAGTAAGGATTCTTTAGGGATCATAAGAGAGGGTGTCAGTAAGGATTCTTTAGGGATCAAAAGAGAGGGTGTCAGTAAGGATTCTTTAGGGATCAAAAGAGAGGGTGTCAGTAAGGATTCTTTAGGGATCATAAGAGAGGGTGTCAGTAAGGATTCCTTAGGGATCAAAAGAGAGGATGTCAGTAAGGTTTCTTTAGGGATCAAAAGAGAGGGTGTCAGTAAGGATTCTTTAGGGATCAAAAGATTGTTGTCAATCTGAGAGAAATAGTAGAACCACTCTCTACGCTAATTTCAGTGTGAAAATGAAGATTTGGACCAGACTACCGATTAACAGTTGTTTTCTGACATAAACCCAACCCCAATCCCAACCCCCAACCCCAACCCCAATCCCAACCCCAATCCCAACCCCAACCCCAACCCCAATCCCAACCCCAATCCCAACCCCCAACCCCAACCCCAACCCTAACCCTAACCCTGACCCCCAACCCCTCCCCAATCCCTACCCCAACCCCCAACCTCTCCCAAATCCCAACCCCAAACCCCTTTCTAATCCCAACCCCGAACCCCACCCCAATCCCAACCCCCAACCTCTCCCTAATCCCAACCCCAACCCCTCCCAAATCCCAACCCCAACCCCTCCCCAATTCAAACACCAACCCCAATACCAACCCCATCCCAAGCCCAATCCCAACCTCCAACCCTCCCCAATCAATAAACCCCAAACCCCACCCCAATCCCTACCCCTTACCCCTCCCTAATCCCAACCCCAAACCCCACCCCAATCCCTACCCCGGACCCCTAACCCCATCCCTATCCCGATCCTACCCTAATCCCACCCCCAAAACCCATCCAAATCCCGACCCCAACCCCTCCCCAATCCCAACCCTAAACCTCACCCAAATTCCGACTCCAACCCCTCCCCAATCCTAACCCCAACCCCAACCCTAATTCCAATCCCGACCTGACCCCAATCCCAACCCCCAACCCCAAACCCGACCTGACCCCAATCCCAACCCCCAACCCCAAACCCTAATCCCAATCCCGACCTGACCCCAATCCTAACCCCCAACCAGTTAAAAATGAAAGTCAATAACAGTCGAATGTAGTTGTTATAAACTCATGTAGACAATCTTGTGAGATGTCTATACCTGGTAACACTTGTTAGGATGTGAAAACAGGTTTTATATGTCGTTATAAAGGGAGATTATTTGGACAGCAATTATTAGTGTGTGTAAGTAGCTTATATCTGTACTGAGCCTCCAGTGTAACAATAGAGAGGGGGAATGGGGTGGGGGATTAGAGGGAGAGAGAGAAAGAGGGAGAGAGGAAGAGGGAGTGTTAGAGGGAGAGAGGTCGAATTTGCAGACAGGCTAAAGGCCAGTAATCATGTATATTGTATATTGATTAGAAGTCCCGTACTGATAAAAATTGAGAAACATATACTGTTATTATTAAAGATATTACGGTTCTCGTGTAAAGATTATACCTCAGAGTTTGTTTGTATTTTGTCTGTGTGGGTTTATCTACTGATCCTCCACCCCACACACAAACTTTTCGCTCCCCTCCTCCTCATGCTCGAGTCGAGGAACTACCACAACAACACAAAATAAGGTTCCAGCTACTCGTGAATATACCACGATCCGTCCCGAAATGGGCATCGGATAATTACCTCTGGTTGTATATTTTATTATCCCTACCGACTGGCATACCGGGGCCACTTCCGACTGACCTCTCCCGACCCCTACCGACTGACCTCTTGCGACCCCTACCGACTGACCTCTCGCGACCCATATCGACTGACCTTTTGCGACCCCTAAAGACTGACCTCTCTCGGCCCCTATCGACTGCCCTCTCGCGACCCCTGCCGACTGACCTCTCGCGACCCCTATCGACTGACCCCTCGCGACCCATATCGACTGACCTTTTGCGACCCCTAAAGACTGACCTCTCGCGGCCCCTATCGACTGCCCTCTCGCGACCCCTAAAGACTGACCTCTCGCGGCCCTTATCGACTGACCTCTCGCGACCCCTGCCGACTGACCTCTCGCGGCCCCTGCCGACTGACCTCTCGCGGCCACTATCGACTGACCTCTCGCGACCCCTATCGACTGACCTCTCGCGGCCCCTATCGACTGACCTCTCGCGACCCCTGCCGACTGACATCTCGCGGCCCCTATCGACTGACCTCTCACGACCCTGCCGACTGACCTTTCGCGGCCCCTATCGACTGACCTCTCGCGACCCCTGCCGACTGACCTCTCGCGATCCCTATGAAAGGCTATAACTATACTCAAGGAAATAGTTTCTGTATTTTTCGCTTTTTTTGTTTGTTGTTTTAATGTATTGATGTTTATACATGTTTATCATTAAGAAACAGTTAGGTTTGCGCATAGTAAATCATCACAAACGACACTGATCCATCAGCGTTCATTGTTTTATGAATGACATTGATCCATTAGCGTTCGACGTCTTATGAATGACATTGATCCATCAGTGTTTATCGTCTTATGAATGACATAGATCCGTCAGCGTTCATTGTCTTATGAATGACATTGATCCATCAGTGTTTATCGTCTTATGAATGGCATAGATCCGTCAGCGTTCATTGTCTTATGAATGACTTTGATCCATCAGCGTTCATCGCCTCGTGAATGCAAAAAAACTATCATTGTTAGAGTATATATTGAAACGACATAGAAGGTGGAGACATACGTGTAATGATATGACAAAGGAAGTGCACGTGCCACACGAGACCGTGCTGTTAGGTATCAAATACACTCTGTACGATTAATAACGTCTTCATTCCAAAAAATCTCTTGCCCAGGTTTGTATACATTGTGTAGACTTTATATAGAAATCCAGATGAAAAGTTTATTTTGATATGTTTATTGATCATTGACCACCAAGTTGTATAGCAGCGTGATTGCTATTTGACATGTACAAAAAGTGAATTAGTGTGTAAAGTTTGTGTTATATGCATTATAAAATTGATGTCGACGCGTTTTTAAATTCTCATTGTTTTGTCATAGTTTAACTTTGAGTCAACTCTAATTGAAAAAGAAATACACTCTCCAAAAACTCATACATAAATACATTTACATTGTCCTATGTTCAGTTTTCACTTTTTATTGTCAATCTGAGGTTAAATCCCGTGTGAAGTGTGTACATGCTGAATGTAAGATGAATTCGCTTCAAAAGTGATAAAGTTTCTTCTGCATTAATTTAATGAAATAAATATTTTTTTGAAGTTAGTCCTGAATTGATGGATTTCATTTCAATCTGTCTGTGTACACATGACCATCGCCAACCAATATTAAGTTATAGTTATTTAATAAAATTCCGTAATCCGAAAAAAGTATACCGGATACCTTAATCACATTCCTGAACTAAAATAAGACATCACACCCCTAGACGTGTGTATTATGTGTTACTCTCCTAGTCAAACACATGTGTATCACGCATTACCCCTCTAGTCAAACGGGTGTGTATCACGTGTTACTCTTTTTGTCAAACACGAGTGTATCACGTGTTTCCCCTCTAGTCAAACACGTGTGTATCACTTGTTACCCCTCTTGTCAAACAAGTGTGTATCACGTGGTACTCCTCTAGTCAAACACGTGTATCACGTGGTACTCCTCTAGTCAAACACGTGTGTATCACGTGTTACCCCTCTAGTCAAACACATGTGTATCACGTGGTACTCCCCTGGTCAAACACACGTGTATCACGTGTTACTCCCCTAGTCAAACACATGTGTATCACGTACTACTCTCCTAGTCAAACACATGTGTATCACGTGTTACTCCTCTACTCTAACATGTGTGTATAATGTGTTTACCCTCTTGTTAAACACTTGTTTATCACAGGATAACCCGTTTGACACACGTAGGTATCACGTGTTACCCGTCTAGTCAAACACGTGTGTATCTTTTTACTTCTCTTGTCAAACACGTGTAGATCACGTGTCAGCCCTGTATTCAGACTTGTTTGTATCATGTGTCTCTCCTGGAATGAAACACTTCCGAATCACGTGTCACTCCAGGAGCCCAAATCATGTATATCACGTGTCACTCATGGAGTCAAACTACTGTGCATCACGAGTCACTCTTTGAGTCAAACACATGAGTATCACCTGTCAACTCTCGAATCAAACTCGTGTGCATCACGTGTCACTCCCGGAGTCAAACTATTGTGCATCACGAGTCACTCTTTGAGTCAAACGCATGAGTATCACCTTTGTATCACGTGTTTGTCAAACTCAAAAACAAGTCCGATACGTATCAAGTTTCCTGGTTTTAGAACTGTATTAACATAAATGGTCTACTTTAATCTGTTCACCGCTAATTATCACCGTGTTTTGTGTCCTGATAAAGTGTGGTGTACCGTCAGCAGTGTTGGAAGTTTTGTCACTTCGCGCCACATTTGTGTGCTGATGTAAAACGCGACGAAACTTGCATAAACATGTACTATTTTCCATTTTTGACACATTTCGTCAGCATACCGTAGGAAGCTGGTGAGTTCCTGTTTTGATGTGATCTTGTATAATTGGGTGGGAATATTAAATATTTAGGTTGTGAAGCACTTAGATAGACAGCAAGGAGAACAGGTACGACGAATTCATTACAAAATTATAATGATCTGAAACCAGAACAAAAGTGTCCAAGTGATCACATGTCCAGGAGGTCATTGGTATATAGAGGTCTCGAAATGAATAAAGCTTCCAAAGTCGCTATAAGACATTGAGATATAATAAAAAAAACTTTACCTGTTTGATAGATACTCAATCACTATATTTCTGTTCATTTTGTATAAAAAATTAAACATTCATTTTACCTGTAGTTATCTGATCAGTATAAATTACTGACTTTACCTGTAGTTATCTTATCAGTATAAATGACTTTACCTGTAGTTATCTGATCAGTATAAATGACTTTACCTTTAATTGTCTGATCAGTATAAATGACTTTACCTGTAGTTATCTGATCAGTATAAATGACTTTACCTGTAGTTATCTGATCAGTATAAATGACTTTACCTTTAATTGTCTGATCAGTATAAATGACTTTACCTTTAATTGTCTGATCAGTATAAATGACTTTACCTTTAATTGTCTGATCAGTATAAATGACTTTACCTTTAATTGTCTGATCAGTATAAATGACTTTACCTTTAATTGTCTGATCAGTATAAATGACTTTACCTTTAATTGTCTGATCAGTATAAATGACTTTACCTTTAATTGTCTGATCAGTATAAATGACTTACCTGAAGATAAGATCAAGTATGAAGAATACGTATATATTTTATTATTTACGTGTGTCCACATCTTCTATGCATACTAAATCCCAGATATGAGCTAACTATTCCAGTGGTGGTATTGAAGATATCATTGATCATATGTCGATGTAGATTTCTTGTTTTAATTCATTAAGTGTATATGTATGATAAAACGTTGACGATGTTTTAAACAAATTTGGAAATAAATTCTAAGAACATTTTATTGTTTGAATGTTCATCGTCTTTCTTTCATTTGTTTGGGTAATACTCTATCGCATGCTTTAGAAAGATAAATTACTTTGGGATTTAGTCAGGTGATGGTATACATTTTAAGTGGTCTTTCCTCCGTAGTCCATCCGTGGTCCGTCCTTGGTCCGTCTACAACGCTTGTATTTCTTCGGAAAATTCGGATGAATATCTTATTGATCCTCCAAATATTGCTTGTCCGTCTTGAACTGATAAATTGAATGTTGACCTTTATAATCTCTTATCCTTATTCTGTAAGAAATGCGTTTACAACATCGTTTTTACATATCTTGGTTGCCCTTGACCCCTTGACACGCGATGTCTGTTTTGGGACTGATGGGAATATAAAAACTGACCAACTGATGGCCGGCTTGGATTTTGACAGTTTTAGTTTAAAAGGGACCAAAGAATTATCACTTCGGTTCTCCTCTAGAAACAGCGATAACAACAATTTAATTGATAGAATTAAAGATTGTTTTGTTAATCCTATGATTGTATTAGACCTACCAATGGAAAGGATCTAACGAAATAGGAACAAAAGATGGACTTCGTTTTCCAGATAGGTCAAAAAATTATAATGCTCAAGCATCGAAAAATAAAACTTTCAACAAATAGCGCTCAACGAGAATGATTTTATTTCAATTTCATCGCCCAGGTCTTACATTTATTTAAAGGCATAAGGGAGACAACTCCCATTGATAATTTCGACATCATTACAACGATAGTCCCATATAACAGTATAAAGCCAATGCTCACATACAATTGCTCTTACACCAACGTGTACTTTTGTATTTTTAATCATTAGAAATAGAATAGTTCTTAATGAAATCACGTAAGTCTTCTCAATAATTTTCATTTTTTAAACCCTGTGTTCCGCGGATGGTTTGAACGTCCATTGACGAGTTCTTGCACAAAAAAAATCGTGATAACTGGACCAGACCTTCGAATATCGAAATAACTGGACATGTAACCACCATAGGCTGCGGAAGCAGGCAGGTTGCTTTCCAGAAAATGTTATTTTACACAGTATGACATCAGATGTATTTTCCTTTGATATACCACCATGCTTGATTTCTCATAATTTTGTAAATCTGCAGTTTTAGCATCAACGTTCGCGACCGATATCGGCTACCATAAACAGTTATCTGATGTCAATTTATTGACGTTTATTGAAACATGTATATGGACATCTTTGCAGGAATAATCTTTTCACAATGGATAAATTATGTGCTTTGAATGCTCAGACAGGGAGAAAGGAGGGAAGGTAACTTTGGTTGATCAAGAACTCAGACAGGGAGAAACGAGGGGAGGTAACTCTGGAAGATTAAACCTTCCATTAAACTTCCATTGTGATTTTTTTTTTTAATATATGAATGGCATTGACCCAGTTTAAAAGTCACATGGGTCACAAAGTATTTGCTTGTAGTATGTAGATTTCAGCTAGAATAAAGACCACAAAAAAAGTGCTTTTCAAGATAGCAGTGAAATGTCATCTCGGACTTTGCAAGACATTGAATGATAAGAATATTGGTAAGTATTATATTGGAACCAGTTCATGCTAGTTACGACAAAATCCTTTCGGAGGATGTGGAAATGATGTTTACAATACAATGTCTCTGTACCCTAGTCTGTATCCCCTAGACACATTTGTTTATCTCATTAGTTTATCTAACGGTTTTTTTTACATCCACTATTACGACCTTTCAGCGAAAAAGATAAGAAAATGAGTAGAAAGGGACAAATAAGAAGCAATGAGAGAGACAGGGATACAGAGGTGAGGCACAGGGACCGTCTATTTCTTAAAATATAATTTTGAAGACCGACCATTGCCTAATCTTAGTTATAACCTAACTCAAACTAGGCGCGTCGCAGCACTAGGTTTAGGAAAGAGCGGAAGAGGAATGGGGTCATACACTATACGCCTTATTTAGTCATTTTTAACTTAAACAAGACATAAGGCTTGAGCACAAAAATCATGCTTGAGCATGAGAACGGTTTCATGAATACGGGCCCTGGTCTTTACCATTCTGGAACACCTCGTCTTATTATCTTTTCTTTAGTCTAAAGTTAGACATCTTTGTTATTTACGATTTTCCATTGACTTTCAGTTGAAATTTCAGTGTTTTGATCTGGATTCTTCTGTCAACACGTGCAACTATCTGATAGTATAATCCATGTCGTCATACATTACAACACGTAATATCTAATACGTATCAAAATTATTCCTCTAATTTTACATTAATTTCTAAATGTGAAATTATTAGAAAATAGACTGTACGTCTATTTCAATAATTAAAAAGAGGCCAATGAGCCGGAACGGCCATCTGACTGTAAGTACAGAGTAATATCAACCGTCCTCAGATACACTAACAAATCGCCATTCTACTGACTCATACGTAGTCCGCTAACACTACACAAACGACATTCAAAACCAGTCGTAACAGATATACGTAGGTCAGTCATCATCAATACCCAGTGGTTAAGACGACCTTCAACAAATTTATACAAAATATTTTATTAAAGAAAAAATGATACAGTAATGACAACGGGACTGTTATATACAGAATACACAGAAAATAACACGGAATACACCTCCACTGTGTGACAAAATAACGGTGGCAGTGATGTATGACCAGATTGACATGTCATCCAAGTGTGACGATCCATCAGTGTTATAGACCATAAATGACCGTCAGGTGTAGTCATAAAACTGACCACTAGACGTCACAGAAATTTTCGGGACTCTAACCCTTTTTTGCTATGTTCAGAACTCACCAGAATTATCTCGTTTTTCATGTCTTCAAAAACATTTTTGTTGTATACTGTAAAATTAAGTTGACTTCGTATATCGTTTTTTTTAACTGGAAATTATACTTTAGTGGACACTTCATTACTTCATTATACATTTTCGTATGAAGGTGGATATACTAAAACTTGTCAACATTCTATTTTTACATTTCTTGGACTTTTTATAAAAATGGATTCAGAAAACCAACGCAATAAGCAAAGATGACACATAAAGGAAAATATAAACAAATTTTACTATACACAAAGCTTCTATATATCGCAGATGGTAAGAAATTGACAATAACATATCGTTGTATCATAACGGGATTTCAGCACTGTATTCCCCATCTGATTCATTTACATATCATTAACATGACATTTACATGTCATTAACATATCATTTACATATATCCAATCGCATCCAAGCTGTCAATTAGGACGCTCGGGTATGAAACACTTTGTGTATGTATGTGAGTCGCACTGTTTTAATCAGTTCCGGTTTTTCGCTTTTTTTACTTTTGATTCCAGCCTTAGACAAGACATGTTTGTAAAACTTTTCGTCTTTCTGAAATAAACATGAAGAACACTCTCCAGCTTTCTTAAGCCACTCCGAATCTTTCCTGGCTGTGTACCCTGCAATATAAAGTACACAATTAAAATCCAATAACTAATTAATTCATATATTAATCAATATTCTATTAAATACTTCGTCACATTAGTTTGCTTATGTGTTCATTTGTAAAATCCTAACAATAACCTTAACGGGCAGTGTAGGACAGGGAGCTGTGCGCCAGTGACAGCAGTGTCTTTACCCTATATATAGGGCATGCACGGATAGTTGACATTGATATAAAAAAAAGCACGTCCTTGATGAAATATCCACTATGCATGCTTACGAATAAAATTAACATTAAATTCGTTGACCTTTCAACCTTTAAGTAAGTAACTAGCATATAACATTTTATGCATGATTAGAAGTGTTTTTTAAATAGACTGTCGGCTTTGACAGCTGTATTACTAGGTCAGAATGACTGTCATTCTCATTGTATTCGACCGATAATTCTGGTGTTATTCTGTAGGACCTACATAGACGTGTCCTCATTACTTACGAGGACTAGGAGAGTAGATTTGTGCCTTGGGGCTAAATCAGGAAGGAACACATATTTATATATGTAGGTGCTTGCACTATTTCAGGGGCACGTGTTGCAATAATCAACGTGAGAGCACTAAGTTTACACACGTGTTTGGTTTCAAGGACATATGCAACAAGCAACATTCTACACGTGTTTGGTTTCAGGGACACTTCCAATAAAAGCATCGTTTATCACCAGGAGACACCTGGTGAAATAGTTCAATCGAAACATTTTTATCGGTTTCCTGACATTTTTAGGAATGTTTTTCAGAGTGATAAAGTAGCCTGTTATTTAATTAGAGTAAAAATTTGCATAATTACACTATGATATAGACGAAGGTTGGTAAATCTCAAAAATCACATGCACAAACTATAAGGTTCCGCACCTAAATTACTTAAATTTTCTACGACGCTTAAAGCAACAAAAACATAATTTCAATATTAAAACAGGTCAGTGACGTCATTGTGACGTCATTGTCCATCTCTAATTGTATAGTACCTACCTGACTTAAGTAATTTCCTGGCAATGTCGAGAGTTTGAAGGTCAGTTGCGTAAGTGGCGAAATGGAGTGCTGAGTGACCCTCAAGGTCAGTCTGATTGACGTCACATCCACATTTCAGCAGGTGTAAACATGCCCTCTCTGACCCTAGATGTAAGCCAATCAGAAAGGCCGATCTGCCCATATTGTCTACGTCGTTAATCCTGGCTCCTGTAATGACAAATAGCGTGTCGTAAAATCTGTCCGTCATTAGTTCACTTTCTCAGGCAATGACCCTGTCAGGCGGGGAGTAGATGTGCTCGTCTTTTTCACTACCATTACTCCTTAATACGACTCTATACGTTTACATCTCCTGTGTCACTAATATTCATCTCGAAGTTCGTGATTTTATTTTATTCATTTGTCTACTTATTCATCTGTAATCAAAATCGTACAGAAATCTATCCTTATTACTGAGATACTTTTATATTATCAAAACAAGTTTTTTACAGTGAAAGTTATTGAAATGTGTCTTTGTTTACTACTTGGATATTTATAAATTATTTCCGATAATTTTTCACGCTTACCCGATTTAATCAGCAACTTCGTCATCTCGATGTCGTCCTTCATGGTAGCATACATCAGTGGGCTTTCCCCGGCATTGTCGACCCTGTTTACGTCACAGCATCCTGTTAAATCAAGGTTATCGATTAAAATAATTTACAATTATGATAATTTGGCAAGCTTTCAATGGTCTCGTTTTTTATATAACATATATTGTAAATATTATGAAATTGTCATGACTGTGTGTGACAGATGCCATTATTGATTTCGATGCCTCCACTCGGATTCGAACACGGGACTTATTAGTCTGACGCTCAACCGATCGAGATATAGAGAAGTTCACTCTAGCCGAGCGGTATATTGAGGCTAGAATTAACCAGGGTTACATGTGTTTCAAGTTTGAAAACAAATACATTAACCACGATGTAATGTATTAATGGTCGTGTTCGTTCATGTAAATTGGTGTCAGAAACGTGTCGCTTACAGCCTTAACGAGACTAAGCAATAGACATTTACCAGAACACGTAACAACTCTATATCGGTTTTCTTGTTTACCAAGTCATGACTCAAAACCTACATTTGTATGACACATAAAGAAATCTGAACATGTGAGCGGTAGTCACAAAGTCACGGCGTACACCAACGTTAATTAATGTAACACAGGAATTTCCTTACTAAACCCCGGGCCAATCAGCCGAGACAAAGTACGTCCTTAAAATGCAGAAATTTACCTGAGGACCTAGACATTCATTACATCTAACAGTTATAAATATATCTCGGCATTATCAATCTTGTCCGCGATATTTGACAAATCATACTGATGTTACCTGGTCCTGTTTCCGTATGTAAATTAAATAGACAGATTTGTGATCAATGTAAGGACTGTTCATAAAGGAAGTATGTAAATTTTAATTAAACAGCAAACATTTCTAGGAAATAATTCATAACTTGTCATTAAACATGCATATTTTTTTGTTTTTGTTCTTTTTATTTCTTTTAAGACTTTTCTAGGTAGTGTCCTGTTTCGCAAGAAATAAAATCCAATATCATACTCACCACATGAAACGAAAATCGATGTTCTCTTAACTTACAGAGTCTACAGCCATTGGTAAACACCACTAGTTATAGGTGATTACAGGTAATACCTAGTTATAGGTGATTACAGGTAATACCTAGTTATAGGTGATTATAGGCAATACCTAGTTATAGGTGATTATAGGCAATACCTAGTTATAGGTGATTACAGGCAATACCTAGTTATAGGTGATTACAGGTAATACCTAGTTATAGGTGATTACAGGTAATACCTAGTTATAGGTGAGTATAGGCAATACCTAGTTATAGGTGATTATAGGCAATACCTAGTTATATGTGATTACAGGTAATACCTAGTTATAGGTGATTATAGGCAATACCTAGTTATAGGTGATTACAGGTAATACCTAGTTATAGGTGATTATAGGTAATACCTAGTTATAGGTGATTACAGGTAATACCTAGTTATAGGTGATATCACGACTTTCCGACATTTTTTATGTGACTTGAAGTCGGTTTATTTTTTATCCTACCTTGTTTGATAAGCAGTTTCAGAACATCGTAACTTCCGGCGTCTACAGCCTCATGCAATGGTGTTATCCCGTCATCATCACCGACATTTGGGTCACATCCGGCTTCCAGAAGCTGAATAGCAACTTCCGGTTGATCATACCGGGCTGCATAGAAAAGAAGACTTCTTCCATAAGTGTCTAGCTTGTTCACTTCCTCACAACTACACTTGGAAACACGTGATGTCTTCTGGGACTCGGTGCCTTTCCTCCTGCGTTTCAGCAACGGCGTCGACCAAGACAACAAACTCCAGCTGGATCCTGATGATGTAATTGTCATATCTAATTTCCACACAGACAGACAAAATAATCTGAAATAAGATTATGTTTCAAAATTACTTCCGGTAAAAGATAAGATAAGTTAAATTAACTTTAGTATTGTAAGGCGTGCGTTTCCAGTTATCACGGACTTAATTACCTTGAGATAATTAGATATCCAAGATTACGGTAAATACTCTGGGTGTTCTCTACCACGTCAAGTAAACTGTGGACGAGACGGTGTACTAGGGTCGACTGATACACACATGGACTGGGAAACCCAAAATATGTCTCTGTATATATTTCTGTCACGGTTGTCCATCAACGAAGGTTTAAAACCTTTATCCCCGGGGGGAACTAGCATTCCTTACTATACTGCGTCATTGTGTAAAGGTGTCTTATTTCTGTCAATCAAGAGACGTCGGGAGACCGCCCACAAACAACCCCGCCCACAGCAGCGGACAGCCTCGCACTTTATCGTTATATAAGCTTTGATAACTACTAATGATAAACTGTGAGATCTGCCAGAAGTTTCTTGTGATTTATCCGGACTATTAAACCAGAAGAATGTACATGTCAATTACCAGATCAAAACAAATTATTGGCCCCGCCCACAAAGTAGCACATGACTTGTAATTGCGTTGTTGGTTTAAGATGTTGGTACCAGGATCCTAGGCTTAAAGCCTAATCGGACGAACACTCGCACAGCTGATTAATACATCTTACATGTTGCCAAAAGAAACAGCAGATCTGTACGATAACAAATAGTGGCTACCACTTTGTCCTCTAAAGCATTGCGTAATTTCAATGGTAAATTGGTGCTAGGACAGCTGGTACAAAATTAAACTTAATTTATGATTTTGTGGTTTCGTTGTGACTACAAGATAGAATGGCGGTAAATTAAAGAACTTTTGCGGTCAAATTGATATTCCGATTTTGTAATTAAATGATGCATTTTTTCATGTTTATTGTTCTCTCATAATAACAAAGTCATTTGAATGCAAATCAATAACATATTAAAATAAGATAACAAACAAGAACATTGTGTGAATTCTAGTTTAATGAAAAGATATTTAGGATCACACAATGATCAAAGTCCCCCTTTTTAGCGTTTACAGATATATACAGGCCTGGTAGCGTCAACCAACTTATACTTGTTATAAAAAAGATCGCGAGACATCGTTTACTACATCACATTTACTAATATTCTCACATGACAAACACTTTTGCAAATTACATGTATAAAACATTACGATCGTGAACATTTGTCACATCTCTACATTTATATTTTGCATCGTATTCCGCATAACATCTCCATAAAATTAGTGGATGTATAACATGACTTGGAACGAATCCCAAACAATATCGTATACATATATACCTGAATATGCAAGTGTTTTTAATCAAACATTCCAATGGTAACTGCACTGCTTGTCGAAGTTTTTTTAGAACACCTCTTCAGCTCTCGTTACCAAGGTCAGATAAGCTTTTGTCGCGGTGCGGTCCACTCGTCCTTTTTTCCTGAAGCGAATTCTTCTCAATAACTGAAAGGCTACAAGAGTCATACTATTCACCTGGTAGGTTCCTAGGATGATATAAGCCCATAATCAAAGTCACAAGGGCCACATTGCTAAAAAAAACCCTCAAACGACCTCTTCTGAGTCGCAAAGTCATCTAAAAATCTTACAATCACGACATTGGACCGGTAGTCTCCAGGGCTGACAAAATTACCTTGACCCTTTAGCATGATCTCTGGGGTAAACGTTGCTAGAATCTTCAAATTCAATGGATAAATATTTGTGATAATCATTGATTAACATGTGAAAGGTGCAGGCCCACTGGGCCTCTTGTTTAATCACAGGGGCCTGGCACACAGATAACTAAGCCAGTGACCAATATAAACTGTTCTACCTGAAGTAACCTTGTCCACAGATTCTACCTAATGTAACTGTGACCTTGGCCATCTGTTCTATCTGCTGTGACCTTAACCTATCCTATCTGGGCTCTCTGTGACCATGCCCACCTGTTCTATTTACTGTGATCTTGATCACCTGTTCTACCTGAGGTAACTGTGACCTTGGTCACCTGTTCTATCTGCTGTGACCTTTTTCTCCTCGGGATGTCCTAGCACATGTTTTCTCGTCGGGATGTCCCAGCACATGTTTTCTCGTCGGGATGTCCTAGCACATGTTTTCTCCCCGGGATGTCCCAGCACATGTTTTCTCGTCGGGATGTCCCAGTCCATGTTTTCTCGTCGGGATGTCTAAGCACATGTTTTCTCGTCGGGATGTCCCAGTCCATGTTTTCTCGTCGGGATGTCTAAGTACATGTTTTCTCGTCGGAATGTCCCAGTCCATGTTTTCTCGTCGGGATGTCTAAGCACATGTTTTCTCGTCGGGATGTCCCAGTCCATGTTTTCTCGTCGGGATGTCTAAGCACATGTTTTCTCGTCGGAATGTCCCAGTCCATGTTTTCTCGTCGGGATGTCTAAGCACATGTTTTCTCGTCGGGATGTCCCAGCACATTTTTTCTCGTCGGGATGTCCCAGTCCATGTTTTCTCGTCGGGATGTCTAAGCACATGTTTTCTCGTCGGGATGTCCCAGTCCATGTTTTCTCGTCGGGATGTCTAAGCACATGTTTTCTCGTCGGAATGTCCCAGTCCATGTTTTCTCGTCGGGATGTCCCAGTCCATGTTTTCTCGTCGGGATGTCCCAGTCCATGTTTTCTCGTCGGGATGTCTAAGCACATGTTTTCTCGTCGGAATGTTCTAGTCCATGTTTTCTCGTCGGAATGTCCCAGTCCATGTTTTCTCGTCGGGATGTCCCAGTCCATGTTTTCTCGTCGGGATGTCTAAGCACATGTTTTCTCGTCGGAATGTCTAAGCACATGTTTTCTCGTCGGAATGTCTAAGCACATGTTTTCTCGTCGGAATGTCTAAGCACATGTTTTCTCGTCGGGATGTCCCAGTCCATGTTTTCTCGTCGGGATGTCTAAGCACATGTTTTCTCGTCGGAATGTCCCAGTCCATGTTTTCTCGTCGGAATGTCTAAGCACATGTTTTCTCGTCGGGATGTCCCAGTCCATGTTTTCTCGTCGGGATGTCTAAGCACATGTTTTCTCGTCGGAATGTCCCAGTCCATGTTTTCTCGTCGGGATGTCTAAGCACATGTTTTCTCGTCGGGATGTCCCAGTCCATGTTTTCTCGTCGGGATGTCTAAGCACATGTTTTCTCGTCGGAATGTCCCAGTCCATGTTTTCTCGTCGGGATGTCTAAGCACATGTTTTCTCGTCGGGATGTCCCAGCACATTTTTTCTCGTCTGGATGTCCCAGTCCATGTTTTCTCGTCGGGATGTCTAAGCACATGTTTTCTCGTCGGGATGTCCCAGTCCATGTTTTCTCGTCGGGATGTCTAAGCACATGCTTTCTCGTCGGAATGTTCCAGTCCATGTTTTCTCGTCGCAGTTCAAAACTTTATCAAGGAGTTTTATTTCTTTTTGACATAATGCCATTCACTTAAATGGTGTTCCGTTGTACTGATAATGATAATGCTGTACAAGAACATAGTACTTTTGTATCAAGTAATTGTATAAAATATTTCATCAGGTTTTTATTTTTTCACTTTTGCAGGCCTAACAAACTCAATCATACAAAAGACACACAAACACCTACATGTTTCAGGTAGATAACTTATATCTAACTGTATATGTTTCGTTATTTAAAAAAAGTGCTTATAGTCTCGTTAATTAGGGAGTGTTCACAGGATAGCCGGACATGACAAGTTTGACAAAGCACAAAAAATTCACTCTCATTCGAAGAATTAGGAAAAGGAAATCCGTCTCTCGTCTTTATATACCGGCGGAGAAAAAAAGATTCCGCGATAAAAATATTCACCCAACATAACATTTACCAAAACCAAGCTAACAGAGAAAGAAAGAGACGGAACATTTTCTTCATGTTGGTAACGATAATAGAAAAGACACAACCAGTAGAGGATTAGAGTGTGACGTTTCGATGACGACACGGTCACCTTCATCTTACATCACAACCAGTAGAGGATTAGAGTGTGACGTTTCGATGACTGCACGGTCACCTTCATCTTACATCACAACCAGTAGAGGATTAGAGTGTGACGTTTCGATGACGACACGGTCACCTTCATCTTACATCACAACCAGTAGAGGATTAGAGTGTGACGTTTCGATGACTGCACGGTCACATTCGTCTTATAATACAACCAGTAGAAGATTAGAGTGTGACGTTTTAATGACTACACGGTCACCTTCATGTTATAACACAACCAGTAGAAGATTAGAGTGTGACGTTCCGATGACTGCACGGTCACCTTCGTCAGACAAATGGCCAGTTCACCATGATAACATCCTTCGATCCGATAACGACTGGTTGATTTGTAATACATTAGCAGATATTGATAGAATAGAAGTTCCTATAGAACAACCAGTTGAAGAAAATGTTTCAGAATATCAGCGGAGGTTGTTACAAGGTCAGATCGGTAAATCTCCACAAACAGCGTACCACTCATTTAACCCTATACCCGCCAAATCAATAGATTATATTGTCGATTTAAAACGTCCAACGTCAGGACGTTAATTCAGTATGACCACTCTTACACGAGAGGATAATACGTGAATCCTGAGGGAGACCTAACAAGCTCGTACACTCAGTATTAACTTATCAAAACAGGTTAAAAAAAAAACAAGAGAAAACATTCAATTTCACTTTCAGATATGTTGATGTTATATCCATCATTATTTTAAATCAATAGACTTCTGCAAAGAAACATACAGTTTTCCAACAGGCTGTGTGATAAGCGTGACGATTTCTATTTCCCTATTGTGATTTTTTTTCTGTTTCTGGATAGTAGCATTCCTGTATCCTCAATCTGTGGTGTTAACATGTCGCAGTTGATTCGATGTTCAATGTAATGTAATGTAATGTACATGTAATGTATTTAAAACAACAAAAAGAGATGATTGAATTCTGATTCATTATTTTGGGATGGAATTGTATGCAATTGCTCATGTTATGTGATCCGGTTTTACAGGCCAAAGGGGAAATGTATGTTACTGACTGCTGGTCATTGCGCACGTACTCGCTCCTACTGAACACAGGCTGATTGGTTATAAATGTTTCGTCCCTCTGATGTCAACTTAAAATATTATATATATATTAAAAATATATCCAGTTCTGGAATAGGTTCCGAGTACAGATTATGTTTTACATTGATTAAACATTGTCTATTCTTGGTTTTGTACTAATTATAAATATTTCTGTCCATATTGATTATATCATAAAGTTAAAGTTAGTATATTTTTTGTAATAGTTTGTCAAGTTGATCGATCTTTTGATAATGTTAATTTCAATTCCATGCGTATTTGAAATTTTGCATCTTTTTGCTTTATACAAGATATGTTCTGGCATTTCATTTCTGTGAAGTTCATTTTTTTCCAATTCTGGTAAATGCAAATATCTTGGATCTATTAATCAACCATTTAAATCTCCATATTGTTTGTAGAATCGTCGTGCCGTATGTTTCGCGATCTACGGGTTGTGTCCCCTGAATAAAGCTCTCTTTCCCTACGAAGAGGTAAGTGTTACTTTTTTGTATAAGCCTTTTGAGTATTTTACCAGTCCTGTGAAACAATAGTTCGGCAATTATAATCGAGTCGCAATCGATTCATTTAAATTTGCTCAATAAGTATTTGCACGTCATACATTTTTCTGAATTTGATTCAAAGAAACAGGACATCCTATCAAAATCAGATACCGTGTGGTTTTGTCCACCATGCAGAATGACAGTCGAAAAGAATATTCTCACGGACAGAAAAATAGAAGAGAGGTGTAGGCAAATCACGCAAGAATTTGAAGACAGAATTGCGGAACTTGAAAGGGAGGTAAAAGGGTTAATCGCTGAACTGGAAATGAACTTGAAATGTGAGAAATCTGCACCAAGCAAAGACGAAATAGTTGCTGAAATTAAAGAGCGAACAGAGAGGGAAAACAACATAATTCTATTTGGAGTTCCAGAACAGTCCCATCACGAAGGAAAGAAACGTATGGAAGAAGATACTAAAGTTGTAGGAAATTTATTACAAGTCTGTGGAGTGTCAAACAAAGATAGGCCTGGAAAAATTATATATTGGGAAAGAGACCAGAGTCCAGTGACCTAACTAATAACAGCCGGCCTATTCTAGTTCATTTTGAGTCACAACAACCAAAGAAAGGAATCTTTAAAAATATTAGAAAAGTAAGAAATCAAGCCAACTTTCCTCAATAGGAATAAGAAACGACTTAACACATTGTGAAAGAGAAGCAGAGAAGGCATTATAAAAGGAAGCGAAGCAGAAAGACAACAATGAAACGGAGGATTATGTATACCGTGTCCGTGGACCGCCTTCCCAGAAACAATATATAAAGAGGAAACTTTTAATGTCATTTCAACTTGAAAATAGTGAATTGTTTATGCTTTTTAGCTTTTAATTGGCTATACATATGTAATAACTGAGAATATTAGACTTTTTATAGGAAACATCTCCAGATCTACATATAACTTTAGATATGGATATAGAGGAATTAGTTTTGCCTGCATCCACTATTTACTTATTACTGAATTTAACCAAATCTAATGATTGCAACTGGGTTATTTAGCATTCTGCTTTAGTAGTCATCACATAGTGAAGAGTGTTTGTATCAGATGCGTTAATCAAATAGGCTGTAATTGCACGAGTTAACTATTGGTCTAGGTACAATATATATATGCTTATGACTGTTTCATCCAAGTGAATAAACAAAATGATGGAGACACTGTGTCACATGTTGTGAGTAAAAAGCTCTGAGCAGAGCATGTTACTACATAACTACGTATAGATTGAAGTGAATGGGATAGAGGAAGATAAGATTAGACAACAGCAGTGAGAAGAGGGAACTTCACCTCACACTGAACAAACACATAAGCTAACGCTACAGAAGTCATCACTGGCCCAGTTTCTTTTCCCTCCAGATGAAGGAAAGCCTTCATATATATCTTATCCTTCTAGATGACTGAAAACCTTCATATACAATCGGGGAATGATCCCTACAGAATTCTGACATCAATAGCAAATACAAACTTTAACTGTCAAAATCCAATATGGCTGCCTGGCAGCCATATTTTCATTACTTTCCATCCCAGGATAAACAAAGCACAGTTAAGTGCTAGTGAAAATGACATTGGAGAATGAGCTGTCAGTGCTTCTGAAGATATTGTTTTGACAAACTTAAAAGTTTCAAAAACCAAGATGGCTGCCTGTTGGCAATTTCCTTTTTCCAATTAGTTTTGAAATTGATCTTACATAGTTCAGTACCACATTAAACATACTTACTTACTGTCAATAAACAACATATATTCAGTACTAATCAAGAAATAGCAATAAAAAAATACTGTCAAATTTCAATATGGCCGCCTGTCAGTCATTTTTTTTAAATGTCCAAAAAAATTGAACAGCACAAAAATAGTCAAAAGGGGAGTTACAAATGAACTTTGTGAAATTCCATTAAGTATTTCCAATCAAACAGCAATAACAAACTTTCAAAATCCAATATGACCGCCTGTCCATAACAAATGTACTGAAAATGAGAATGATTGACAATGGACAACAGACAAAGACAAATATGAAGAGTCCACTATCATCAGATGGTGGGCAAAAAACCAGACAACCACAGATTAACCATACACATTTTATTTCAATTCAAACGTTACATCAACGTTGGTGCCGTGATAAATTCTTCACACACACAAATCTTATGATAACAAAATGCTTCCTCATTTCACATAGTATTTATTTTATCCTTTGTGATAGGTGGCCAAGCTGGGAGACCTACCCAATGTGTTTTGTGTAATGTATCTAGACAGCTGAGGTACTTGTATGGCGTTGGTTTTCCCCTCGTACCTTAAAAATCTGTCCTTGTTGGGGAGCATACTGCATGGATCATCCATTAACACAATGTAATGGCGTATACAGGAGATTATTTCCTGTCAAACAGCTAAAAAATATGTTAAAGTTTATTTACACTTGGAAACACAGATCAGTATTTGCTGGCTGCAGCCTCTATTGAGGCAGACACACACTTTGCCATGGTTGGTGAGGCGCGACTGATAGAGTTCGTCATGTAGAAATCACTGAGAATACTTATATCTGCGGTGAGAGGGGCACTGTCCAGCTGTCCTTTTGCCAGCTGAAAGAAAAATAAACTCACTTAAAATCTTCAAAATTATGAATTATGAGACAAATCTCATAATAATAAAGCAGCACTGTCCTCTACCTTCATCACCACATAACTGACACCTGAGTGAGCTAATAAGCCTATTTGTAAACACTATGTGATATTCTACACACCTGAGTGAGCTAATTCGCCTGTTTTTAAACACTATGTGATATTCTACACACCTGAGTGAGCTAATTAGCCTGTTTTTAAACACTGTGATATTCTACACACCTGAATGAGCTAATTAGCCTGTTTTTTAACACTATGTGATATTCTACACACCTGAGTGAGCTAATTAGCCTATTTTTAAACATTATGTGATATTCTACACACCTGAGTGAGCTAATTAGCCTGTGTTTAAACAATATGTGATATTCTACACACCTGAGTGGGCTAATTAGCCTATTTGTAAACATTATGTGATATTCTACACACCTGAGTGAGCTAATTAGCCTATTTGTAAACATTATGTGATAATCTACACACCTGAGTGAGCTAATTAGCCTATTTGTAAACACTATGTGATATTCTACACACCTGAGTGAGCTAATTAGCCTATTTGTAAACATTATGTGATATTCTACACACCTGAGTGAGCTAATTAGCCTATTTGTAAACACTATGTGATATTCTACACACCTGAGTGAGCTAATTAACCTATTTGTAAACACTATGTGATATTCTACACACCTGAGTGAGCTAATTAGCCTATTTGTAAACACTATGTGATATTCTACACACCTGAGTGAGCTAATTAGCCTATTTGTAAACACTATGTGATATTCTACACACCTGAGTGAGCTAATTAGCCTGTTTTTAAACACTATGTGATATTCTACACACCTGAGTGAGCTAATTAGCCTATTTTTAAACACTATGTGATAATCTACACACCTGAGTAAGCTAATTAGCCTGTTTTTAAACACTTTGTGATATTCTACACACCTGAGTGAGCTAATTAGCCTGTTTTTTAACACTTTGTGATATTCTACACACCTGAGTGAGCTAATTAGCCTGTTTTTTAACACTATGTGATATTCTACACACCTGAGTGAGCTAATTAGCCTATTTTTAAACATTATGTGATATTCTACACACCTGAGTGAGCTAATTAGCCTGTGTTTAAACAATATCTGATATTCTACACACCTGAGTGGGCTAATTAGCCTATTTGTAAACATTATGTGATATTCTACACACCTGAGTGAGCTAATTAGCCTATTTGTAAACATTATGTGATAATCTACACACCTGAGTGAGCTAATTAGCCTATTTGTAAACACTATGTGATATTCTACACACCTGAGTGAGCTAATTAGCCTATTTGTAAACATTATGTGATATTCTACACACCTGAGTGAGCTAATTAGCCTATTTGTAAACACTATGTGATATTCTACACACCTGAGTGAGCTAATTAACCTATTTGTAAACACTATGTGATATTCTACACACCTGAGTGAGCTAATTAGCCTATTTGTAAACACTATGTGATATTCTACACACCTGAGTGAGCTAATTAGCCTATTTGTAAACACTATGTGATATTCTACACACCTGAGTGAGCTAATTAGCCTATTTGTAAACACTATGTGATAATCTACACACCTGAGTGAGCTAATTAGCCTATTTGTAAACACTATGTGATATTCTACACACCTGAGTGAGCTAATTAGCCTATTTGTAAACACTATGTGATATTCTACACACCTGAGTGAGCTAATTAGCCTATTTGTAAACACTATGTGATATTCTACACACCTGAGTGAGCTAATTAACCTATTTGTAAACACTATGTGATATTCTACACACCTGAGTGAGCTAATTAGCCTATTTGTAAACACTATGTGATATTCTACACACCTGAGTGAGCTAATTAGCCTATTTGTAAACACTATGTGATATTCTACACACCTGAGTGAGCTAATTAACCTATTTGTAAACACTATGTGATATTCTACACACCTGAGTGAGCTAATTAGCCTATTTGTAAACACTATGTGATATTCTACACACCTGAGTGAGCTAATTAGCCTATTTGTAAACACTATGTGATATTCTACACACCTGAGTGAGCTAATTAGCCTATTTTTAAACACTATGTGATAATCTACACACCTGAGTGAGCTAATTAGCCTGTTTTTAAACACTTTGTGATATTCTACACACCTGAGTGAGCTAATTCGCCTGTGTTTAAACACTATGTGATATTCTACACACCTGAGTGAGCTAATTAGCCTATTTGTAAACACTATGTGCTAATCTGCACACCTGAGTGAGCTAATTCGCCTGTGTTTAAACACTATGTGATATTCTACACACCTGAGTGAGCTAATTAGCCTATTTGTAAACACTATGTGATATTCTTCACACCTGAGTGAGCTAATTCGCATTTTTTTAAACACTATGTGATATTCTACACACCTGAATGAGCTAATTAGCCTATTTGTAAACACTATTTGATAAGTTACACACCTGAGTGAGCTAATTCGCCTGTTTTTAAACACTATGTGATATTCTACACACCTGAATGAGCTAATTAGCCTATTTGTAAACACTATTTGATAAGTTACACACCTGAGTGAGCTAATTCGCCTGTTTTTAAACACTTTATGATAAGTTGCACACCTGAGTGAGCTAATTCGCCTGTTTTTAAACACTATATGATAAGTTACACACCTGAGTAAGCTAATTAGCATGTTTTTAAACACTATATGATAAGTTGCACACCTGAGTGAGCTAATTAGCCTATTGTAAACACTATATGATAAGTTACACACCTGAGTGAGCTAATTCGCCTGTTTTTAAACACTTTATGATAAGTTACACACCTGAGTAAGCTAATTCGCCTGTTTTTAAACACTATATGATAAGTTACACACCTGAGTGAGCTAATTAGCCTATTGTAAACACTATTTGATAAGTTACACACCTGAGTGAGCTAATTCGCCTGTTTTTAAACACTATGTGATATTCTACACACCTGAGTGAGTTAATTAGCCTATTTGTAAACACTATGTGATATTCTACACACCTGAGTGAGCTAATAAGCCTATTTGTAAACACTATGTGATATTCTACACACCTGAGTGAGCTAATTAGCCTATTTTTAAACATTATGTGATATTCTACACACCTGAGTGAGCTAATTCGCCTGTTTTTAAACATTATGTGATATTCTACACACCTGAGTGAGCTAATTAGCCTATTTGTAAACACTATGTGATATTCTACACACCTGAATGAGCTAATTAGCCTATTTGTAAACACTATTTGATAAGTTACACACCTGAGTGAGCTAATTAGCCTGTTTTTAAACATTATGTGATATTCTACACACCTGAGTGAGCTAATTAGCCTATTTGTAAACACTATGTGATATTCTACACACCTGAATGAGCTAATTCGCCTGTTTTTAAACACTTTATGATAAGTTACACACCTGAGTAAGCTAATTAGCCTATTTGTAAATACTATGTGATAATCTGCACACCTGAGTGAGCTAATTAGCCTATTTGTAAACACTATGTGATATTCTACACACCTGAGTGAGCTAATTAGCCTATTTGTAAACACTATTTGATAAGTTACACACCTGAGTGAGCTAATTCGCCTGTTTTTAAACACTGTATGATAAGTTACACACCTAAGTGAGCTAATTCGCCTGTTTTTAAACACTTTATGATAAGTTACACACCTGAGTAAGCTAATTAGCATGTTTTTAAACACTATATGATAAGTTACTCACCTGAGTGAGCTAATTAGCCTATTTGTAAAGACTGTTTGATAAGTTACACACCTAAGTGAGCTAATTCGCCTGTTTTTAAACACTATATGATAAGTTACCCACCTGAGTAAGCTAATTCGCCTGTTTTTAAACACTATATGATAAGTTACCCACCTGAGTAAGCTAATTCGCCTGTTTTTAAACACTATATGATAAGTTACACACCTGAGTAAGCTAATTAGCCTATTTGTAAAGACTGTTTGATAAGTTACACACCTAAGTGAGCTAATTCGCCTGTTTTTAAACACTATGTGATATTCTACACACCTGAGTGAGCTAATTAGCCTATTGTAAACACTATATGATAAGTTACACACCTGAGTGAGCTAATTCGCCTGTTTTTAAACATTATGTGATATTCTACACACCTGAGTGAGCTAATTAGCCTATTTGTAAACACTATTTGATAAGTTACACACCTGAGTGAGCTAATTAGCCTATTTGTAAACACTATGTGATAATCTGCACACCTGAGTAAGCTAATTAGCCTACTTGTAAACACTATGTGATATTCTACACACCTGAGTGAGCTAATTATCCTATTTGTAAACACTATGTGATATTCTACACACCTGAGTGAGCTAATTCACCTTTTTTTAAACACTATGTGATATTCTACACACCTGAATGAGCTAATTAGCCTATTTGTAAACACTATTTGATAAGTTACACACCTGAGTGAGCTAATTCGCCTGTTTTTAAACACTGTATGATAAGTTACACACCTAAGTGAGCTAATTCGCCTGTTTTTAAACACTTTATGATAAGTTACACACCTGAGTAAGCTAATTAGCATGTTTTTAAACACTATATGATAAGTTACTCACCTGAGTGAGCTAATTAGCCTATTTGTAAAGACTGTTTGATAAGTTACACACCTAAGTGAGCTAATTCGCCTGTTTTTAAACACTATATGATAAGTTACCCACCTGAGTAAGCTAATTCGCCTGTTTTTAAACACTATATGATAAGTTACCCACCTGAGTAAGCTAATTCGCCTGTTTTTAAACACTATATGATAAGTTACACACCTGAGTAAGCTAATTCGCCTGTTTTTAAACACTATATGATAAGTTACACACCTGAGTAAGCTAATTCGCCTGTTTTTAAACACTATATGATAAGTTACACACCTGAGTAAGCTAATTAGCCTATTTGTAAAGACTGTTTGATAAGTTACACACCTAAGTGAGCTAATTCGCCTGTTTTTAAACACTATATGATAAGTTACCCACCTGAGTAAGCTACTTCGCCTGTTTTTAAACACTATATGATAAGTTACACACCTGAGTAAGCTAATTCGCCTGTTTTTAAACACTATTTGATAAGTTACACACCTGAGCAAGCTCCTGGGCCTGCTTGAAGTAGTTGGCTTCCTCAGCATCACCATATTTGATGAGATTGGGTGATATTTCAAATAAACGACCTTGTACCTCCTCCAGTTTGTCGTATGGTAATGGAGAGCCCACAATCTGTAATATCAACAAATCAATAATTCATTCTTATTTCTCTGTACACAATAAAAAGTTGGAAAGTCCAGCAAAATCATGATCAAATCAGTCTCACTGAAATTCAATAGTTTAATAAAAGTTCAATAGCTTTAGGAGTGCTTTTCTTCCTTTGACACCATCTCTTCACTTCAACAACTTTTCCTGTTATTTGATGTAGACAATGGGGCTAGTCCTATAAGCCTCATATCCATCACTTTTGTATCAGACTAGACTACAAGTAAACAGTACCACTACAGTTTAGTCTTTTCTATCTGTACCTTAGTTACAATTGGATATTGACTATTTAAACCTGTTTGCATGAGCGAAAAAAAATTGCTGAAAAATTTTGTTTTCATACCAGAGTGACCTAAACTTGAGACTGGAGACGACATTGAATTATCCTCTGACTAACCTCTGAAAGTGCTCGAATGATCTTCCAGTCATTTCTTGCCAGGCCTGGAGGAGAAACAGCCATGCGAGTCTGCTGGGATCGACCCTCTGTGTTAACATATGTGCCATCTTTCTCCGTGTAAGCTGCCCCTGGGAACACCACATCAGCCATGGAGGCACCGATATCACCATGGTGACCTGGACAAGGAAATAATATTGGAAAGCTGTGGCAGAATGTGTTCTATGGTTCTAAAATGTTTACCACTGGGCATTAATATACAAGGTTTAAATGGTGTAATAATATATAATATTATTTTAGAAGACCTTGTTCTAGCAAACAAATCGTCCAATAGGAAGGTTTGTAGCACTCTGGGCCAGAATGTTCCTCAATCAATATTCCAGGCCTGTAGGTTCTAAAGAAGAAGGATTAAATTGGTGATACAAATTCTACCTTAGTTTATGGACTATGAAGCCTTTCAATAATTTATTCCAAAAGAGAGTTTTTGATGAAAAAATGTTATGATAAAGAAACTTTCCATTTTTTCACAAAAAATGTCCTAAAATCAGCATTAGATTACTTGGACTTCAATTTCAGACCTGCAATGAAGCCTTTCTAAAATTTTATAGTTTTGGGGAGGAACAAAATAGTTTCTTAATACATTACACAAACTAGGCAGTGTACCTTGGTATATAACGAAACAGTCTTTTGGTATATCCTCTCGTGTAATAGCTCCCTCATCAGCTCCCAGTAGATAGAGCACTTTTGGAGGATTCTGGCGAATGTGTTCAACACCAGCCTTGAAACCGAGGTCAAGTGCTGCCACCTGTCCAGCAACCTGTAAAGGGAAAGAAGCACTAAAAAACCAAGTTAACTAGACAATAGAACATTTATCTGTCCCAGGTCCCAGTATATACCTGTATCTGGGCTCTGTCCTAGACTTAGGTCCCAGTTTTAAACCCCCTGTATCTGGGCTCTGTCCTAGACTTAGATCCCAGTTTAACACCTGCTGTATCTGGTCTCTGTCCTAGACTTAGGTCCCAGTTTAACACCTGCTGTATCTGGGCTCTGTCCTAGACTTAGATCCCAGTTTAACACCTGCTGTATCTGGGCTCTGTCCTAGACTTAGGTCCCAGTTTAACACCTGCTGTATCTGGGCTCTGTCCTCGGCTTAGATCCCAGTCTCACAACTTCTATATCTGGTAATTTCTAACTTAAAGATATATATAATAACTTGAAGATTGTTAATAGATTTTGACCTACAGAATATGCTAACTTCTGACAGCTGATCCCTCAGACAAGATAAAAAATAAATATCTAATTTTTCTTGAAATAATTAAAAAACAAAAAAAAACCTCCTGTACATTGGAAATGGACTGACCCTATGCAGTATGTTTAGAACCTTCCAGGAGTCCCCACAGTCGGACTTGACTCGTAGAGACTGACTGAGCTGTGATACAGCAGCATGTATGGCCCCATTGTCTGGGCGTTGTAGTGCTGTACTTCCGACTATTACCATTGGACGCTGAGCTTTGTTGAGTGTCTGAAAATGTAATTTAAACAATAATAATTATCAAATTTGTAAGATTTAGAACCAATGTTAGTAAACTCAGACAATAATGTTAAATATATGGGTTATTCTGCTCACCTCAGTTTACCTGTTTTAGAAATCTGTGTATTTATAATTGTAAAGCTGATTTATAAAACATCTATCATGTTCCATTTTACACCAGCATAGTAAAGAAATCAGAATTACATGGATTTGTGTGAAATTTTTAAAAAATACGCATATTTAAAATATTAACTATAATTAACTAATATGTAATGTTATCGTTTAAGTCAATTCAGTCAGATTTGTTAATAATATATATATAGATATATTTGAAGATGTACATTATAAATTAGTCAGAGATAGCAAGGAATTGTAAGTAACAAGACAGACCTTTAACTCACTTCTTAACTCATCTCTAACCTACCACTAAACTCGCCTCTAACCCAACACTTAACTCACATCTAACCCAACACTTAACTCACCTCTAACCCACCACTAAACTTGCCTCTAACCCACTACTTAACTCACCTTAACCCACCACTAAACTTGCCTCTAACCCACTACTTAAACTTACCTCTAGCCCATCACTTAACTCACCTCTAACCCTCACCTTAACTCACCTCTTAACTCACCTCTAACCCACCACTTATCTCACCTCTAACCCACACCTTAACTCACCTCTAACCCACACCTTAACTCACCTCTAACCAACCACTAAACTCGCCTCTAACCCACTACTTAACTCATCTCTAACTCACCACTAAACTCCCCTCTAACCCACCACTTATCTCACCTCTAACCCACCATTTAACTCACCTCTAACCCATCACTTAACTCACCTCTAACCCACACCTTCACTCACCTCTAACCCACCACTTAACTTGACGCTAACCCACCTCTTAACTCACCTCTAACCCACCACTTAACTCACCTCTAATCCACCCCTTATCTCACCATAAACCATTGCTTAACTCACCTTTAACCCTCTATTGAACACCCCTCTAACCCACCACTTAACTCACATTTACCCACAACTTAACTCACCTCTAACCCACCATTTAACTCATGTCTAACCCACCACTTAACTCACCTCTAACCCATGCCTTAACTCACTTCTTACCCATGCCTTAACTCGCCTCTAACCCACCTATTAACTCGCCTTTAACACACCACTTAACTAACCTTCAACCAATGCCTTAACTCACCTCTAACCCACCACCACCTTTAACCCTCTATTTAATTCCCCTCTAACTGACAGCTGAACTGATATACAGTTTGAAACTGCTCTAATAATGGTTTTAGGTTTGGATTGTTTAATGTTCTATAGTCATTTATTAGCAGCCTTCCTGTCCATGCAAAGTGAATGCATGTGTTGGACTCATCCTTTGTAACAGTGAGGAACTCATGCTGACTTCTGTGTTAATGTAAATACCTCATCACATCATACTGACAACAAGTAAACCCTGTCGTTAACCTCACCTCATCACATCATACTAATAACAGGTAAACCCTGTCGTTAACCTCACCTGGTCACATCATAATGATAACAAGTAAACCCTGTCGTTAACCTCACCTCATCACATCATACTAATAACAGGTAAACCCTGTTGTTAACCTCACCTGGTCACATCATACTCATAACAGGTAAACCCACTCGTTAACCTCACCTGGTCACATCATACTCATAACAGGTAAACCCTGTTGTTAACCTTACCTGGTCACATCATACTGACAACAAGTAAACCCTGTCGTTAACCTCACCTCATCACATCATACTAATAACAGGTAAACCCTGTCGTTAACCTCACCTGGTCACATCATACTCATAACAGGTAAACCCACTCGTTAACCTCACCAGGTCACATCATACTCATAACAGGTAAACCCTGTTGTTAACCTTACCTGGTCACATCATACTGACAACAAGTAAACCCTGTCGTTAACCTCACCTGGTCACATCCTACTAATAACAGGTAAACCCTGTCGTTAACCTCACCTGGTCACATCATACTAATAACAGGTAAACCCACTCGTTAACCTCACCTGGTCACATCATACTGACAACAGGTAAACCATGTTGTTAACCTCACATAACAGGTAAACCCTCTCGTTAACCTCACCTGGTCACATCATACTAATAACAGGTAAACCCTGTCATTAACCTCACCTCATCACATCATACTGACAACAGGTAAACCCTGTCGTTAACCTCACCTCATCACATCATACTGACAACAGGTAAACCCTGTCGTTAACCTCACCTGGTCACATCATACTAAAAACAGGTAAACCCTGTCCTTAACCTCACCTGGTCACATCATACTGACAACAGGTAAACCCTGTCATTAACCTCACCTGGTCACATCACACTAAAAACAGGTAAACCCTGTCGTTAACCTCACCTGGTCACTTTAATCTGACAACAGGTAAACCCTGTTGTTAACCTCACCTGGTCACATCATACTAAAAACAGGTAAACCCTGTCGTTAACCTCACCTCATCACATCATAATAGTAACAGGTAAACCTTGTCGTTAACCTCACCTCATCACATCATACTAATAACAGGTAAACCCTGTTGTTAACCTCACCTGGTCACATCATACTAATAACAGGTAAACCCTGTCCTTATCCTCACCTGGTCACATCATACTGACAACAGGTAAACCCTGTCGTTAACCTCACCTCATCACATCATACTGACAACAGGTAAACCCTGTCGTTAACCTCACCTGGTCACATCATACTAATAACAGGTAAACCCTGTCCTTAACCTCACCTGGTCACATCATACTGACAACAGGTAAACCCTGTCGTTAACCTCACCTGGTCACATCATACTAAAAACAGGTAAACCCTGTCCTTAACCTCACCTGGTCACATCATACTGACAACAGGTAAACCCTGTCGTTAACCTCACCTCATCACATCATAATAGTAACAGGTAAACCTTGTCGTTAACCTCACCTCATCACATCATACTGACAACAGGTAAACCCTGTCGTTAACCTCACCTCATCACATCATACTGACAACAGGTAAACCCTGTCGTTAACCTCACCTGGTCACATCATACTAATAACAGGTAAACCCTGTCCTTAACCTCACCTGGTCACATCATACTGACAACAGGTAAACCCTGTCATTAACCTCACCTGGTCACATCACACTAAAAACAGGTAAACCCTGTCCTTAACCTCACCTGGTCACTTTAATCTGACAACAGGTAAACCCTGTTGTTAACCTCACCTGGTCACATCATACTAAAAACAGGTAAACACTGTCGTTAACCTCACCTCATCACATCATAAAAGTAACAGGTAAACCTTGTCGTTAACCTCACCTCATCACATCATACTGACAACAGGTAAACCCTGTCGTTAACCTCACCTCATCACATCATACTGACAACAGGTAAACCCTGTCGTTAACCTCACCTGGTCACATCATACTAATAACAGGTAAACCCTGTCCTTAACCTCACCTGGTCACATCATTCTGACAACAGGTAAACCCTGTCGAAGCTCACCTTATCACATCATAAAGACAACAAGTAAACCTTGGTTAAGAAACCAAAATGCTGATACTTAGTATTAAACCACCCCAATGAAGACCTGATCTGATTGTATCTATAATGAAGATTGTTGTAATTGTTTGAGACTGATTTTTAGTTTGATAAGCCTCTCCAGATGTAGATGGATGCTTTCAGCAAGTCTTGGTAGGTATCTGGTGCACATGATGGTTCTATCATCAACTCACCTCACAGAAAGGGTGACTTCCATTAGCAATATCTTGTAGTACTTTTGTAGAATCACCAAGATGCTGAAACACATAAACAAAGCAGGTACAACAAGTAGTTCAGTAAGGAAATCAGATAAAAATAGCATGGATCAGTATACCTGACAGATAAAAACAGCATGGATCAGTATACCTGACAGATAAAAATAGCATGGATCAGTATACCTGACAGATAAAAATAGCATGGATTAGTATACCTGACAGATAAAAATAGCATGGATCAGTATACCTGACAGATAAAAATAGCATGGATCAGTATACCTGACAGATAAAAACAGCATGGATTAGTATACCTGACAGATAAAAATAGCATGGATCAGTATACCTGACAGATAAAAATAGCATGGATCAGTATACCTGACAGATAAAAATAGCATGGATCAGTATACCTGACAGATAAAAATAGCATGGACCAGTATACCTGACAGATAAAAATAGCATGGATTAGTATACCTTACAGGAAAAAATAGCAAGGATCAGTATACCTTACAGGAAAAAATAGCATGGATCAGTATACCTGACAGACAAATAGCATGGACCAGTATACCTGACAGATAAAAATAGCATGGACCAGTATACCTGACAGATAAAAATAGCACGGATCAGTATACCTTACAGGAAAAAATAGCAAGGATCAGTATACCTGACAGATAAAAATAGCATGGATCAGTATACCCGACAGGTACAAAAATAGCATGGATCAGTATACCTGACAGGTAAAAAGAGCATGGATCAGGACACCTGACAGGTACAAAAATAGCATGGATCAGTATACCTGACAGGTAAAAAGAGCATGGATCAATATACCTGACAGATAAAAATAGCATGGATCAGGACACCTTACAGGTACAAAAATAGCATGGACCAGTATACCTGACAGATACAAAAAAATAGCATGGATCAGTTTACCTGACAGTTAAAAATAGCATGGATCAGTATACCTGACAGGTAAAAATAGCATGGATCAGTATACCTGACTGGTACAAAAATAGCATGGATCAGTATACCCGACAGGTACAAAAAAATAGCATTAGATAGAACTTACTACAGAAATGATCCTTGACCTTGACTATAACAGGGTGAACAGTATAATTTTGACAGCCTGTTCCAGGCCTGGGACAAAATGTTGAAGGTCATTGCTTCTCAATGTCTCTAATTAATACCCTGAAGGATTAGTCAGAAGTACAGGAATTTATTTAAATGAGAACAATATTGAAAAAATCATTTTCTTGTCAAGTGATTAATACTTACATCATATTCATATGTAAGGTCAACCTTAGATCCAACCAGCGCAACTCTTAAATCGTTGTGAATCCAGCTGTAATACACAAGACAACAGTGTGAGAAGTAAAGTCTGAATAACCCTCCATTTTATCAGGTACATCTATGTTACTCAAATTCATAGGCAGAATTATTTTCCAGCTCATTTGTATTCCAGAAGCTGGTCTTTGTGATGTTTTTTAGTGTTTGAGACAGAGTATTATATTGTCCTGCACCTTACTGTGTATTTACCTTTTCCTCATCCTAGCATTCAATAAAGGAGCCTCAAATCTAGGGTTAGTACCGACCAGCAGGATGAGGTCTGCCTCCTCAACTCCAGCTATCTTCGTGTTCAGTAGGTAATTTGATCTTAGGTCAGTTCTGGAACAAAATGTTAAATACTATTGTATGTCACCAAGGCCACCTGAGCTATCCCTTATTTGGTATGGTATGTTATGAATTAAAAGGAACTTTTTGTCTCATCTTTTCCCATGATATTGTTTGTTCAAAATTACCAATAACATTCTAATATTAAACGATATAAAAAAGCCATTCTTATTGAAACATCCAAAATGCATATTCATAGTATTTTGGCTATGTTAACAAATATAATAATTATTATTTAATGAAAATGTCTTAAAAAAAAAGATTTGAACATCTAATAGGTTTCAAAAGTCCACCAAAATTTCATGTTTTTCTCTCCCTTCTAAAAAAGACAAGGATTCCAAATCTAATTTATTACCCTGCCCCATCCATTGGGAAGATCTCCTCGGTACACAGCCCATCACTGCCCATCCTGTTCAGGAAATCTTTGAAAGCCACAAGAGCTTCTGCATCCATGAGTCCCCCAGCAATACCAGAGATATCCTCTCCCTTGACACGTGACAACTGAGGAGAAACAGATATATAAAAACTCTAACACTCATTGGAGATGTGTAGTATACACACCCTTACATCATGTATACAAAAACAAGTCATCCTCTCTCATCAACAAGGATCACCCCACTGATTTCTCCATTAACATGTAGAATTCAATCTTGACCTCTTTACATACAAGAACATACTGAGAGTTGTTTTGAGACAAACATTCCCATACAATTAACCTAAATCAGTAGTTTGACATAATAGATAGCTGAGTAGGGTTCTGAAACGTGTTCCTTGATATGGTTGCATGAGGTGTCGTTTATCTATTGAAATGTCACAGAATCTAATTTTTTTTCCTTAAACTGAGAATGAGGCCGAATATTTCTATGAATACAAATTATTCAAACTGAGTTTGATTCTCACAACAAAGCCACTTTATCAGATGAATTCAGTACCCATGGTAACCTAGTCAAGGTTTTATCTCAATTATGTAGATATGAATGGTGTCTACAACAAAGCCATTTTATCAGATGAATTCAGTACCCATGGTAACCTAGTCAAGGTTTTATCTCAATTATGTAGATATGAATGGTGTCTACAACAAAGTCACTTTATCAGATGAATTCAGTACCCATGGTAACAAGGTTTTATCTCAATTATGTAGATATGAATGGTGTCTACAACAAAGCCATTTTATCAGATGAATTCAGTACCCATGGTAACCTAGTCAAGGTTTTATCTCAATTATGTAGATATGAATGGTGTCTACAACAAAGCCACTTTATCAGATGAATTCAGTACCCATGGTAACCTAGTCAAGGTTTTATCTCAATTATGTAGATATGAATGGTGTCTACAACAAAGCCATTTTATCAGAGGAATTCAGTACCCATGGTAACCTAGTCAAGGTTTTATCTCAATTATATAGATATGAATGGTGTCTAGCCCTTCAATTGATACTTTTATTCAAAGTGCAGACCTGAAACATTTACAAAAGCTGGAACTTACTTATCTGTTATATTATCTAAAAATTTTTATGACATCAACTTTCGCTTATTTACTAGTCATATAACATCAATCATTACTTAGGCAGAACCATTTCATTTCTTTTTTATTTTCATTTAAGTTGGAATAAACAAGTGGATCTTGCATTCTGCATGCAACCCAGTAGTTAACAGTGTGTATTACAAACCCTTTCTGCTGTAGCCATGAAGGCATTCTCCCAACTTGCAGCCACTAAGTTTCCAGTTCCATCCTTAACAAAGGGACTTGTCAACCTCTGTCGCTTTAGACCATCATAAGCAAATCTTGTCTTGTCTGAAATCCATTCTTCATTGATGTCCTACCAAAAATGATTATCATTACATGAATGAAGTGTCAAACTATACACATCTTTCAGTGAGTACATGAAAATGATTTTTCAATTCTTTGATAATTTATAATCGTACCTCATTCATGCGAGGGAGAATACGCATGACCTCGTTGGTGCGTGTGCTGATGACAATATTACTGCCAAGAGCATCCATAACGTCCACACTCTCCACTTTCCTGTAAACAAATATTGGCATTATATTCTTCCATTTGAAAATAGCTGGTTAATGCTATTTCTGCAGGTGTTACTTTTTTTATTGTCAAATTTTTTTTACCTAATAAAAATGATCATGCTTTTAACAACAAAGTATCATGATGTGCGATGTTCATATTTAAAAGTTGGTAGTCCTGCTCATAGCACACTGTAGACACCAAAGTCATAATTTTGTAGTTGTTTATTCCAGCATTCTTACTGGGCAAATACAAGGACTTTGGTCAATCAAGTTATTCAGAATAACTGGTTTTAAGGAATATGTCAGTGGTGACCAGAAGACATGATACTATATGCAAATGAACTAAAGAAACTCTGTGTCACACAAATTTAATGTTTGAATCAAAACAATTGTTTTGTGATGTTTTCTTTACCTGGTTTCCCACGGCCTCGCTGTAAAAGCATAGGGTTTAGATGTTAAAGCTCCCACAGGACACAGATCAATAACATTCCCTGATAACTCGGACTGGAACATTTTTTCTACATAGGTACCGACTTGCATGTCTCCTCCCCTACCTGTGGTACCAAGGTCGTCTACTCCAGCTACTTCACTGGCAAACCTAGAAAACAGTATAACCAATATCACTTAAGTACTGGTAATAACTATATGTCTGGTAATAAGCACATCCATAACTCTGTTTAGTAGAAGAACAATAAAATAATTGTATTGTCCTGTAATAAGCCCACCCCTGACATTGAGTTAGACTATGTATGTTGGACCTCTGTTCATTGTCCTGTAATAAGCCCACCCCTGACATTGAGTTAGACTTAGTATGTTGGACCCCTGTTCATTGTCCTGTAATAAGCCCACCCCTGACATTGAGTTAGACTTAGTATGTTGGACCCTGGACTTACTGTACAGTTGGTAATATTGGGGTGGGATTTAATTGCACTATAAATCATGGACAAAAATACCCGTGAACAGCTCTACAGTGAATGAAAATCTCAGGAAATATCATTTATGCCTGAATACATGGACATAAGTTGATTAACTGGCACGAAATTAAAAACCTGTGGACTAACCAACACGGGGACAACCACGAAATATTAGTGCTGCAAAATCAACAACAAGAAAGTGTACAGTTACTGTTCTAAAATAAGCCAGCCCCTGACATTGAGAATAAATATGGTGGACCCCTTCAGGGCTAGAAAAAAATATTTTAAGCTACTCGTATGTCGGGCAAGTGAAACTAGAAATTCACTTGCCCAAATCCAATATTCACTCACCCGAAGGAAAAAGGCAACAAAACATAATTTAAGGAACTCATCAATTTCTGTATCAAATGTTTGAACTCAACACTTGCTTTTATTGTTTTACTCATATTTAATTCACTGTTAATGCGAGCGAGAACATCGACTTTTGACAGTAACTACATACACAAAACAACCTTGTTTACAATGTTTGTGGTGACGTAATAGGTTTTTGCGTAGTCTGGATCAGTCCGAGTCTTGACACGGGGTGTAAACAAGGATGTATTTGATTGACTATCAGTGGATTTAAATTAGTTTTAAGAGTGTTTAAGTTGATAAACGTCATTTATTATGGAATATTCCATAGTCAGAACTACAAATTTCAATTGGCCGCCGGACAAGTAGCTGAAACAAATCAGCAAAGTAGCTTTGACTCGTCTAGACGAGCGAACGAGTGGATTTTTCTAACCCTGCCCTTAATACAGTATTATACAGTTAACCAGTCTACATTAAAGCTATCGATCAAAGGAAACAGTAAACATCAGTGTTGGAGACGATGGTCCAGTCTACACTTACCTGATACATCTAGTACAGTGTATACAACGTGTCATTATGGTCTTAATCAGAGGACCAACGTTCTTGTCTTCAACAGCTCTGAAAAGAAAAAAATGTTAAGAAAATGGTATCAATTTTGCAAAAAAAATATCACATGATAATAAGTAATTTTGATGTTAAGTGGACCTCTCCGTAAAGGTATCTATGGAGAACTTGAAATATCTGTAATCATAAAACTAGGTACAAACACATGTAAACAATGGTACATGTAATGTGAAATGACAGAAACTGTCAGAGGTGAAATCTGGGATTTGATAAATAATAAAGATAATCAAGTATTAGAGAAGTATTCTCTGATGTTTTCAGCTTTTCCTAGAAATTATAAATACATATCTGTAAGGTAGAAATGTTCAGAGGTGGCTAGCCTTACCTTTTACCAGTAAAATTGATGTCCGTGAATCTACTTCTGTCACTGCCAAAGTTCATGGACTGATCCTGGACAAACAAAATAATGTGTACAGGTGCTACATGCCATATTTAAAGGAGCTAATGTTGTCAGTTAAAGTCTACATCATCAACGTCAGGAAAAAAAAAAAGAAAAAAAGAAGTGAAATACAGTGTTAAAGGTCACATTCTCCGCACTGACCACAGATGGAACAGTCCTATCAACTTACCTGAAGGTCACATTCCCCACCCTGATCACAAATGGGACAGTCCTATCAACTTACCTGAAGGTCACATTCCCCGTCCTGATCACAGATGGGACAGTCCTATCAACTTACCTGAAGGTCACATTCCCCGCACTGACCACAGATGGGACAGTCCTATCAACTTACCTGGTCACATTCCCCGCCCTGATCAGATGGAACAGTCCTATCAACTTACCTGAAGGTCACATTCCCCGCACTGACCACAGATGGAACAGTCCTATCAACTTACCTGAAGGTCACATTCCCCACCCTGATCACAAATGGGACAGTCCTATCAACTTACCTGAAGGTCACATTCCCCGTCCTGATCACAGATGGGACAGTCCTATCAACTTACCTGAAGGTCACATTCCCCGCACTGACCACAGATGGGACAGTCCTATCAACTTACCTGGTCACATTCCCCGCCCTGATCAGATGGAACAGTCCTATCAACTTACCTGAAGGTCACATTCCCCGCACTGACCACAGATGGAACAGTCCTATCAACTTACCTGAAGGTCACATTCCCCGCACTGACCACAGATGGGACAGTCCTATCAACTTACCTGGTCACATTCCCCGCCCTGATCAGATGGAACAGTCCTATCAACTTACCTGAAGGTCACATTCTCCACCCTGATCACAGATGGAACAGTCCTATTAACTTACCTGAAGGTCACATTCCCCACCCTGATCACAAATGGGACAGTCCTATCAACTTACCTGAAGGTCACATTCCCCGTCCTGATCACAGATGGGACAGTCCTATCAACTTACCTGAAGGTCACATTCCCCGCACTGACCACAGATGGGACAGTCCTATCAACTTACCTGGTCACATTCCCCGCCCTGATCAGATGGAACAGTCCTATCAACTTACCTGAAGGTCACATTCCCCACCCTGATCACAGATGGAACAGTCCTATTAACTTACCTGAAGGTCACATTCCCCGCCCTGATCACAGATGGGACAGTCCTATCAACTTACCTGAAGGTCACATTCCCCGCCCTGATCAGATGGAACAGTCCTATCAACTTACCTGAAGGTCACATTCCCCACCCTAATCACAGATGGAACAGTCCTACTAACGTACCTGAAGGTCACATTCTCCACCCTGATCACAGATGGAGCAGTCCTATTAACTTACCTGAAGGTCACATTCCCCACCCTGATCACAGATGGGACAGTCCAGTGGATGATTCATCAATAGGAATTCCATCACTCCTTCCCTGTTGACATAAGAACAGAAGCTGAAGAGTTGTTATCCTCGTGGATTAATCTGATACAGATACTGGTAGGGTTCCCATCATTATAATTGTAGCCTTACTATCTCACGATTATCTCATATGTTCAAAAGCTCTTAACATAATTAATATTTACGTTCATTTAAATCTACTTAGTAAATGTTATTCTCTCATCTTGTACAACTGAAGCAATGTGTTGGGACCATTGTCTTATTAATGTTTCAGCAAAGTTATGTGGTACAACAATACAGTGGTGTCATGTGACTCAATCTGGGTACAACAATACAGTGGTGTCATGTGACTCAATCTAGGTACAACAATACAGTGGTGTCATGTGACTCAATCTGGGTACAACAATATAGTGGTGTCATGTGACACAGTCAAGGTATAACAAAAATAGGATTGTCATGTGACTCAATCTGGGTATAGCAGGGGTGTCATGTGACACAGTCAGTGTATAAGAATACAGGATTGTCATATGACGCAGTCTGGGCATGACAATATGGTGTTGTCATATGATGCAGTCTGGGCATGACAATATGGTGTTGTTATATAACGCAGTCTGGGCATGACAATATGGTATTGTCGTGTGACACAGCTTCCATATACCACTAGTTGTGTATTGATAACAATACCTGGCCTTTCGTGTGACTGGAGAATCAGTTTTTACCCTCATTCCTTTCATCACTGGCATAGCACAGGATGCAATGGGCTGTAAATACAATATCACACTATAATCCTTTAGAGTACTGACAAAGTTTAACTTCTAATCAAACTGGTGTATGACATTATACAGTATACGTCTGGTTTAGATACAAAGATGTTTCAACTTTCATAGTGGTTAAAGTGATAAGTAGTTTGTAAGTTGTTCATTTGATCTGATTTGTTTATCTTTTGATAAAGATTTATCTTTTGTTTAGCCTCTGCTTTGTTTACCTTTGGAGATTTCTCCACTTCCACTAGACACATCCTACAGTTGCCCGCTATGGACAGTCGATCATGATAACAGAACCTGGGTATCTCCACTCCTGCTTCTGCACATGCCTGAAAATAAAGCAATGTCATTAGGTATAACCAGACATGAATTCTAATTGTGTTGCGTGTTTATATACTTGACTGTGCACCAGTTTTATTTTTTATGTAGAGTATCTCTGGATCTTGGAACCTGACTATGTACACTACCTGTGTTTCTTAACTGGCTGTACAGTACTTGTGTTTCTTAACTGGCTGTATAGTACTTGTGTTTCTTAACTGACTGTGCAGTACCTGTGTTTCTTAACTGGCTGTACAGTACTTGTGTGTTTCTTAACTGGCTGTACAGTACCTGTGTTTCTTAACTGGCTATACAGTACTTGTGTTTCTTAACTGGATGTACAGTACTTGTGTTTCTTAACTGGCTGTACAGTACTTGTGTTTCTTAACTGGCTGTACAGTGACTGTGTTTCTTAACAGGCTGTACAGTACCTTTGTTACTTAACTGGCTGTACAGTACTTGTGTTTCTTAACTGGATGTACAGTACTTGTGTTTCTTAACTGGCTGTACAGTACCTGTGTTTCTTAACTGGCTGTACAGTACTTGTGTTCCTTAACTGGCTGTATAGTACTTGTGTTTCTTAACTGACTGTGCAGTACCTGTGTTTCTTAACTGGCTGTACAGTACTTGTGTGTTTCTTAACTGGCTGTACAGTACCTGTGTTTCTTAACTGGCTATACAGTACTTGTGTTTCTTAACTGGATGTACAGTACTTGTGTTTCTTAACTGGCTGTACAGTACCTGTGTTTCTTAACTGGCTGTACAGTACTTGTGTTTCTTAACTGGCTGTACAGTACTTGTGTTTCTTAACTGACTGTACAGTACCTGTGTTTCTTAACTGGATGTACAGTACTTGTGTTTCTTAACTGGCTGTACAGTACTTGTGTTTCTTAACTGGCTGTACAGTGACTGTGTTTCTTAACAGGCTGTACAGTACCTTTGTTACTTAACTGGCTGTACAGTACTTGTGTTTCTTAACTGGATGTACAGTACTTGTGTTTCTTAACTGGCTGTACAGTACCTGTGTTTCTTAACTGGCTGTACAGTACTTGTGTTCCTTAACTGGCTGTATAGTACTTGTGTTTCTTAACTGACTGTGCAGTACCTGTGTTTCTTAACTGGCTGTACAGTACTTGTGTGTTTCTTAACTGGCTGTACAGTACCTGTGTTTCTTAACTGGCTATACAGTACTTGTGTTTCTTAACTGGATGTACAGTACTTGTGTTTCTTAACTGGCTGTACAGTACCTGTGTTTCTTAACTGGCTGTACAGTACTTGTGTTTCTTAACTGGCTGTACAGTACTTGTGTTTCTTAACTGACTGTACAGTACCTGTGTTTCTTAACTGGCTGTACAGTACTTGTGTTTCTTAACTGGCTGTACAGTACCTGTGTTTCTTTACTGGCTGTACAGTACTTGTGTTTCTTAACTGGCTGTACAGTACCTGTTTTCCTTATCTTGCTGTGCACTATCTGTGTTTCTTAACTGGCTGTACAGTACTTTTGTTTCTTAACTGGATGTACAGTACTTGTGTTTCTTAACTGGCTGTACAGTACTTGTGTTTCTTAACTGGCTGTACAGTACCTGTGTTTCTTAACTGGCTGTGTACCTGTTTTCCTGTACCTGTGCGTCGGTGTTCCTGTGTTTCTATGTACGCTACCCATGTTTCTTAACAGTGTACTGTACCTGTGTTTGTTTCCTGACTGTGTACCTTGTGCCTGTATCTTTGTGTTTTAATTGACTGTGTGCCTGTATCTTTGTGTTTTAATTGACTGTGTGCCTGTATCAGTGCGTTTAAATTGAACAAGTGCCTGTATCTATACCTGTAATACTGTAGTTCCTGGTTCCACATACACTGGTTTATCATCAACAAAAAGTTCCACTTTCTCTGGAGCACTAGTGCTGCTGCAACGTACTGAAAGTATCAACAGTCTCCATCAGTCTAAGTTATGTTAAGACAAAATATGGCCTACTGATAAACACATCTGGAATAGGATTAAATTATCTTTTTTTCAGTCAAATGTTTTCAAAGTTGCCTTCATGATTTCATAACATTTCAAATTGACAAAAAAAAAGTATTTAGCCAGCTCAATCTTTAAATCATCAAATACTTATAATATATGTATCATATAAATACACTTCAACTTACCAGCAGCGATAGCTCGGCCCCCAAGGACTCGGCCCCTGGTCCAAAGCCAGAGCATTTTCCTTTTCTGAAATGCAAACATGATGAATCAAATAGTTTGGTGAAGTGAATCAAATTAATCTAATACATTACCATCCACTAATTTCAAGCTTTACTATGAAAATTATACCACTTAAAGAAATTTGGCCACAGTTTTTTCTTTGTAAATGAAAGTTTAACTACAAACTTCTATGCATTTCTGCCATTAAAAATATAGGTGCCATTCCAACATTTTTTCTTCGACTGTTTAGATGCCCAATGTTGTATGCATGGTTAACATGTTACTGACACATAAATAACTCACTTGTAACAGAATTTCTTTAATTCCTTTTTCATTTGAAATTATTCTTTCTACTTTTCAATATGATATATATTGAACAATCAACTGTTCACAATTGATTTACAATGTCCAGCTTGACCACTCAGTTTGTTCAGGTAATCCCACTCAGATATAGCGCTGATAACATAATGTGTCAATTTTTTTCCTAACTGAAACAGTTAACATCTGCCATATTGCTTCCCTAGCAAAAAACTGGGGTTTTCCTTTGTCCATCTTTTGCTTTGTGGCTGACGCTGTAACCCTTTTCTACCACAGCTTATTTACAAAGAAGACACTTTGTTAACAAGTAATATCTGTTCTGAGGATTCATTATCATATGATGCCAAATTTTACACATCAAGAATTTTTTTATCTTATGTTACTTTAAATCATCTGAATATTTTCTACCCATAACACAAAAAACTGGACATTCCCTACATATAGCATGATAAATTTGTCAATTTTAATGAAATAATTAAGAAAACATTCAGATGATAATTTAAACAAAGACAGTTTACTCTTGTAACTTCTGTGCCATTTGTACAATAATGAAGCCAAATATTTATATGACTAAAACATAATCAGTTCAGATAGATGTAAAGCTAATTTTATCTAAGAACATTTATTTTTGTAATAATATCTGTGATAACTTTTGAGAAATACCTTCGGGTATCTCAAGATCTTGTTAAGTCACGGTTCCTAATTCCTGTTGTAATTGCCATCAAAAGATGGGTAGATACAGAAAAAGAATGAAAATATATGTTTGCACTGAACTTCAAAAATATGACATCGGTATCTTCTTGTAGATAAAGAACAGACCTTTTGATCCATGAGCGATATGTTAAAATGATGATTTCTTCCGCAATTATAGTTTGAATACCGAACCAAGCACGTGTTACTTATTTCAGACATTCATTGCTTCCCGTCGACGGGACGTCGTGATCAGAATGATTCGAACTACCATTGTGCATTCTGGCATGATGGTAAAGTATAATATATATAAATGAATTAAAATATGTTTGAATGCCATAGACACTAAACCAAAACATACATGCATACATCGCACCGGCACGTTATTATCTTACACGCAGTATAAATAAATTGCTCTACTTCAATACAGTGGAGTGTGATTGAAATACCGGGGAGGGGGGGGGGGCAACAGGATAAATCAACTGCGCTGTTCCTATGTCCAGAAAAAAACCCTTGTCAGATCAAATCGTACCGCATATCAAATACAACATCGCACTGCATGGTGATTATTCTCATTGCATTTCAAATATGAATGATTTAATTATGTCAATGTGTATATTTCTTATACAACTCACCTTGGCAAACCTTCTGGGACACCAAACCGGAACTCAGGAATTTCATCTCCGCACTTACTAAAATTTACATATATCAAATGCACAAGTTTTAATACAAAGACGAGCTATTTATTTTTCATTATTATTTGTCAAATGCAATAAATACCAGAAATTTAAAAAATGCCGACATAATTTTTACGGTGTTTGCTCATGATCGCGCACATATTTCTGCTTCCGGTCTTTTCGACGGAGACCGTGCGGTGTCAAGACCACGTTGGAATCATCAGCGGTCGTATCAAAGATGGGTTTTGGAGATCTTAAAAGCCGTGCTGGACAACAAGCATTGGACGCTTTTGTTGCCGACAAAAGCTACATTGAAGGGTAATTATATTTAAGTCGATTTGCCAGAAATTATTAATGCTTTTAGTAAATGACTGTGACAATACTACTAGGCCTACATAAATGTATTAAAACGATTTATCATCCCTGGTCCGTTGTCACGTTTCCCGGTTTGAACGATACAGGCGGTGTGGAATTATTCGTTAATTCATTATTCAACTATTAACGGACGCACCTGTACCAATTTTATAAATAAATAAACAGTTCCGTAATGTTCTAGTCAAATAAATAACAATCATGAATGGATCACTTGTGTAGATTAAATCATGGTAGAAGATTAGTATGTTTCTCCTGAGTATATGATACTGCTACCTAGACATTACTTTAATGCCTAGTAACCAATATAGACAGTTTCTCAGAGTTGCCTGTGAGTGCATACTATTGCGGTTGTTTTGTGTTGAACATAAACTGTGTATAAGTGTAATAGGAAGGAGTAATGAAAAACACCCAGCCACCGCTGGGATTTGAACTAGCGACCCTTCAGTCTTTAGCCAGACACTATCGGTCGACTAAAGGGAAATTCCCACTAGCCAAGGCTAGTAAGGAAACCTGTACTCTCAACTTTACACTACTCCCCCCTTCATAAAGTCTTTGACCCCTGAAGACAACAACAATATCAATATCCCCCATGGAAGCGTCTCAATCTCTTATAGCTTCTACCCTTGGAGTGATCAACGACACCAAATATGTATTAGGAAGGAGTAATGAGAATCACCCTGCCACTGCAAAGGTTCGAACTCTGATCCTTCAGTCTCTAGCTGGAAACTCCACCACTCGACTGGAGGGAAATTCCTACTAGCCGAGGCTAGTAAGGCGACCTGTACTCTCAACTCTACATAAGTAACCCAACACCTCTAAACTCTTTCACTGCACACTGTCAATAATTGTTTGATAAACCATATAGCAAAGCCTGTGTGTATACCCACTGTCTATGGTGTGAGCTTTTGCTGCCCTTTTACAGTCACAACCTTCATATGAATTTTGAGATAGATCTAACCATTACCCCTAATTATTTATTAACTTTTTCTGTTACTAGCTCACCTGGCCTGAAGGTGCAGTGTCCGTTGCCTGTTGTATGTCTGTCCATCTAAATGACTTCTGCTCTGTAACTTAAGAGACAAAATGTGATGGTATTTGGCTGTCGGCTTGCTGGGATGAAGCCTAACAAAGATTGTGAAAAGAAATAACCATGGCTCATATTCAAGGCCACACGGGTCATATTTGTAAAAACCTAAAATGACTTCTGATTGGCCAAAAGGCCTAGAAGCTTGATATATTGTTTTTTTATTTTTCTGATAGATTCATGAGATAAAGGCTGACAATTGTTTGGAAAAGAAATTACCTTGACTCTGTAATCAAAGTTACAGGGGTCTGTTTTGTTAAAACTTTACATGACTGTACATATGTATTGAAGTAATTGCCAACAAAATGCCAAGAACTATGATATATAGCAGATAAGTTCATAAGATGAGTCTTGTTTGAAGGTAGTTTAAAACAATTGTGTGAAGTACTTGTATATTTGAGATGAATATTGAATACTGGGAGAGCGATTCAGGCCTTTTGAACCTCTTGTTTTGTAGATACCAGCTCTCACAAGCTGATGTGGTGTGTGTTATTTTGTAGATACCAGCCCTCACAAGCTGATGTGGTGTGTGTTATTTTGTAGATACCAGCCCTCACAAGCTGATGTGGTGTGTGTTTGTAGATACCAGCCCTCACAAGCTGATGTGGTGTGTGTTATTTTGTAGACACCAGCCCTCACAAGCTGATGTGGTGTGTGTTATTTTGTAGATTCCAGCCCTCACAAGCTGATGTGGTGTGTGCTATTTTGTAGATTCCAGCCCTCACAAGCTGATGCGGTGTGTGTTATTTTGTAGATTCCAGCCCTCACAAGCTGATGTCGTAGTATTTGCAGCGCTATCACAGCCTCCACCAGCTGACCTACCTAATGCACTGAGATGGTTCAATCATATTAAATCTTACAGTGATGCTGAAAAAAAAGGGTTAGTAATGAAGAGTTAGACTTATTTATTACTGTTATGCTATTATAAATGCAATACAATAGATACTGCTTATTTTGATGTCCTGTTTTCTATATGGTAAGGATGCTTATTTTGATGTCCTGTTTTCTATATGGTATATGATAAGGATGCTTATTTTGATGTCCTGTTTTCTATATGGTATATGGTAAGGATGCTTATTTTGATGTCCTGTTTTCTATATGGTATATGGTAAGGATGCTTATTTTGATGTCCTGTTTTCTATATGGTATATGGTAAGGATGCTTATTTTGATGTCCTGTTTTCTATATGGTATATGGTAAGGATGCTTATTTTGATGTCCTGTTTTCTATATGGTATATGGTAAGGATGCTTATTTTGATGTCCTGTTTTCTATATGGTATATGGTAAGGATGCTTATTTTGATGTCCTGTTTTCCTGATGACATGTTGTATTGACTAAGTAAGCTAGGACTATTGTATTTGTCAAACCTGTTACTAAATTGAAATAGAGACTAAAATGAACAAAAATTAATTGATTTGATAGGAATACCATACATGAATTGCTTTAGTGGATGTATACACATTCCGTTTTATAGCTACTAGACTTAGTAAACAACTAACATAATCGAAAACCTTTTCAAAATCTATAGATAAGAGCATACCAGGTATTTCATTTTCTTCTGCATTCTCATGATATGGTAAATTAGCCTTGTATTTCCCCCTTATATACCTCCCTATAATAAAACTGTTTGATCCCTATTTATCTATTTGTCGTAAAACATTTTTAGTCTACTTGCTTATGACCCTGACTAAGGAAATTTGTCTCCAATTTCTATAAGAAACTGCCTTGGTTTGTCTCCCTTAGGTATACATGTAATGATTCCCTTACTTTGAGTTTATGATAATTTACCATTAATAAATCCATAATTGATTTATCTTGCCACATAATTTCTTAATTCACCCCAAAAATATATTGTAAAAATCAGCGGTGAAACCATCTGACCCAGGACTTTTATTATTTTTCATATTTCTTAAAGTATTTGAAGCTTCTTCAAGAGATATCATTCCCTCTAATAGTAAAAATGTGTCTGATTTAATTTTGAAAAATTATTATTATTTCTATCTAGGTAAGCGTCAAGATATATATCTTTAATATTACTGTCACTTGAATACAATTTTTCATAAAATTCTCTGGGTTTTTTTTATTATTCTTATTACAAGCTAACTGGTAGTAGATATTTAAATATTACTGTATCCAAGATGCCTTAATTGATATCTGTTATAGAATGTGAAATTGTATCATTGAGCCGAATCAGATTCATTAATTGTAACATAATTATGATGTCCATGTCCAGGTAGAATTTATGAAATTAAATGAAACTTTCCTGTTACAGGGTAATAAAGTGAGATTGTGAAACTGGAAACTTTTTAAAATGAAAGTTTTCCATTAAATGATATTTTTCATGATTAGCATAGTAATAACCAGAAAACCAAGTTTTGCAAAAAACATGCATTGTCAGATCAAACAGGTCAGCTATAGAGGGCAACACATCGTCGACCTTCTTTGGTCACTGAATAACTCAGTACTTTGATATATCCATTAAAAACTAATAACTTTTTAACGACTTAATAATAATGTATTGATAACTTAAAACGTGTTCTTATGTAGTTTTACAAGTAAAATATATCAACACTATCAAAAATTACAATTGAAAAAAGAAGATAAAAATTAATGTTCCAACCCAAACTTTTTGAAAAAGTGACATCTGAAAGATACATGTTTTAGACCTTACATAAAACAGTGTGCATTAAAAACAGATTTTCAAAAATCTTTTATTTTTATCGCAATTGTCTTTCATATAGACTTTACATATCCTCTTTTTGTAGATTTGGTGGTCAGAAGAAAGACTTGGCTACATATGGACCTGGAGGAGATGCCAAGCCTGGTAAAGATGATGATGATGATGACGATGACATTGACCTGTTTGGTTCCAGTGATGAGGAGGAAGCCGCTGAAGTAGCAGCATTAAAGCAGAAAAGATTAGAGGAATACTCAGCCAAAAAGGCCAAAAGTAGGTATCATAGCTGGCACAATACAGACAATAGGTATCACTATACAGATGGATGGAATATGGATGTTTCACTTCAGTTACAGACTTCGAATGTTAGTTGTATAATATTTTCAGCAAAAGAAATCACAAATTTGGATGGAAGTTTGAAAGAAACAAATGACAGATAAGATTCATTCTTTTTACCTAAGGACAAATAAGATTGTTAGTTACCTTTTTATATATAATTTGATTTTCATTGTTTTCCCCTGCAAAATGCATTTACAGTGGACATTAATTTGGGCTCCGTCCATGCATCTGTCCATCTGTCGAAGGGCTTTTCTGGGCTATAACTTCAAAACTGTCCAACTCAACTTCACAAAACTTGCTGTATATATTAAGTTGGTGCCCTAGTTTTGCCTTTTGATATTGGCGACAATTTTTTTTTTCTTATATTTTTTCTGTTACCATGGAAACATAGCTTAAAAATACAAAAATAATGTTTACTTTCCTTTCCAAGCTACAACTTTGAAACCACTCAACTCCACAAAACTTTCTGTATATAGTAATTTAGTGCCCTAGTTTTTAGCCCACCATCATCAGATGGTGGGGTATTCAAATCGCCCTGCGTCCGTGGTCCGTCCATACGTCCGTAAACAATTCTTGTTACCGCTATTTCTGGAAAAGTACTTGATGGATCTTTCTCAAATTTCATATGCAGGTTTCCCTTGGTCCCTAGTTGTGCATTGTACTTTTTTTGGATTGATTCAAATTCAAGATGGCCGACAGATGACCATCTTGGATTTTGGAAGTAAAAGTTTGTTACCACTATTTCTTGGAAAGTACTGGATGGATCTTTCTCATATTTCATATGCAGTTTCCCCTTGGTCACTAGATGTGCATTTTACCTTTTTTGAACGGATTCGAATTCAAGATGGCCGACAGGTGGCCATCTTGGATTTTGGATGTAAAAGTTTGTTACCGCTATTTCTTGGAAAGTACTAGATGGATCTTTCTCAAATTTCATATGCAGGTTCCCTTTGGTTCCAAGTTGTGCATTGTACCTTTTTGGACTGATCCGAAATCAAGATGGCTGACAGGCAGCCATCTTGGATTTTGAGAGTAAAATCTTGTTACTGCTATATCTGAGGAAGTACTGGATGGATCCTTCTGATATTTCATAAATATTGGTTTCCCTTGGTCCCTAGTTGTGCATTGTACCTTTTTTGGACTGATTTGAAATCAAGGTGGCCCACAGGCAGCCATCTTGGATGTCAACAGTAATACAGCACAAGTATATTGTCCATTATCCACCTGTAACTGACTGCTATCTAATAATACTTTGGGATCTTTTTCAAATGATATTTGCTAATAGGTGCTTAATAAAAATATCTTGTGCCATCATTGAGTACATTCAATGAAGACCAGTTCCTGAACATTAACAAACACCTGTAACAAACAAACAAAAAATAAACAAATCTTCAAGAACTGAAAACAGATCCTCAAATGGTGGGCGCCAAGATCCCTCTGGGATCTCTTGTTTTCTGTTACCATGGAGACAGATAACCCTGATCACAGATTTAAGATTTTCTAGACCAGTGCTCTGAAACCATTCAAGATAATTACTCAAAACTTTAAAGACCTATTAAGTAAGTTAGTATCCATTAAAATACTTTCTTTTGTTAGCATGGAAACAGATAGGCCAAATCACAAAGTTTTCAATTTCAATACTTTGTATGGAACAATTAAGAATAACAAATATGAATTAAACTTGTTGTAACATTAACACATATATAATTGTGTGTCTTTGTGTTTGGGGCGCGGGAATAATATTTCATTTTGTGTTGTCTTGTTATACTTAGTAAACATTAAAAATGCTCACCAGGAAAGAAAGAAATAAAACATATGTATAATAATTGATTATGAAAATTACAAAATTTATATAATTATAGGACTGCTGCACCTCCCTGTCTAGACTTTGACTATTCACTGATGGGGCTGCTGCACCTCCCTGTCTAGACTTTGACTATTCACTGATGGGGCTGCTGCACCTCCCTGTCTAGACTTTGACTATTCACTGATGGGGCTACTGCACCTCCCTGTCTAGACTTTGACTATTCACTGATGGGGCTGCTGCACCTCCCTGTCTAGACTTTGACTATTCACTGATGGGGCTGCTGCACCTCCCTGTATAGACTTTGACTATTCACTTGTGTTTTTTTTGTCTTACAGACAGATGATAATCTAGGTTATTTCTGTTTCCTTTACAGAACCAACTGTCATTGCCAAGAGTAATATAGTTCTAGATATCAAACCATTGGATGATGAGACCGACATGGCTGAAGTAGAGCAAAAAGTCCGTACCATTGCTATGGATGGTCTGCTGTGGGGAGCAGGTATGTCGTTTCCAAAGGTCTCCTTGTGTTTCTTTTCCGAATCTCATGTAACCAGTTATGATTATGTTTGGTTGATCATGTGTCTTTTTCTCTTAAAAAAAACCCCTACTGACCTAATTATTTGCTCCACGAGATCAGTACACTGGATCCTCTATCTAAGGACAGGATCTAGTCTCCACAACTCTTGCTGTAGATTTTAGCTCACCATCATCAAATGGTATATGGCTGTTGTTCAAATCATCCTTTGTCCATGATCTATCATTCCTTATACATATCTGTTATTGTTCAAACTCAAATTTCATATAATATTGATTTCCTTTGGCCATTTTTACTTTTCAGTAACATTTGACAGGCGACCATATTGGATTTTGACATTTAGATATTTTGTTGTTAATGTCTTTGGACATATCGGATAGAACCGATACTTCATTTAGATATTCCTTAGTTCCTTATTGTATATAATTTGTTTTAGGACTGATCAGACAACAACATGGCTGACAGGTGGCCATCTTGAATTTTGACAGTAACAGATGTTATCACTATTTCTGGAGAAGTTCTAGATGGATGATTCTCACATTTCATATATAGTCTGTCCCTTATTGTGTATATTTGATAAGAAAAGAAGTGAAAAAAAACCAAAAACGATCATGTATGCATTGGTGGATTGAGAGTTATCTTCTTTGTTGTGTAAATTTTGTGAAACTTCGCTGATATAGTCAGCACACAATGAAGTTGTAGACCAACAAACTGTTTTTACCTCATAGTATCATAACAACAAGTTCTATTATTGTCCTTGGTTACAATTTTGTGTCCATAGCAATAACTTGATTTGCATTTAAACTAGAACAATGAATCTTGGTGCATACATTGACCATTTGAAGACAATGTGCAGTGTACCTAGGTGCAGTGTTATTGCCCTTTGTCATCATCATAGCTTTGCTTGCATTTTTACATATGTTCCTTGGTCATACTAAGAGAAAGAGCAGTATACCAAATTCAGGGCCTGAAGCCCCGTAACTACAGAAAAATGTTTAGTTTTTGGGAAGCATTCATCAATTTCAATACTCTTCATTTTTCTAGGGGTTGGGGGGATCTTGAAAAGGAAATCATGTTAGATTTTGATATCAAAATTTTGCCACTTCTGCTTGAGAAATTCTCGTTGGATCTCCCTCAAAATTCATATTTAGATTTTAAAATTGTGTTGCTCTTTGATGAGGACAGGATGTATGGATCTCAAATTTCCACTTTGTTTCTTGTTGTGCATGCTGTTTTCCAGCTGAAAAATAAAAATGTCTAAAAAAAAGGTTAATTAAGTGGAAAGAAAAAGACCTGACTTATATGGAACCAATATAAAGATGATTCAATGAAGCCTGCAAAGCAATGAGGCATCAGAATTTACATAAGTTTGATACAAGTTCTACAGTAACTTCATACAAGTTTGCCTGATAAATAATAATGATCAACTGTCTCACATTTCCCTTGTCCATTAGTGTTAACGAAGTTACAATTTGGTCTGTAGTGTTTGGTACCCTACAAGTCCCCACCAGAACGTCATCTTGATTCAATTCAAAGTACCTAGATTGGAATGTTGCAATATACATTAGATAAGAGCTAGGCCATTAAGTGCCAATGAGAATCTCTTGTTTGTTGTTAATGAAGAAGTAATTTTCAACCATGTTACATATATATGGTCAGGAAGCGCAAAACTGTTTTTGTTGTTAGAATCCTGGTGATTTTATTCGTTTTACTTTCAGCTAAACTGGTTCCTGTTGCATTTGGCATCAAAAAATTACAAATCGCCATGGTGGTGGAGGACGCCAAGGTAGGTGTAGCTTGATACATCAGAGAAAATGATTCCTCTGTAATGGTATTTCTGTTGGCAAAATTGGACAATACTTGTTACACATAGGAGGACGATACTTGTTACACTTAGGAGGACAACACTTGTTACACTTAGGAGGACAACACTTGTTACACTTAGGAGGACAAGGACAACACTTGTTACACATAGGAGGACGATACTTGTTACACTTAGGAGGACAACACTTGTTACACTTAGGAGGACAGTACTTGTTACACTTAGGAGGACGATACTTGTTACACTTAGTAGGACAATACTTGTTACACTTAGGAGGACAGTACTTGTTACACTTAGGAGGACAGTACTTGTTACACTTAGGAGGACAGTACTTGTTACACTTAGGAGGACAGTACTTGTTACACTTAGGAGGACAATACTTGTTACACTTAGGAGGACAGTACTTGTTACACTTAGGAGGACAGTACTTGTTACACTTAGGAGGACAGTACTTGTTACACTTAGGAGGACAACACTTGTTACACTTAGGAGGACGACACTTGTTACACTTAGGAGGACGATACTTGTTACACTTAGGAGGACGATACTTGTTACACTTAGGAGGACAGTACTTGTTACACTTAGGAGGACAGTACTTGTTACACTTAGGAGGACAGTACTTGTTACACTTAGGAGGACAGTACTTGTTACACTTAGGAGGACAGTACTTGTTACACTTAGGAGGACAGTACTTGTTACACTTAGGAGGACAGTACTTGTTACACTTAGGAGGACGATACTTGTTACACTTAGGAGGACGATACTTGTTACACTTAGGAGGACAATACTTGTTACACTTAGGAGGACAGTACTTGTTACACTTAGGAGGACAGTACTTGTTACACTTAGGAGGACAGTACTTGTTACACTTAGTAGAAAAGGACTGTGATACATTTGGCTAATTAAAGAAATCTTTTCTTTATTAGTCTCAAGAGTCAAATGCATGTTTGAAAAAAAAATTAGATCAATAAGAATTTATCTGAATACAAGTGTAAACTTGTCTGGCACGGCAAAAATGACCTGCTGAGTTTATTTAAAAGCATGTGCATTGTGTACAAATACAAGAAATTCCTTTTAAATTTGACCAAAAATGCCCAGAGCAGATCTCCGCAAACTGTAGGCATATGTGTTTTACAACACAAATGTGTATGACAATTATCATCAAAAAAGAACTGTGGTATATCAATTACAGCAGAGTGTGGTATATCAATTACAGCAGAGTGTGGTATATCAATTACAGCAGAGTGTGGTATATAATTACAGCAGAGTGTGGTATATCAATTACAGCAGAGTGTGGTATATAATTACAGCAGAGTGTGGTATATCAATTACAGCAGAGTGTGGTATATCAATTACAGCAGAGTGTGGTATATCAATTACAGCAGAGTGTGGTATATCAATTACAGCAGAGTGTGGTATATCAATTACAGCAGAGTGTGGTATATCAATTACAGCAGAGTGTGGTATATCAATTACAGCAGAGTGTGGTATATCAATTACAGCAGAGTGTGGTATATCAATTACAGCAGAGTGTGGTATATCAATTACAGCAGAGTGTGGTATATCAATTACAGCAGAGTGTGGTATATCAATTACAGCAGAGTGTTGTATATCAATTACAGCAGAGTGTTGTATATGAATTACATGAAAGTGTTGTATATAAATTACAGCAGGAGTGTGGTATATAAATTACAGCAGAGTGTGGTATATAAATTGCAGCAGAGTGTTGTATATAAATTGCAGCAGGAGTGTTGTATATAAATTACAGCAGAGTGTTGTGTATAAATTACAGCAGAAGTGTTGTGTATAAATTACAGCAGTAGTGTTGTATATAAATTGCAGCAGGAGTGTGGTATATATATTACAGCAGGAGTGTGGTATATAAATTACAGCAGGAGTGTTGTATATAAATTACAGCAGGAGTAGTATAAAACTTACGGCAGGAGTGTGGTATGCAAATTACAACAGGAGTGGTATATAAATTAAAGCAGGAGTGTGGTATATAAATTACAGCAGAAGTGGTATATAAATTACAGCAGGAGTGTTGTATATAAATTACAGCAGGAGTGTTGTATATAAATTACAGCAGGAGTGTGGTATATAAATTACAGCAGGAGTAGTATAAAAATTACGGCAGGAGGGTGGTATATAAATTACAGCAGGAGTGTGGTATATATATTACGGCAGGAGTGTTGTATGTAAATTACAGCAGGAGTGTTGTATATAAATTACAGCAGGAGTGTTGTATATAAATTACAGCAGGAGTAGTATAAAAATTACGGCAAAAGGGTGGTATATAAATTACGGCAAGAGTTTGGTATAAAAATTGTAGCAGGAGTGTTGTATATAAATTGCAGCAGGAGTGTGGTATATAAATTACAGCAGGAGTGTTGTATATAAATTACAGCAGGAGTGTTGTATATAAATTACAGCAGGAGTGTGGTATATAAATTACAGCAGGAGTGTTGTATATAAATTACAGCAGGAGTGTTGTATATAAATTACAGCAGGAGGGTGGTATATAAATTACAGCAGGAGTGTGGTATATAAATTACAGCAGGAGTGTTGTATATAAATTACAGCAGGAGTGTTGTATATAAATTGTTGTATATAAATTACAGCAGGAGTGTTGTAGATAAATTACAGCAGGAGTGTGGTATATAAATTACGACAGGAGTGTTGTATATAAATTACAGCAGGAGTGTTGTATATAAATTACAGCAGGAGTGTTGTATATAAATTACAGCAGGAGTGTTGTATATAAATTACAGCAGGAGTGTTGTATATAAATTACAGCAGGAGTGTGGTATATAAATTACAACAGGAGTGTGGTATATAAATTACAGCAGTAGCGTTGTATATAAATTACAGCAGGAGTGTGGTATATAAATTACAGCAGGAGTGTTGTATATAAATTACAGCAGGAGTGTTGTATATAAATTACAGCAGGAGTGTGGTATATAAATTACAGCAGGAGTGTGGTATATAAATTACAGCAGGAGTGTTGTATATAAATTACAGCAGGAGTGTTGTATATAAATTACACAAGGAGTGTGGTATATTAATTACAGCAGGAGGGTGGTATATAAATTACAGCAGGAGTGTGGTATATAAATTACAGCAGGAGTGTTGTATATAAATTACACCAGGAGTGTTGTATATTAATTACAGCAGGAGTGTGGTATATAAATTACAGCAGGAGTGTGGTATATAAATTACAGCAGGAGTGTGTAATATAAATTACAGCAGGAGTGTTGTATATAAATTACAACAGGAGTGGTATATAAATTATGACAGCAGTTTGGTATATAAATTATGACAGCAGTTTGGTATGTAAGTTACAGCAGGAGGGTATATAAATTACAGCAGGAGTAAAAATTAACAAAAATAGAAAACCATACGTTGTATATAAATACAGCAGGATGTATATAAATACAGCAGGAGTGTTGTATATGAATGAAAAAGTGTTGTATATCAGTTACAACAGGAGGGTGGTATATAAATTACAGCAGGATGCTTGAATGGATATATAAATACAAAATTGGTATATAAATAGTACAGCAGGATTATTTGTATATAAATATCACTACAATTGGAGGTGGTATATTGTGACAGGGTATATATTCATGCTCTCAATATCATTAGCAGGATTGTATATAAATTACACAAGGTGGGTGTGACGGGGATATCATCAATATCACTACATTGTTAGGTGGGTGTGACAGGGATTCATGCTGTGTAATATCACTACATTGTTAGGTGTATATAAATGTGACAGGGATATCATGCTATCAATATCACTACATTGTTAGGTGGGTGTGACAAAAGAAAATTTAACAAAATAGGGATATCATGCTGTCAATATCACTACATTGTTAGGTGGATGTGACGGGGATATCATGCTGTCAATATCACTACATTGTTAGCTGGGTGTGACAGGGATATCATGCTGTCAATATCACTACATTGTTAGGTGGGTGTGACGGGGATATCATGCTCTCAATATCACTAAATTGTTAGGTGGGTGTGACAGGGATATCATGCTGTCAATATCACTACATTGTTAGGTGGGTGTGACAGCGATATCATGCTGTCAATATCACTACATTGTTAGGTGGGTGTGACAGGGATATCATGCTCTCAATATCACTACATTGTTAGGTGGGTGTGACGGGGATATCATGCTGTCAATATCACTACATTGTTAGGTGGATGTGACGGGGATATCATGCTGTCAATATCACTACATTGTTAGCTGGGTGTGACAGGGATATCATGCTGTCAATATCACTACATTGTTAGGTGGGTGTGACAGCGATATCATGCTCTCAATATCACTACATTGTTAGGTGGGTGTGACAGGGATATCATGCTCTCAATATCACTACATTGTTAGGTGGGTGTGACAGGGATATCATGCTGTCAATATCACTACATTGTTAGGTGGGTGTGATGGGGATACCATGCTGTCAATATCACTACATTGTTAGGTGGGTGTGACGGGGATATCATGCTGTCAATATCACTACATTGTTAGGTGGGTGTGACAGGGATATCATGCTCTCAGTATCACTACATTGTTAGGTGGATGTGACAGTGCTTCATGCTCTTAATATCACTACATTGTTAGGTGGGTGTGACGGAGATATCATGCTGTCAATATCACTACATTGTTAGGTGGGTGTGACAGCGATATCATGCTCTCAATATCATTTCATTGTTAGGTAGGTGTGACAGCGATATCATGCTCTCAATATCACTACATTGTTAGGTGGGTGTGACAGGGATATCATGCTGTCAATATCACTACATTGTTAGGTGGGTGTGACGGGGATATCATGCTGGCAATATCACTACATTGTTAGGTGGGTGTGACAGGGATATCATGCTGTCAATATCACTACATTGTTAGGTGGGTGTGACAGTGCTTCATGCTCTTAATATCACTACATTGTTAGGTGGGTGTGACAGAGATATCATGCTGTCAATATCACTACATTGTTAGGTGGGTGTGACGTGGATATCATGCTCTCAATATCACTACATTGTTAGGTGGGTGTGATGTGGATATCATGCTCCCACGTTTGGTGCTCTTCACACAACTTCATTCATTTTAAATTGTTTTCTATCCACAGTATCCTGGATGTCTCCTAAGTAAACGAGTAAAGTAGTACATTACATGTTATTTCTAAAAAAATTGAGAAACCTGTTTTATGGTCACTTTATGTGTGTTTGTGTACTTGCAGGTTAGTGTGGATGACATCACAGAAAAAATTGAAGCAGATTATGAAGATTATGTACAGTCTGTTGACATTCATCTGTTCCAGAAGATATAGTGTCAATGAAAACCTGGGTCTAAAGTGCTCTTAATTTGCCTATAATAAATAATAAACAACCGCCTTTATTTTACTTTATTTTTTTCCATGTGCTTTATGTCCAAACAAGTGTAAAACCTTGAATCACATGAACATATTTGATGTATTACTTGATCAAAATACAAGGTCTCCAATACTGCTGCAGCATTGAATTGTTGTCAACTTTTTATATCGCGCATTACAGTAGTATGGGGACGTAACTGATACTGTATCATACAGGTAATACATTACAGTAGGGGACGTAACTGATACTGTATCATACATGTAATACATTACAGTAGTGTAGGGGACGTAACTGATACTGTATCATACAGGTAATACATTACAGTAGTGTAGGGGACGTAACTGATTCTGTATCATACAGGTAATACATTACAGTAGTGTAGGGGACGTAACTGATACTGTATCATACAGGTAATACATTACAGTAGTGTAGGGGACGTAACTGATACTGTATCATACAGGTAATACATTACAGTAGTGTAGGGGACGTAACTGATACTGTATCATACAGGTAATACATTACAGTAGTATGAGGGACGTAACTGATACTGTATCATACAGGTAATACATTACAGTAGTGTAGGGGACGTAACTGATACTGTATCATACAGGTAATACATTACAGTAGTGTAGTGGACGTAACTGATACTGTATCATACAGGTAATACATTACAGTAGTGTAGGGGACGTAACTGATACTGTATCATACAGGTAATACATTACAGTAGTGTAGGGGACGTAACTGATACTGTATCATACAGGTAATTCATTACAGTAGTGTAGGGGACGTAACTGATACTGTATCATACAGATAATACATTACAGTAGTGTAGGGGACGTAACTGATACTGTATCATACAGGTAATACATTACAGTAGTGTAGGGGACGTAACTGATACTGTATCATACAGGTAATACATTACAGTAGTGTAGGGGACGTAACTGATACTGTATCATACAGGTAATACATTACAGTAGTGTAGGGGACGTAACTGATACTGTATCATACAGGTAATACATTACAGTAGTGTAGGGGACGTAACTGATACTGTATCATACAGGTAATACATTACAGTAGGGGACGTAACTGATACTGTATCATACAGGTAATACATTACAGTAGTGTAGTGGACGTAACTGATACTGTATCATACAGGTAATACATTACAGTAGTGTAGGGGACGTAACTGATACTGTATCATACAGGTAATACATTACAGTAGGGGACATAACTGATACTGTATCATACAGGTAATACATTACAGTAGTGTAGGGGACGTAACTGATACTGTATCATACAGGTAATACATTACAGTAGTGTAGGGGACGTAACTGATACTGTATCATACAGGTAATACATTACAGTAGTGTAGGGGACGTAACTGATACTGTATCATACAGATAATACATTACAGTAGGGGACGTAACTGATACTGTATTATACAGGTAATACATTACAGTAGTGTAGGGGACATAACTGATACTGTATCATACAGGTAATACATTACAGTAGTGTAGGGGACGTAACTGATACTGTATCATACAGGTAATACATTACAGTAGGGGACGTAACTGATACTGTATCATACAGGTAATACATTACAGTAGTGTAGGGGACGTAACTGATACTGTATCATACAGGTAATACATTACAGTAGTGTAGGGGACGTAACTGATACTGTATCATACAGATAATACATTACAGTAGGGGACGTAACTGATACTGTATTATACAGGTAATACATTACAGTAGTGTAGGGGACATAACTGATACTGTATCATACAGGTAATACATTACAGTAGTGTAGGGGACGTAACTGATACTGTATCATACAGGTAATACATTACAGTAGTGTAGGGGACGTAACTGATACTGTATCATACAGGTAATACATTACAGTAGTGTAGGGGACGTAACTGATACTGTATCATACAGGTAATACATTACAGTAGTGTAGGGGACGTAACTGATACTGTATCATACAGGTAATACATTACAGTAGTGTAGGGGACGTAACTGATACTGTATCATACAGGTAATACATTACAGTAGTGTAGGGGACGTAACTGATACTGTATCATACAGGTAATACATTACAGTAGTGTAGGGGACGTAACTGATACTATCATACAGATAATGCATTACAGTAGGGGACGTAACTGATACTGTATCATACAGATAATACATTACAGTAGTGTAGGGGACGTAACTGATACTGTATCATACAGGTAATACATTACAGTAGTGTAGGGGACGTAACTGATACTGTATCATACAGGTAATACATTACAGTAGTGTAGGGGACGTAACTGATACTGTATCATACAGGTAATACATTACAGTAGTGTAGGGGACGTAACTGATACTGTATCATACAGGTAATACATTACAGTAGTGTAGGGGACGTAACTGATACTGTATCATACAGGTAATACATTACAGTAGTGTAGGGGACGTAACTGATACTGTATCATACAGATAATGCATTACAGTAGGGGACGTAACTGATACTGTATCATACAGATAATACATTACAGTAGTGTAGGGGACGTAACTGATACTGTATCATACAGGTAATTCATTACAGTAGTGTAGGGGACGTAACTGATACTGTATCATACAGGTAATACATTACAGTAGGGGACGTAACTGATACTGTATCATACAGGTAATACATTACAGTAGTGTAGGGGACGTAACTGATACTGTATCATACAGGTAATACATTACAGTAGTGTAGGGGACGTAACTGATACTGTATCATACAGGTAATACATTACAGTAGTGTAGGGGACGTAACTGATACTGTATCATACAGGTAATACATTACAGTAGGGGACATAACTGATACTGTATCATACAGGTAATACATTACAGTAGTGTAGGGGACGTAACTGATACTGTATCATACAGATAATACATTACAGTAGGGGACGTAACTGATACTGTATCATACAGGTAATACATTACAGTAGTGTAGGGGACGTAACTGATACTGTATCATACAGGTAATACATTACAGTAGTGTAGGGGACGTAACTGATACTGTATCATACAGGTAATACATTACAGTAGTGTAGGGGACGTAACTGATACTGTATCATACAGGTAATACATTACAGTAGTGTAGGGGACGTAACTGATACTGTATCATACAGGTAATACATTACAGTAGTGTAGGGGACGTAACTGATTCTGTATCATACAGGTAATACATTACAGTAGTGTAGGGGACGTAACTGATACTGTATCATACAGGTAATACATTACAGTAGTGTAGGGGACGTAACTGATACTGTATCATACAGGTAATACATTACAGTAGTGTAGGGGACGTAACTGATACTGTATCATACAGGTAATACATTACAGTAGTGTAGGGGACGTAACTGATACTGTATCATACAAGTAATACATTACAGTAGTGTAGGGGACGTAACTGATACTGTATCATACAGGTAATACATTACAGTAGTATGAGGGACGTAACTGATACTGTATCATACAGGTAATACATTACAGTAGTGTAGGGGACGTAACTGATACTGTATCATACAGGTAATACATTACAGTAGGGGACGTAACTGATACTGTATCATACAGGTAACACATTACAATGATGTTACAATTCACCGTCTTGTAGTAGCAGGGGGAGAGTAAAACTGATGACGTGAGGTTGTTACAATTCACCGTCTTGTAGTAGTAGCAGGTATAGAGTCCAACTGATGACGTGATGTTGTAACAATTCACCGTCTTGTAGTAGTAGCAGGTATAGAGTCCAACTGATGACGTGATGTTGTAACAATTCACCGTCTTGTAGTAGTAGCAGGGGGAGAGTCAAACTGATGACGTGATGTTGTAACAATTCACCGTCTTGTAGTAGTAGTAGGGGGAGAGTAAAACTGATGACGTGATGTAACAATTCACCGTCTTGTAGTAGTAGCAGGGGGAGAGTAAAACTGATGACGTGATGTAACAATTCACCGTCTTGTAGTAGCAGGTATAGAGTAAAACTGATGACGTGATGTAACAATTCACCGTCTTGTAGTAGTAGCAGGGGGAGAGTCAAACTGATGACGTGATGTAACAATTCACCGTCTTGTAGTAGTAGCAGGGGGAGAGTAAAACTGATGACGTGATGTAACAATTCACCGTCTTGTAGTAGTAGGTATAGAGTAAAACTGATGACGTGATGTAACAATTCACCGTCTTGTAGTAGTAGCAGGGGGAGAGTCAAACTGATGACGTGATGTAACAATTCACCGTCTTGTAGTAGTAGCAGGGGGAGAGTAAAACTGATGACGTGATGTAACAATTCACCGTCTTGTAGTAGTAGCAGGGAGAGAGTCAAACTGACGGCGTGATGTAACAATTCACCGTCTTGTAGTAGTAGCAGGGATAGAGTAAAATTGATGTCGTGATGTTGTAACAATTCACCGTCTTGTAGTAGCAGGTATAGAGTCCAACTGATGACGTGATGTTGTAACAATTCACCGTCTTGTAGTAGTAGCAGGTATAGAGTCCAACTGATGACGTGATGTTGTAACAATTCACCGTCTTGTAGTAGTAGCAGGGGGAGAGTAAAACTGATGACGTGATGTTGTAACAATTCACCGTTTGGTAGTAGTAGTAGGGGGAGAGTAAAACTGATGTGATGTAACAATTCACCGTCTTGTAGTAGTAGTAGTAGTAGTAGTAGGGGGAAAGTAAAACTGATGACGTGAGGTTGTAACAAATCACCGTCTTGTAGTAGTAGCAGGGATAGATTCAAACTGATGACGGGATGTTGTAACAATTCACCGTCTTGTAGTAGTAGCAGGGGTCGAGTAAAACTGATGCCATGATGTTGTAACAAATCGCCGTCTTGTAGTAGTAGCAGGGGTTGAGTAAAACTGATGCCGTGATGTTGTAACAAATCGCTATACTGTATTAGCAGGAGGTATATACACCTACTTGATATTCTTTAAAAACGTCCTATATTTGAAGTTGTGAAATCTATTGAATACGATTAGGACACTTGTCTGTATAGTTAATTCTTATGTTCGTTTTAAGTAGTCTTTAATCCTACGAAAATGTACAACTAAAATAGCATTACACGTGTCACATTTACTGCATTTCAGCCTGCATGTCCATACCCATCGCATTATCAATATAACAAAAACAAATGAAAAATCAATGTCGGGATCCAATGAACCTAGTGAATTTTATTGTACATATAACAGGTACAAATTTAGTATGGAATCTAATTATATCATTTATATGGATATCCGATAAGTTAGCGTGATTAACTTATCTACATACAATATATACAGTTATCAGTTTCATATTGTTATCACAGGTGAACGTGGAATACAAAACATGGGTATAGGACTGTTGTATAAATAATTATAATACAAGAGGAATGGCCAAGTCATTGACGCAGACTTTATGTTTAATATTGGTGATTCTGATCAGATGTACTACTGGGATCGCTAAAGAAGAGGAATGTGTACAGATCAGTTCGTGTTCTTGTCAATTCTCTGACGGTACAACGATAGACCTGTCACCGTTATCAAGTACTGATGTAAACACACCAAGGTACGTAACTATATATACTATAGACTGTGTCAGCTGCATATTCCTCCATGGTCCCAGAGAAATTATTCTCACTATGGGCATCAAATATCAGATAAATGATTACATTCTTTTTATACAGAAAAATGTTATATAATGTTACAAATGTACTTGTAACACCTGACGATGATGATCTGTTTTAGATTTTACGATGTACCTGTAACACCTGACGGTGATGATCTGTTTTAGAGGATGTACCTGTAACACCTGGCGGTGATGATCTGTTTTAGATGATGTACCTGTAACACCTGACGGTGATGATCTGTTTTAGATGATGTACCTGTAACACCTGGCGGTGATTATCTGTTTTAGATGATGTACCTGTAACTCCTGGCGGTGATGATCTGTTTTAGATTTTACGATGTACCTGTAACACCTGACGGTGATGATCTGTTTCAGATGATGTACCTGTAACACCTGGCGGTGATGATCTGTTTTAGATTTTACGATGTACCTGTAACACCTGACGGTGATGATCTGTTTTAGATGATGTACATGTAACACCTGGCGGTGATGATCTGTTTTAGATGATGTACCTGTAACACCTGACGGTGATGATCTGTTTTAGATGATGTACCTGTAACACCTAACGGTGATTATCTGTTTTAGATGATGTACCTGTAACACCTGACGGTGATGATCTGTTTTAGATGATGTACATGTAACACCTGACGGTGATGATCTGTTTTAGATGATGTACCTGTAACACCTGGCGGTGATGATCTGTTTTAGATGATGTACCTGTAACACCTGACGGTGATGATCTGTTTTAGATGATGTACCTGTAACACCTGGCGGTGATGATATGTTTTAGATTTTACGATGTACCTGTAACCCCTGGCGGTGATGATATGTTTTCCTGGAACCCGTGTGTGGATTTTATACAGCCGTCCAGTTCAACGTGTGAAGGTGTGGCTGTAAGTAATAAAGCTTTATAGGAAAGAAATGATTGATGTAGAAAGTGGTTTTTACTCCAGTGTAATGTTTAACCGTTTAATTTAATTTTTACAGGGTTACTCTCTAAAATTAGCGTCCCACCGATCATTTTAAAGATCCTGTTTTTTTGTTTTTCATAACTTGTAGCAAAACCAATTACCTTTCTTACATGGAGAGAAGCTCAATTCAAAGGCTAAAGCTATGATTGTGCGAAATAAGTTACAATTCAGTATCAGATACAGTTCTTATAACATAAGGTTGATGTCCCACGCTTAAAAAGGGAGATAATCGTCCATCAAAAACAGCCGGTGTGTAACGGTAAGATTGGCTGTATGTCTTTTATATTTCAATAAACTTCGTGTGAACATGAAAATTTTATCAATATCTGAAGGTTTGTCACATCCATCTGGCGCCACCACTGGCCATTTACTTCAATCTGGGAACGACTGATTCAGCTGTATTCTCCACAAACGATGCCGGACAGGTAGTGGTGTCCTACCAACATATTGACCCGGGCACACCAACAATCCAACGGTAAAATTCCTCAGCGAACCTTTCTCCTATTCGTGTCTTTTTTAATTCCTGAGCGAACCTTCCTACCGATTGTGTTTTTTCTAATTCCTGAGCGAACCTTTCTCCCGTTTGAGTCTTTGTTAATTCCTGGGCGAATCATTCTACCGTTTATGCCGTTTTTAAAATTCCTGGGCGAATCTTCCTTCTGTTTGTGCCGTTTTTAAAATTCCTGGGTAAATCTTTCTTCTGTTTGTCCCGTTTTTAAAATTCCTGAGTGAATCTTTCTTCTGTTTGTCCCTTTTTCAAAATTCCTGAGCGAATCTTTGTTCTTTTTGTGCCGTTTAAAAATACCCGAGGTAATATTTCTACGTTTATGCCCTTTTTTAAAATTCCTGGGTAAATCTTTCTTCTGTTTGTGCCGTTTTTAAAATTCCTGAGCGAATCTTTCTTCTTTTTGTGCCGTTTAAAAATTCCCGAGGTAATATTTCTACCGTTTATGCCCTTTTTTAAAATTCCTGGGTAAATCTTTGTTCTGTTTGTGCCGTTTTTAAAATTCCTGAGCGAATCTTTCTTCTGTTTGTCCCTTTTTTAAAATTCCTGAGCGAATCTTTCTTCTGTTTGTCCCGTTTTTAAAATTCCTCAGCGAATCTTTCTTCTGTTTGTCCCGTTTTTAAAATTCCTGAGCGAATCTTTGTTCTGTTTGTGCCGTTTTTAAAATTCCTGAGCGAATATTTCTTCTGTTTTTGCCGTTTTTAAAATTTCTTGAAGAATCTTTCTTCTGTTTGTCCCGTTTTTAAAATTCCTGAGCGAATCTTTGTTCTGTTTGTGCCGTTTTTAAAATTTCTTGAAGAATCTTTCTTCTGTTTGTCCCGTTTTTAAAATTCCTGAGCGAATCTTTGTTCTGTTTGTGCCGTTTTTAAAATTTCTTGAAGAATCTTTCTTCTGTTTGTGCCGTTTTTAAAATTCCTGAGCGAATCTTTGTTCTGTTTGTGCCGTTTTTAAAATTTCTTGAAGAATCTTTCTTCTGTTTGTGCCGTTTTTAAAATTCCTGAGCGAATCTTTGTTCTGTTTGTGCCGTTTTTAAAATTTCTTGAAGAATCTTTCTTCTGTTTGTCCTGTTTTTAAAATTCCTGAGCGAATCTTTGTTCTGTTTGTGCCGTTTTTAAAATTTCTTGAAGAATCTTTCTTCTGTTTGTCCCGTTTTTAAAATTCCTGAGCGAATCTTTGTTCTGTTTGTGCCGTTTTTAAAATTTCTTGAAGAATCTTTCTTCTGTTTGTCCCGTTTTTAAAATTTCTTGAAGAATCTTTCTTCTGTTTGTCCCGTTTTTAAAATTCCTGAGCGAATCTTTCTTCTGTTTGTCCCGTTTTTAAAATTCCTGAGCGAATCTTTGTTCTGTTTGTGCCGTTTTTAAAATTTCTTGAAGAATCTTTCTTCTGTTTGTCCCGTTTTTAAAATTCCTGAGCGAATCTTTGTTCTGTTTGTGCCGTTTTTAAAATTTCTTGAAGAATCTTTCTTCTGTTTGTGCCGTTTTTAAAATTCCTGAGCGAATCTTTGTTCTGTTTGTGCCGTTTTTAAAATTTCTTGAAGAATCTTTCTTCTGTTTGTCCTGTTTTTAAAATTCCTGAGCGAATCTTTGTTCTGTTTGTGCCGTTTTTAAAATTTCTTGAAGAATCTTTCTTCTGTTTGTCCCGTTTTTAAAATTCCTGAGCGAATCTTTGTTCTGTTTGTGCCGTTTTTAAAATTTCTTGAAGAATCTTTCTTCTGTTTGTCCCGTTTTTAAAATTTCTTGAAGAATCTTTCTTCTGTTTGTCCCGTTTTTAAAATTCCTGAGCGAATCTTTCTTCTGTTTGTCCCGTTTTTAAAATTCCTGAGCGAATCTTTGTTCTGTTTGTGCCGTTTTTAAAATTCCTGAGCGAATATTTCTTCTGTTTTTGCCGTTTTTAAAATTTCTTGAAGAATCTTTCTTCTGTTTGTCCCGTTTTTAAAATTCCTGAGCGAATCTTTGTTCTGTTTGTGCCGTTTTTAAAATTTCTTGAAGAATCTTTCTTCTGTTTGTCCCGTTTTTAAAATTCCTGAGCGAATCTTTGTTCTGTTTGTGCCGTTTTTAAAATTTCTTGAAGAATCTTTCTTCTGTTTGTGCCGTTTTTAAAATTCCTGAGCGAATCTTTGTTCTGTTTGTGCCGTTTTTAAAATTTCTTGAAGAATCTTTCTTCTGTTTGTGCCGTTTTTAAAATTCCTGAGCGAATCTTTGTTCTGTTTGTGCCGTTTTTAAAATTTCTTGAAGAATCTTTCTTCTGTTTGTCCTGTTTTTAAAATTCCTGAGCGAATCTTTGTTCTGTTTGTGCCGTTTTTAAAATTTCTTGAAGAATCTTTCTTCTGTTTGTCCCGTTTTTAAAATTCCTGAGCGAATCTTTGTTCTGTTTGTGCCGTTTTTAAAATTTCTTGAAGAATCTTTCTTCTGTTTGTGCCGTTTTTAAAATTCCTGAGCGAATCTTTGTTCTGTTTGTGCCGTTTTTAAAATTTCTTGAAGAATCTTTCTTCTGTTTGTGCCGTTTTTAAAATTTCTTGAAGAATCTTTCTTCTGTTTGTCCCGTTTTTAAAATTCCTGAGCGAATCTTTCTTCTGTTTGTCCCGTTTTTAAAATTCCTGAGCGAATCTTTGTTCTGTTTGTGCCGTTTTTAAAATTTCTTGAAGAATCTTTCTTCTGTTTGTCCCGTTTTTAAAATTTCTTGAAGAATCTTTCTTCTGTTTGTCCCGTTTTTAAAATTCCTGAGCGAATCTTTCTTCTGTTTGTCCCGTTTTTAAAATTCCTGAGCGAATCTTTGTTCTGTTTGTGCCGTTTTTAAAATTTCTTGAAGAATCTTTCTTCTGTTTGTCCCGTTTTTAAAATTCCTGAGCGAATCTTTGTTCTGTTTGTGCCGTTTTTAAAATTTCTTGAAGAATCTTTCTTCTGTTTGTCCCGTTTTTAAAATTCCTGAGCGAATCTTTGTTCTGTTTGTGCCGTTTTTAAAATTTCTTGAAGAATCTTTCTTCTGTTTGTCCCGTTTTTAAAATTCCTGAGCGAATATTTCTTCTGTTTTTGCCGTTTTTAAAATTTCTTGAAGAATCTTTCTTCTGTTTGTCCCGTTTTTAAAATTCCTGAGCGAATCTTTGTTCTGTTTGTGCCGTTTTTAAAATTTCTTGAAGAATCTTTCTTCTGTTTGTCCCGTTTTTAAAATTCCTGAGCGAATCTTTGTTCTGTTTGTGCCGTTTTTAAAATTTCTTGAAGAATCTTTCTTCTGTTTGTCCCGTTTTTAAAATTCCTGAGCGAATCTTTGTTCTGTTTGTGCCGTTTTTAAAATTCCTGAGCGAATCTTTCTTCTGTTTGTCCCGTTTTTAAAATTCCTGAGCGAATCTTTGTTCTGTTTGTCCCTTTTTTAAAATTCCTGAGCGAATCTTTCTTCTGTTTGTCCCGTTTTTAAAATTCCTGAGCGAATCTTTGTTCTGTTTGTGCCGTTTTTAAAATTCCTGAGCGAATATTTCTTCTGTTTTTGCCGTTTTTAAAATTTCTTGAAGAATCTTTCTTCTGTTTGTCCCGTTTTTAAAATTCCTGAGCGAATCTTTGTTCTGTTTGTGCCGTTTTTAAAATTTCTTGAAGAATCTTTCTTCTGTTTGTGCCGTTTTTAAAATTCCTGAGCGAATCTTTGTTCTGTTTGTGCCTTTTTTAAAATTTCTTGAAGAATCTTTCTTCTATTTGTCCCGTTTTTAAAATTCCCGAGGTAATATTTCTACCGTTTATGCCCCTTTTTAAAATTCCTGGGTAAATCTTTCTTCTGTTTGTCCTGTTTTTAAAATTCCTTGACGAATCTTTGTTCTGTTTGTGCCGTTTTTAAAATTCCTGAGTGAATCTTTCTTTTGTTTGTCCTGTTTTTAAAATTCCTGGACGAATCTTTGTTCTGTTTGTGCCGTTTTTAAAATTCCTGAGTGAATCTTTCTTCTGTTTGTCCCGTTTTTAAAATTCCTAGGCGAATCTTTCTTCTTTTTGTGCCGTTTAAAAATTCCTGAGGTAATATTTCTACCGTTTATGCCCTTTTTAAAATTCCTGAGCGAATCTTTGTTCTGTTTGTCCCGTTTTTAAAATTCCCGAGCGAATCTTTCTTCTTTTTGTGCCGTTTAAAAATTCCCGAGGTAATATTTCTACGTTTATGCCCTTTTTTTTTAAAATTCCTGAGTGAATCTTTCTTCTGTTTGTCCCATTTTTAAAATTCCTGAGTGAATCTTTCTTCTGTTTGTCCCGTTTTTAAAATTCCTGAGCGAATCTTTGTTCTGTTTGTGCCGTTTTTAAAATTCCTGAGCGAATCTTTCTTCTTTTTGTGCCGTTTAAATATTCCCGAGGTAATATTTCTACCGTTTATGCCCTTTTTTAAAATTCCTGGGTAAATCTTTGTTCTTTTTGTGCCGTTTAAAAATTCCCGAGGTAATATTTCTACCGTTTATGCCCTTTTTTAAAATTCCTGGGTAAATCTTTCTTCTGTTTGTGCCGTTTTTAAAATTCCTGAGCGAATCTTTCTTCTGTTTGTCCCTTTTTTAAAATTCCTGAGCGAATCTTTCTTCTGTTTGTCCCTTTTTTAAAATTCCTGAGCGAATCTTTCTTCTGTTTGTCCCGTTTTTAAAATTCCTGAGCGAATCTTTCTTCTGTTTGTCCCTTTTTTAAAATTGCTGAGCGAATCTTTCTTCTGTTTGTCCCGTTTTTAAAATTCCTGAGCGAATCTTTCTTCTGTTTGTGCCGTTTTTAAAATTCCTGAGCGAATATTTCTTCTGTTTTTGCCGTTTTTAAAATTCCTGGGTAAATCTTTCTTCTGTTTGTGCCGTTTTTAAAATTCCTGAGCGAATCTTTCTTCTGTTTGTCCCTTTTTTAAAATTCCTGAGCGAATCTTTCTTCTGTTTGTCCCTTTTTTAAAATTCCTGAGCGAATCTTTCTTCTGTTTGTCCCGTTTTTAAAATTCCTGAGCGAATCTTTCTTCTGTTTGTGCCGTTTTTAAAATTCCTGAGCGAATATTTCTTCTGTTTTTGCCGTTTTTAAAATTTCTTGAAGAATCTTTCTTCTGTTTGTCCCGTTTTTTAAATTCCTGAGCGAATCTTTGTTCTGTTTGTGCCGTTTTTAAAATTTCTTGAAGAATCTTTCTTCTGTTTGTCCAGTTTTTAAAATTCCTGAGCGAATCTTTGTTCTGTTTGTGCCTTTTTAAAAATTTCTTGAAGAATCTTTCTTCTATTTGTCCCGTTTTTAAAATTCCCGAGGTTATATTTCTACCGTTTATGCCCCTTTTTAAAATTCCTGGGTAAATCTTTCTTCTGTTTGTCCTGTTTTTAAAATTCCTTGACGAATCTTTGTTCTGTTTGTCCTGTTTTTAAAATTCCTTGACGAATCTTTGTTCTGTTTGTGCCGTTTTTAAAATTCCTGGGTAAATCTTTCTTCTGTTTGTGCCGTTTTTAAAATTCCTGAGTGAATCTTTCTTCTGTTTGTGCCGTTTTTAAAATTCCTGAGTGAATCTTTCTTCTGTTTGTGCCGTTTTTAAAATTCCTGAGCGAATCTTTCTTCTGTTTGTGCCGTTTTTAAAATTCCTGGGTAAATCTTTCTTCTGTTTGTCCCGTTTTTAAAATTCCTTGACGAATCTTTGTTCTGTTTGTGCCGTTTTTAAAATTCCTGGGTAAATCTTTCTTCTGTTTGTGCCGTTTTTAAAATTCCTGAGTGAATCTTTCTTCTGTTTGTGCCGTTTTTAAAATTCCTGAGCGAATCTTTCTTCTGTTTGTCCCGTTTTTAAAATTCCTGGGTAAATCTTTGTTCTGTTTGTCCTGTTTTTAAAATTCCTTGACGAATCTTTGTTCTGTTTGTGCCGTTTTTAAAATTCCTGAGTTAATCTTTCTTCTGTTTGTGCCGTTTTTAAAATTCCTGAGCGAATCTTTCTTCTGTTTGTCCCGTTTTTAAAATTCCTGGGTAAATCTTTCTTCCGTTTGTCCCGTTTTTAAAATTCCTGAGCGAATCTTTCTTCTGTTTGTCCCGTTTTTAAAATTCCTGAGCGAATCTTTCTTCTGTTTGTCCCGTTTTTAAAATTCCTGAGTTAATCTTTCTTCTTTTTGTCCCGTTTTTAAAATTCCCGAGTTAATCTTTCTGCCGTTTGTGCCGTTTTTCCGGTCTTGTTTCTGCCACCTCCATGTAACAAGGAGGCTCAATTAATAACATCAAAGAGTATCAAAGCATTTCCGTCCTTTATTTCTTAGTAAATTCCAGACAATAGAATAAATGCCAATAAACTTTGTTCAATAACCTACATTTTCTTCTACAAATTTCGTTTGCCGACGTCATGCTTGTCACCTTGCCATAATCTTTAAAAAGAAATAGACATATACAGTACATGGCTTTACGTTTAAGTACCAGTCACCACAAAAAATACCATTGTTACGGTACTGAGCCGACATACAGATGAGCTCTCTTGACAGTTAGAACTGGTTAATTCTACCATCTAAACTTGACTCCAGATTTTCAGAAGCTGTTTATAAAGAGATCGCACTCCCGTTTGTTTCTGTATTATGTCTACATATTTATTTTGAATCTAGCTGGTTCTATCAAACATAAGTAAAATATCCTAGATCAAAATTCAATATTGCAGCAAAACAATGTATATATACATATATCATCAAACAATACAACATTTAACAGCGATCAAAACTACCTTTCTTTTATGGTACTCCATTAAAACATGTCTACAATATCTGTAAATTTTATATACCTACCAAGTGATATGACATTCTGTCCTAGATTGAGCAGTTGTTCTGTTGTAGGAGTTCTCATATCGCCCTCTTTTGCGACCAGACAGAGGATGGGAAGTTCGTGCCTCTTTTTGAACTTGAACCCGGAAGTGGTGAATTTGTAAGCATGATTTTTTTCCAGTAATGTATTATGGAAACATCATAAGTACACAAAGTAATATTGTATTGTTTAAATCAGACTGATTTTATGTTTTAGATAAATATTTACTTCATCAGTTATACCTATCAACACAGGTGTATACGACACTTGTTTTATCAAAGGATATACTGACTTTAAAACACACACGACAAAGGAAGACAATTTTTACCGATTGCTTTTTCTATATCTAACAGCACTTTGAGCTCCATAGTAAATACACATGTTACGGAGACAATACCGACGAGGATACGGAAGAGCCGTTCTCTGTGGGAACAATAATTTGTTTGTCGTAAGTAAAACAATTTACTCCATATAGTTTTCTCGGTGGGCTGAACGTAAATATTTTGTCTGGTGTTAAGAATCTATTTAAGCCGACACTTTGCAGAACATAACTTATTGGTTAGATAAAATGTTGGAATGTACAGGTATTTTTCAAAGAACTGAAGTTTGTATCATGATTATTTTTCCATTTTAAACTATTATCTGAGACGGTAGGTTTCTGTCAACCCTCCAAAAGTACTTAAAGTGGGCTTTCTTTGTTTAAAATGTTATGTTTAAGAATGTTTTACTGTTTTAATGTTTTCAGGGATAATTATAAGAAAATCCGAAAATAATGACAATTGTATGGTCGTCTCAGAATAATTATTCACTTTACTAACAACAATTAAAACTGACTAAAATAAATGCCTATCATGACTTAACGTTATGTTAGTCACACATTTAATACTAAGTGCACTCTAATTTGAATTCATTCAGGCAATAAATGTGTTTTGATTGACTCGTTGTTGTGTCCACTTTATCTTTATACGTGAACATCAATGATATGTACAAGTATTTTCGATACGATTAAAAGTTTAATTTCTACTGCAGCATGTAAACTTCTGATTTAAGACACAAACGTAATATAGATGATTTCGACTTTTATATATATTATGCGTAATTCTACAGCTTAAATATCAATATGACTTTGTGATAATTGTATCCTACAGCTTAAATATCAATAGGACTTTGTGATAATTTTATCCTACAGCTTAAATATCAATAGGACTATTGTGATAATTGTATCCTACAGCTTAAATATAAATAGGACTATTGTGATAATTGTATCCTACAGCTTAAATATCAATATGACTTTGTGATAATTGTATCCTACAGCTTAAATATCAATAGGACTATTGTGATAATTGTATCCTACAGCTTAAATATCAATAGGACTATTGTGATAATTGTATCCTACAGCTTAAATATAAATAGGACTATTGTGATAATTGTATCCTACAGCTTAAATATAAATAGGACTATTGTGATAATTGTATCCTACAGCTTAAATATCAATAGGACTATTGTGATAATTGTATCCTACAGCTTAAATATAAATAGGACTATTGTGATAATTGTATCCTACAGCTTAAATATCAATAGGACTATTGTGATAATTGTATCCTACAGCTTAAATATAAATAGGACTATTGTGATAATTGTATCCTACAGCTTAAATATCAATATGACTTTGTGATAATTGTATCCTACAGCTTAAATATCAATAGGACTATTGTGATAATTGTATCCTACAGCTTAAATATCAATAGGACTATTGTGATAATTGTATCCTACAGCTTAAATATCAATAGGACTATTGTGATAATTGTATCCTACAGCTTAAATATAAATAGGACTATTGTGATAATTGTATCCTACAGCTTAACTTTTAATAGGACCATTGTAATAATTGTATCCTACAGCTTATTTTGAAAATTGCACAAAAGATTCATCTAACACCCTTAACCAAATAGCATCTTTATTATGTTGAAATGTTAGCGTTGTTTTGACTTTAGGGTACTAGTGTTACTTCTGGTGTACGTCATCGGTGGTGTGAGTTATAACACGTTATATAAAAAGAATGCCGGAATGGAAAAGATTCCAAATGTGTCTTTATGGCGGATGTTACCGGGACTTATAAAGGCAGGTATTTAAACATCTAAAATCATGTGTCTTTATGGCGGATGTTACCGGGACTTATAAAGGCAGGTATTTAAACATCTAAAATCATGTGTCTTTATGGCGGAAATTACCGGGACATATAAAGACAGGTATTTAAACATGTAAAATCATGTGTCTTTATGGCGGATTTTACCGGTACTTATAAAGTTAAGTACTTAAACATCTAAACTTATGTGTCTTTATGGCGGAAATTACCGGGACTTATAAAGACAGGTATTTAAACATCTAAAATCATGTGTCTTTATGGCGGAAATTACCGAGACTTACCGGGAAGTAATTATTTAAATATGGCGCTTTGTTTCCCCCTCTGCAATGAAATGTATTTATAGGTTTGGTAAATGAACTATCGGCTCATATGTTAAATATGTATGTTTTGTCATATATGTACCATAACCATGCCTTTATAGCTCACATTCAAGTCGTTAAGGCGATTGTCAACAAAATTGTCGAAGAATCACAAAGTTTGAAACTAACTGTAATTTTTTTTAGGATGGGTTTCTGTTCGTTTTCACGAGAGGTCGGATGCCTGAAGGCTACAGAGACATCTAACAGTGGGAAATGGTGGTCAGTGTCTCTCAACAGGAAGCGAATGTACTATACCAAATCATATTTGTTTACATATTCCAAACATCAGGTATAGACTTATTCAGTTGAACATATGGATTGATTTCAGTCTGATCGTGGTCTCCACTTTACCGACAGCATCCAAAAGGAAGAATTTCGGTAACACATTCTTATAATTCATGTAAATATCAAAGAGCGGGCAGAAAAAGCAAAACTGAGGAACTCTTAAATTCATTACAAACATACCATTCGTTAATCAGTCGCTACGTTCTCGCAAAGTCGAATTAAAATGAGGACGGCGATCCATTGAAGCACCATCGTCAGAGAAAACATTCAAAAAGTCCAAAAGGAAGAAAAGTAAAGCTTAATATTTCTACAACTTATGGTTTCTACAGATCACTATTCTCGTCCATTTGTGCTTAAAATGTTTGTCCATCTTCGATACTCCAGGGGTTACGATCACTTTCACTCTCTACACCCCTGGAACCATCTTCGATACTCCAGAGGTTACGATCTGTTTCGCTCTCTGCACCCCTGGAACCATCCTCGATACTAGAGGGGTTACGATCTCCTTCGCTCTCTACACCCCTGGAACCATCCTTGATACTCCAGAGGTTACGATCTGTTTCGCTCTCTGCACCCCTGGAACCATCCTCGATACTCCAGAGGTTACGATCTGTTTCACTCTCTGCACCCCTGGAACCATCCTCGATACTCCAGGGGTTACAATCACTTTCGCTCTCTGCACCGCTGGAACATGTCCCCGATACTTCAGGGGTTACAATCACTTTCGCTCTCTGTACCCCTCGAACCAACCTCAATACTCCAGGGGTTACGATCACTTTCACTCTCTACACCCCTGGAACCATCCTCGATACTCCAGGGGTCACGATCACTTTCGCTCTCTACACCCCTGGAACCATCCTCGATACTCCAGGGGTCACGATCACTTTCGCTCTCTGGAACCATCCTCGATACTCCAGGGGTTACGATCACTTTCTCTTTCTGCACCTGTGGACCATCCTTGACACTCCAGGGGTTACGGTCACTTTCGCTCTCTGCACCCTTGTAATATGTCATGTCGATTTTGAAGGTTTCGTTTGCGACACCTTGTGAACAAGACGAAAAGATTGGTTTGATTCTATGGTGTGCATCGAACGCATAACGGTACTGGCTTTGAAGTTGGTTTTCGCTCCTTTCTGATCTTAAAAAGAAGCGTATCAGCCTATGATTGGTCAGTTTTTTTCCTCCGGAACCAATCCAATTTCTTTATTGCATTCAATTTTGTCAGGACATGTTGTTACAGGGGTGCAGAGAGCAAAAATGACCATAGTCCCTATAGATTATCGAGGATGCAATGGCTACCTTGCAGGGTTTTACACGCCCATGTCCCTGGTGTCTCTCACGAACAGAACAGACTTGTAACACTTTCACCAACAAACTGGCCGGCGATGTATACTTTCCTCTGTGAAATCAGATGTACTATATTGTGTTACACGAATCAGTATCAGAATCGGTCCATTTTCTCCTCACAAAACTTTCAGGAATACAGGAAACAGGAATAGCTGTTCCATGGACAATCAGAACAAAACAGGGGATATACTGCTAATGTTATCTAAATCATTTAATCTATACACGTATTTTCGTTATCAGGATAAAGTGAAATACGAAATTAAATAGCATCGATCATCATAAGGATAAAAGTAATATTTTCTGATGTCACAATAAATATTCTGTAATTCAAGCAAAATTTGTATGTTAGGAATAATACATTTCACGCTAATATGAAATGTCATCAACCAATCAGTACAAGACGCGAACACATCAAAATAATGTGTTGTTGTTGTTTTTATTGAAAATGGGTAACACAAATACAAACAAACAATTCGAAATAGATTGGAGACATTGTTTTACAAAGCTCACGATTCCACAATTATGACTGGTATTTCACCCAAAACAAAAATAGACAATGAAGGACAAAGTACTTACATCTCAGATTTATATAATTACTTCAAAAGGGGACATACTAACGGACAGTAAGGTAATCATAACGCGGACCCAACAAATACGCGTATCTACGATCTCTCTCGGAATATATCGCGTTAAAATAGAACGCGTGCGAACAGACATTTGATTCAAGCGTTTTGCTCATTAGTACCTAGAGTTGGTGTGGAATAGAGATACGCCCGCCCACTAAGCGGTCCAACTTATTCCTTCAGGGTATCAATTTTTGCCTCTGGGAATGATTATGCGTCCTTGAAAGACGAAACAATCGTATAATGCTGTTTTGTTACTTATTTAGCAAATACCATATCTATTAATTATGTATAGCAAATTCATATTAAAACATGGAATTCATTTGTGTCAGTAGTATAAATTAATACAAAAAGCACTCCAATGTACATACAATTCTGAAATTGTCGAAAAACTTGAAGCGTAAAGACACGTATATCGAACCTTCCCTTCGGAAAATGGCATTTAAAAAACGTTGGATTTTGTCATACATTCCATGGATATTCTAATGTTCTGAGCTTTCAGTTTAACTTGTAACTACGACTTACAAATCCAACAGTATCATATACCCAAACTATTTCTTCACGTGTGAATCGCAATGACCTGCACGTGACACTTTGTTTCCCATACTCCGCAAATGCATTCCGGTTATATTTATGAGACTCTTTCATACAATATATATGTCGGAGTGTAGGGTAAGGATATTCCACAAGATTGGTCACAAAATGTCGTAACACCAGAGTCGTTGTAGAGGCCGAGGCTTTGTCGAAGATTTCACATTTCATGCCCTCGACGGTGAAATATCCCATACTTCACCCAGACATATCAAAATAGAGTTTTTACTCTCGTTTCAAAATATTGAGAAAAAAAACACAAAATCGTCGACAATATACTAAGGATGTCATATCACATAAAACATTATATTCTTTTATCATACAATTGATCGATAAATTGACGTAGAAAATGATTTATCCGCACCTAGATTTGGCAAACAAAATGTGTCCTATGAAAAGTAAATGTAAATAACTGTTCGTACACAAATCTGTATACATTGTACAACCGATGACGTCACATGGGAAGGGACACGTCATAGTTCTAAACGCAGGTGCCTGTATATGTATGGATGGATGTGTAATACAAGAACAGTGAACTTGGGTGTATTGCCGTGGAAAGACCAGTGATATGACGTTAGAAATGAGAGAAAATATGTATTTTCTCTAGGTAGGAAAAATAACCCAGCAAACACTCGCGATGACGCTAATCGCAATTGGGTAGATTGGCAATTGGTAAATCGTTTTATGTTGCATAACCATGTCGCATTGTCATCGATTTCGGTGCACATTTAATGGGACATTGATGGTGGCGCGATAAACAGGTTTCTCAAAAACTTACAGTTTGTCATTTTTCTAAGCATAGGAGAAAACTAATCAAACATGGGTTCCTCTCTCAAGCTGGCATATCACAACCCTTGTGTAGGAGTTTGGCAATTCTTCACCCGAATTGAACTGACACTGTTCAAGGAACAGACCCAAGTAAAATTCTATCAATCATTTGCCACACTTCCTCTTATTTTCCCAAAACCCTTGCGGTAGGTATACTGAATCATCTTTTGCCATACATCCTTGTATATACCCCAATGTACTTTGTAGAAGGGACTTTTTGTAGTAGGGACTTTTTAATCACCTCTTGACATACATTCTTGTTTTCCCCCAATGTCCCTAGTAGTAGGGACTTTTTAATCACCTCTTGACATACATTCTTGTTTTCCCCCAATGTCCCTTGTAGTAGGGACTTTTTACTCACCTCTTGACATACATTCTTGTTTTCCCCCAATGTCCCTTGTAGTAGGGACTTTTTAATCACCTCTTGACATACATTCTTGTTTTCCCCCAATGTCCCTTGTAGTAGGGACTTTTTAATCACCTCTTGACATACATTCTTGTTTTCCCCCAATGTCCCTTGTAGTAGGGACTTTTTAATCACCTCTAGACATACATTCTTGTTTTCCCCCAATGTCCCTTGTAGTAGGGACTTTTTAATCACCTCTTGACATACATTCTTGTTTTCCCCCAATGTCCCTTGTAGTAGGGACTTTTTAATCACCTCTTGACATACATTCTTGTTTTTCCCCAATGTCCCTTGTAGTAGGGACTTTTTAATCACCTCTTGACATACATTCTTGTTTTCCCCCAATGTCCCTTGTAGTAGGGACTTTTTAATCACCTCTAGACATACATTCTTGTTTTCCCCCAATGTCCCTTGTAGTAGGGACTTTTTAATCACCTCTAGACATACATTCTTGTTTTCCCCCAATGTCCCTTGTAGTAGGGACTTTTTAATCACCTCTAGACATACATTCTTGTTTTCCCCCAATGTCCCTTGTAGTAGGGACTTTTTAATCACCTCTTGACATACATTCTTGTTTTCCCCCAATGTCCCTTGTAGTAGGGACTTTTTAATCACCTCTTGACATACATTCTTGTTTTCCCCCAATGTCCCTTGTAGTAGGGACTTTTTAATCACCTCTTGACATACATTCTTGTTTTCCCCCAATGTCCCTTGTAGTAGGGACATTTTAATCACCTCTAGACATACATTCTTGTTTTCCCCCAATGTCCCTTGTAGTAGGGACTTTTTAATCACCTCTTGACATACATTCTTGTTTTCCCCCAATGTCCCTTGTAGTAGGGACTTTTTAATCACCTCTTGACATACATTCTTGTTTTCCCCCAATGTCCCTTGTAGTAGGGACTTTTTAATCACTTCTTGACATACATTCTTGTTTTCCCCCAATGTCCCTTGTAGTAGGGACATTTTAATCACCTCTAGACATACATTCTTGTTTTCCCCCAATGTCCCTAGTAGTAGGGACTTTAAAATACAAGGAGTCAATGAGTCTCCAGTAAGTAAAGGAGTCCTACGTAAGTAAAGGAGTCCTACGTAAGTAAAGGAGTCCTACGTAAGTAAAGGAGTCCTACGTAAGTAAAGGAGTCCTACGTAAGTAAAGGAGTCCTACGTAAGTAAAGGAGTCCTACGTAAGTAAAGGAGTTTCAATTAACCGAGAAAGCCTAAATTAACTTATGGAGCCTCATGTAACTCAAGAGGCCTGAACTCAGCGAGCACCGGTTAAATAAAGGGCCTTAATTTGCTGATCTATCAAGATAAAATTTATAATGGGATTTTCTAATAAAAGTATTTTTAAAATAGCACTTACATCTGACTATTGAAGTTGTATCTATTAATGCGTGTTACTTGTTTACACAAAGTATAAAGCTTAATTTGTTAAAGTTTAAGCTAGACAGGTATTACACAGTCAATTCAGCTCCTATCACGATTATATATGTTATAATAAAAACATCCAGTGATTATGTTGATGTAATGTTATGTCATCCTCTCATGGCTAAATCCATGTCCGCGTATAACCTGTAGGCATCTAACAATAGTAAAGCATTAACTAAAGGCAGACATGTTGGTAATGATGCAAGTCCATCATATTTTAAAATACATTCTGTCAAACTTCGAATAAAGCTAATGATAGATCAAAAAGCATCACACCAGATTTTCACTTCTACAAAACAGTGATATATAAGAGATTTAGATAGAATTAGCGTGACAGGGGAGGTAACTGATACTTAAATAGCTAATATGATTACTGAATCTCATTTACACATATTTAGTAAATAAGTGCTCCATGAGCCTTAACGGTCATCGGACTATAAAAACCTATATATGATAGAGATTCATGGCTCGAATTGCTCACCTGTTCTACAGCTTACACAGAAGACTTTGTCGATTCATTAAGTCAATATCTACAACCTTAAAATCCTATTCCACATACATGCCACTAAACAAATACCATAACTCAAGCCCTATTGCTTGTTGACACAAGATATATTAAACACATTTGACCGCTTTGACATTAAAAATATGTAAATGACAATCATCAGAATAAGTTTGGTAGTCCTTCAACTAATTATGTTACAGGACACATAACAACAGTATGAACTTTTCAGTTATCTAGAATACGCTTATTGAAGATTTTAACACATCTGACCCGTGACCTTTGAACAAACATGGTAACCCTTTATCTCTACATGATACATGCCCAATATCAGCATTTTTGATCATTGCCAAGAAGTTGTTTAAAGATGTTGACACCAATTACCTTGAAAATGGGTCAGGGTCATTCATTTGAACAAACTTGGTAGCCCTTCGACACAACATGCTACAGGCCCAATATCAGCACACTGGGCTTTTAACTTGGTGACCTTCGACACAACATGCTACAGGCCCAATATCAGCACACTGGGCTTTTAACTTGGTGACCTTCGACACAACATGCTACAGACCCAATATCAGCACACTGGGCTTTTAACTTGGTGACCTTCGACACAACATGCTACAGGCCCAATATCAGCACACTGGGCTTTTAACTTGGTGACCTTCGACACAACATGCTACAGGCCCAATATCAGCACACTGGGCTTTTAACTTGGTGACCTTCGACACAACATGCTACAGGCCCAATATCAGCACACTGGGCTTTTAACTTGGTGACCTTCGACACAACATGCTACAGGCCCAATATCAGCACACTGGGCTTTTAACTTGGTGACCTTCGACACAACATGCTACAGGCCCAATATCAGCACACTGGGCTTTTAACTTGGTGACCTTCGACACAACATGCTACAGGCCCAATATCAGCACACTGGGCTTTTAACTTGGTGACCTTCGACACAACATGCTACAGGCCCAATATCAGCACACTGGGCTTTTAACTTGGTGACCTTCGACACAACATGCTACAGGCCCAATATCAGCACACTGGGCTTTTAACTTGGTGACCTTCGACACAACATGCTACAGGCCCAATATCAGCACACTGGGCTTTTAACTTGGTGACCTTCGACACAACATGCTACAGGCCCAATATCAGCACACTGGGCTTTTAACTTATAGAGAAGGAGTCGTCTGAATGGAAAGTTTAGGCACGGCGGGCCGCGTAAGACGACGGACGAAACACAAAAGCTTTAGCGCATCTGACTTAAAACAATATATCAGGTACATAATTATAACGTAAGAGATCTAAAACATAGACTTGAGGCTGCTAACGTTACTTCCGTGTTCTTGGTATTCCTCCGCCGATATAGCCAATTCATTGTAGTTGTTATGACAACATAAGACAGATCCCCCAATCCACGAGGAGAACATTCCGCAAGTTGGTGTAGTCACTTTAGACTGAGAAGCATATGGTTCATTTAAACACTTATCAACCTCAACTTTGACTCTTTCGCACAAGTTGGTGAACTTTGAACTTCCGCCAGATAACAGTATGTTTTTAACAAGACTGGTAGTACACGATTTACCTCTCAATGTATCTAGTTTATTAATACACTCACAAATGACAGCTGGGATACTTCTGGTTACACACGGGATCAGATTCGGACTAAACAAGGCTTCCGGACATTGGTACCTCTCTTTACCTATATTTAGCTCCGTTCCGTCTGGGAGTGTGTACACTACATCCGGGGAGTCGGACAGTGCCGAAAACAAGTTTGGTCCGACGGAGCACACTGACTCCTTCACAGTCTCGGCTAACACTGGGTCTGTAATAGGTAGAAACGAGTGTTCTTGTTTTGAAAGCAGATTCATGAAAAATTCGGTAAGTTTGTTTCCGGTTACATCTGAAGACATGACAAACCCTTTGGTAGGGAAACCTTCATATATGGGTACACAAAAACTTGTCCCTGCTCCAAGCTCCGTCACAAGGCCAGTCAGTTGACCTGTACTGTACAGGGAGAGTGCATTATTAAGCGGTAACAATGCCCTTCGAACTTGGAATTTCTCAAATAAGAGTTCAAACAGTTTCTCCTTGTTCTGTTGTACGTACGGGAGGGACTGTCCCACCGATATTGAGTGATCCTTGGAGTCTACACCTAATTTAACCTTGAAGATGTAATCTAATACCATCTCTGTCGCATCTGGAAATGTACACTCGTGATACTCTGAACCCTGAAAAAAACAAACATGCATTCTTATCTTACAAATACCAGTGAAGGACAGTATTATTATTATCATCATCATTATAATTGCATCTTCCATAAGAGTTCACGTTGCTGTTATTTGCTTGTAATAACACGAAATTGCTCTTAGAAATATCTATGATAATTTTCCGCTATCAAATAAATGATGGCCGCCTGTCAACCATTTTGTTTTTCTGATCCCAAATATAAAAGGACACAAGGGACCAAGGGAAACCTACACTGAAAATAACATTCATCCAGTCCTTCTCTGAAAAAGAATGATCAAAATTTCATAGTATTAATCAAAATTCGGAACCTACCGGTCATTTTGTTTTCTGAAAAAGATCTGGAATCGAAAGGGCACAACTAGGAACCAAAAGGAACTTATCATGTTAAATCTTAGAAAGATCAATCCAGAAATAGTGGTAATAAACTTCCATTGTCAATATTTAGTATGGCTGTTCTATAATCCTAGAAATTAGTGTGACGAGATGGTAAAACGATCACAGAACAAAAGTACACTAAATGTTAACAAAGTACTGTAGTCGAATTAGCTGCAAAAGGAGGGCCGAAAAAGTCGGTTGATTCCTTACCATCTCGTACACCACGTACATCAGTGCTAGTATGCTTCACATTGGTCATTTGTCTGATGAAGGTGACCGTGTAGTCACCGAAACGTCACAATCTAACCTTCTACTGGTTGTGTTATAAGATGAAGGTGACCGTGTCGTCATCGAAACGTCACACTCTAACCTTCTACTGGTTGTGTTATAAGATGAAGGTGACCGTGTGGTTATCGAAACGTCACACTCTAACCTTCTACTGGTTGTGTTACAAGATGAAGGTGACTGTGCAGTTATAGAAAGTCACACTCTAACCTTCTACTGGTTGTGTTAAAAGATGAAGGTGACCGTGTAGTCACCGAAACGTAACACTCTTAACCTTCTACTGGTTGTGTTAAAAGATGAAGGTGACCGTGTAGTCACCGAAACGTAACACTCTAACCTTCTACTGGTTGTGTTAAAAGATGAAGGTGACCGTGTAGTCACCGAAACGTCACACTCTAATCTTCTACTGGTTGTGTTAAAAGATGAAGGTGACCGTGTAGTCACCGAAACGTCACAATCTAACCTTCTACTGGTTGTGTTATAAGATGAAGGTGACTGTGCAGTTATCGAAAGTCACACTCTAACCTTCTACTGGTTGTGTTAAAAGATGAAGGTGACCGTGTAGTCACCGAAACGTCACACTCTAATCTTCTACTGGTTGTGTTAAAAGATGAAGGTGACCGTGTAGTCACCGAAACGTAACACTCTAACCTTCTACTGGTTGTGTTAAAAGATGAAGGTGACCGTGTAGTCACCGAAACGTCACACTCTAATCTTCTATTGGTTGTGTTCAAAGATGAAGGTGACCGTGTAGTCACCGAAACGTAACACTCTAACCTTCTACTGGTTGTGTTAAAAGATGAAGGTGACCGTGTAGTCACCGAAACGTCACACTCTAACCTTCTACTGGTTGTGTTAAAAGATGAAGGTGACCGTGTAGTCACCGAAACGTAACACTCTAACCTTCTACTGGTTGTGTTAAAAGATGAAGGTGACCGTGTAGTCACCGAAACGTCACACTCTAATCTTCTACTGGTTGTGTTAAAAGATGAAGGTGACTGTGTAGTCATGGAAACGTCACACTCTAATCTTCTACTGGTTGTGATAAAAGATGAAGGTGACTGTGTAGTCATGGAAACGTCACACTCAAATCTTCTACTGGTTGTGTTTTAAGATTTTCTGTTCTATCAACTGTATGTACATTAACCATACCACGGATAATTTCCAAAGCATATATTCTATTATGTTGCCAAAATTACCACACACGAGATTTTGTGTCTCAATTCATAAGCGGTTCGGGGATCTCTTTTCTAGTACTAAAAGTATTGTAAGCAGACGTTTTTTTTTATTCATTTATTCATATATATATATATATACATATGTATCTTTTTATTTTGTACATCACACAATGGTTTTTGAATTAGAAATTAGGAAACATTTAGGACATAAAATTAGCTTATCTGTTTTTTTATTCTATCGTGTTGTTAAACAGGGAGAGAAGTGGTAGTTGGCTGTCTAGTTATCGAATCATCCTTTATCATGATTAATGAACTTTAACAAACATCTACAAATGTTTAGTCTGGAGGCAAAATATAGTTATCTACAAGTTAGAGATTCTAAACATATCTTTCTTCAGACTTTCTCATATTTGTTCGCAAAGCTATAAATAAGATTATATCCACTGTTTTAAATGTGCTAGGTCTTGTAGTAAATAAGAAGACACCATCAGAATGCTTTAAAGAAGAAAACATTTGGTTGATAATCAAGAGATATCATAGGAGTGTTTGGAAAAAAAAGCATATCAACATAATTCAAACTCAGATTCCATAAAAGTAGGACAAAACATGAACAAAAGAAAGATTTACATGGAAGCTTCTGCAAAAAAAGGTACACGGTGAATAAGATCAGACGTTCCGGAAGGATAAGCGTCCTATGCTTCTTCGACGCCATGTAAACCTTGGTCAATCCAAGTAAGTAACGTCACGTTTTCAAATGAGATCAAGGTATACAACAACGGAACCAACAGGCAAACAAAGGAGCATCAAACACGTCCAGCTTCATATCGTACAACGGAACCACCAGGCACACTAACGAGCTTCAAACACGTCCAGCTTCATATCGTACAACAGAACCAACAGGCAAACTAACGAGCATCAAATACGCCCAGCTTTATATCGTACAACGGAACCAACAGGTAAACTAACGAGCATCAAACACGTCCAGCTTCATATCGTACAACAGAACCAACAGGCAAACTAACGAACATCAAATACGTCCGGCTTCATAACACACACAGAAATATATCATTTCCCAATGAGATCACTATGACGACCGTAAAACTTCCCTATAATTTTTATTAACCTGCATTTTTTGAAACCCTTTGATACAAGTTTGTTCGTAATTTGAGGACGAATATGATCCATACGACCTTGAATATTTGCTATAGCAATTGCTTTTAATCTTTGATTTGTAGTTATAAATGTATGTAAGTCTCTGGGTAAAGTTTATCGTCAACATCCATTTCACTGAAAAGAAAAAAAGACAATATCCTTTATCTATGGATTCAAGCCTTTTTATCTGGCAGTCATCAGAACACCTTGAGAGACTAAATTATATAAGATTACTCCTGTAAACTAGACATGGTGTCTATGTTATATCTTTTCCAACTTTTTTTTTATCCAAGAATCTACAAAGCAAACATCTTTAACCTACGTCAAAGGGTTGTGAAGAAATCGGGAGAAGACAATTTGGCCAGAAACAGACAGACGGATCAAGTTCCTGGAGACACTGGGTTAATTAAGTTAGCTCTAACGGAAATAAAACATACATATTTAAGATGTGAGATGTGTTCGATGACCTGAGCGGACGTGTGTTGGATCGGGGTGCATACTTATCCAAAATTACCTATATTTGTGGACAATTGGAAATTATCCTGTTGGATACACGTTTTGTGCCTGAGTCAGTGAGTCGTTTGATGTTTTCCATTTGACTTTTGAGCAGGCAGTTTTGCAATTTTAGCAATTTTTAGACATTTCATTATCTGGATTTGTGTAATCAACAATGGGCGACACAGGTGAAACCCACGTGCAGGCTGACGTCTCGGTCACTCAGGTAAACGCATCAAACCGTAGCGACGTTACTTCTACCTTTGCACAGCCTACAGGCATGACCTTTGTTAACCCTGGGTCGATAACACATGAACAGGCTGTGTTGTTTTCGTCACCTCTATTTGATAGTGAAGCTAGAAAAAGATTTCTTTTTGAAATATCACCTGACAATTCCGCACAAAAAGACTCCAAGAAACCCCTTCTCCAGAAAAGCCCGGCTCCATCTTCTGCTATTACTGACTCTATTTATAAAGCTATATCGTCTCCAACATTCGTTAATCATCTCATTCAGACCATCATCCACCCGGTAGCTGACATAGTTGCGTCAATCATCCAAAAAACACTCATGGATGAACTTCATCCTATTATTGAAAAACACGTGACAACCCTTATCAGTGACGGTGCCCTGATTAAGGACGCCATTTCGCAATGTCACTCCTATGGTCCTATGAGCGACGATTTAATTGACAAAATTTCAATGCAGGAAGCAGCCATAGAATCGTTGAAATCCAAAATCGAGGACCTTGAACAATCAAAGGTTGATCTCCAAAATGCAGTTGAAGAACAAGAGCAATATTCCTGAAGAACATGCCTGAAGTTCCTTAACGTGCCAGTACCACCTAACCAAACCAACCAATCATTCGATGCTTTGGCTGCTGTCCTTTCTATCTGTGAAAGGTTCTTGAAAGTCAAAGTTCCCTCCAACGCTATCTCTAGATGTCACATCTTGGGCCAAATTAAAAATCAGAATGTGAACGTAATTGTGCGTTTCGTAAGGTATTATGACCGTCAGCGTGTTTTTGAGGCAAACGGTAATCTCCGCCATAATCCGGATAAAACTCTCGTAGTTGAAGCCCTGACCAAAAAGCGCCAGACCATTGTTAATGAACTTAACAAACAAAAATAGCATCTTTCAGAACACGTGACGGTAGGATCTTTGTGAAGAAAGACACAGACTCCCCAAAAGTGCAAATCAAAAATCTGTCCGAAATATCGAATGTGGTTCCCAATTATGTCTACTCGCCTAGGGTACCTGTTAGTGCCCAACTCTGATCAGTAATCGTTAAAACTTACTGGTAGTGACTGACTGACAAACATGTATATCCATATCATGTTTACCATTGAGTGTTACCTAAACCAATGCAGACTTTCATTTATTTTTTTTAATCCCATACCATCTAGAAATTATCTGTGCTAATCCTGGTTGTAGATTCAACTAGCCGACAAAGTGACATGACCATAAATCTCCGATATGTTTGTTACTTGTTTTTCAC